CCAGCAGCCATTAGTACAATAAAACCTTTTATAATTAAATCATTTTACCACCATTCTAACTATATTTATCAAATACATAACTGCATATATTTGAAATCAAATAACCCTCGCAAATTGTAAATATCAATAAAAGTATATAATTATAGGGTACTCTCCAAGCAAATTTTGGTATACAAAAAAGAACCAATTCAATTAATATTGCAATCCCTAATGCCAAATATGCATAACCATTGTTTTATAATTAGAACATTCTGTATTCAATTGATAAATATGATATTATGCACATTCCCACTGTTAAAAGTAATTATATTATCATTATTGAATAGACCTTTTACTATTTATTTTTATACTTTTTTAACAAACCCAGTTCTTTCATTTCCAATTAGTAATTTATATTAATTATTCTTAGCATACCATCTTGATTCATTTTGCGAACTTGTATCATCTTCTATAGCCACAGACACATGTTAAGGATATTGTATACTCCCTCTTGGCTCACTAAGTTTTGTTGGCATAGATTTAATCTCTCGATGATCTCTCTTATGTTCTGAATGATATTTTCCAAAATCCAAAGGGCTAATTTGGTCATCTTATTAATTTTCACTCATTTATAAATTATATATTTTTTATACAAGAAAATCCTATTTAATCTAAATACTACGATTTATATTCCATTTTTTATTAGATTTTATTAATAACCATGTTCATTTTTATAGTTCACAAATTATTCAAGTGTTTTCGATAAATTTTACTTTCTATTTTAATATTCATATTAATATTTCATAAAAATTAAATTTATAAGAAATGAATTCCCTTTATTCTTTTGCAGAAATATTTTGTATCATATAAAAACTATGAAAATTATCAAATAGTAATATTTATGATGATAAAATAAATTAAGTTATTTATTTAATCTTAAAAATCTGAAAACAGTACAATAAAAAACTTAATTATTAGATAAATTTTAATATATTTATCATTTAATATCTTGATTTAAATAATCCATCTAAGTAAGCATTAAATTTATATAATTATCCTTTTCTTGATGAAAATATTCAAATAATATAAGGTTAACCATTACCATAAATTAAAGTTAGAATAATTAAGTGGATTTAATAAGGAAATTTTGGATGACATATTTCTGCAATTCCAAGTTCTTTATAATTTAGAAGTTTAGTAATGTTGAAGATTAGAGGAATAGGAGAATATTATAATGAGAATCTTCCTCCATTCTATAAATATTAAATGTCCTGGATATACAGGATAATTTAAAAAAGTTAATTTATGTTTTAAAGGATTTCTTTCCTTAAGATTAAGCTTAACAATATATGTTTTTAGTTTTTATATAAATGATTAGTCAATTATTATTATTTGTAGTTTAATATCATTCTGTATAAATTCTTGGAAAGTTTAAGTACATTAATGCCCTATGTATGAGAATCCATGATAAGGGAAGCGAAATGATAATTTTTTTTTTATTATTTATATGATTAAATTCCGTTTTTATTGATTATTAATAAAATAATGAAAGCTTTCCTCATATTAGGATTGTTAATTTTTGGAATCAATTGTGTAGAATTGGAATCAGGAGTCCCAATTTTGCTAAAGGAAATAAAAGCAATCAAAACAGAACATACAGAATTTACATTTTTACTTGATTTGGAACTAAGTTAAGGAGGAAAAGTTTCTGAAGTTGTTTCATTAGTAGGAGATTTATTGGAGTAAATGAAAAGAGATTAGCTTAACGATGATCTTGAATATGCCCATGTAATATTTAGAGAAATTAATAGAGAACAACAACTTTAGGATTAGACATTGAATGGTTGATTATTGTTTTAAGAAACCTTACAAAAGAGAGACAAGATAAAAATAATTAATTAAATGAATTAAATCAAATTCTTGTTGGTTTATAATTATAATTAGATGCACTTACTGAATAATTGAATATTCTTAATGGTAAAGAAGAATAACTAAGATAAACAAGAGCATAAGAAGCTGCATCATATTAAGCTAGACAAGAGAATAATAGTAAAGTTTTAGCAGCTTTAAATGAAATCATTCCTAAATTATAAGTTGCTGTTTTTGATTAAGAAGGAAAATCATTATTATAAACAGAATAATTTGAAATTGTTGAAAAAATTAAAAGGGAATTAGGACATAATCATCCAATTGCTATTATGGTAGCTTTGACAACTAAATTTGATGTTCCAACTGTTAAAAGAATTATTGATAAATTAGAACATATTAGAAATGCTGTCATTGCTTTAATGCAATAAGAAGATGAATAAGAAACATAAAGCTAAGTATTAATTTTTATTTATTTAGATTACTTTCTAAACTGTTCTCTAAGAAATTGCTGAATTGAGAGAAAGATTCTCTAAAGATTTTGAAGTCACTTCTTAATTAATTAAAAAAAGAACTAATGACAAAGTAATATTCTTATCTATTTAAGGTTCTTTTGGAAAAAAGATTAACCATTATCAATAGAGATCTCAGCCTCACTGAATAATTACTCATCTAAACTAGAGAATATAAAGAATAATATGACGCTGCTTATGCTGTCAGAAAGGGTAAAAGGTAATTATTATAAAATACAATTATTTAGAATTTCTGAAATTAAAACTGTCCAATAAGCTTATGATCTAGTTGAGAATCATGCTAAGAAATAGAAACAATGATTTAAAATAAATATATAATTATATGGATATTCGATAATTTTATTTCTTGTCCAATTTTAATTATCTACCAACTCATTAAACTATTCATTTTATTTATAGATTAATATTGATCTCGTTTAATGAACATAGTAATAATTGCCAATATATAAGGTTTATTAATTTAAATCAGAAGGATGTAGTATTTATATTCTTAGTAACTTTAATTATAATTATAATTATAGTTAATGTATTTGATTTAATATATTGATAAAGTCCAAAATTTTTTCATTAACTTTATTAAAGTATTGGCTATGTAACATTAATTACTCATCTTCTTGTAGAAATTATCTCTATCTTTTTTGCTTAGGATTTGCTATTGTTATTTAATCAAATCAAATAGATTACTAAAATCTAGAATAAATCCACAATTAATTTAAGAACTTATACTTTCTTATAATTTAAGAAACCAATAAATACATATAATTTTAACATAATATTTTTTTTATTTTTAATATATATTTAATTTTAATTTCAGACAAATAGTGACTTTATTTTCTTTACTTTTGTTGCCTCATCGTCTTCTGCATTATTTAGAATATCAGTAATTGAACTTAGTTCAGGGGTTTTAGTTTATGTAGTTTTTGTAGTTTTCCAAGAGGTTGTTTTTGAAAGAGGTCTTTTAACTAACAAAGAATGAGTAGCAGTTTAAGTGTTCTCATTATTTGTTTTATCTTTTAGAGCTTAAAAAGTTTTTCTATTTGTTGGAGTAAAAACCTTTCTTTCCTCTTATTTTCTAAATTCAATAGGATCATAATTTTCTCTCTTTTCTGCTTATTTATCAAATTTTTATTTCATGAATTAAGCTAAATCCAAAACATCTAAATACTTTGCTTTTGAAAGAGATTGGATCTAAATTAATAAAATAGCTTACATCTAATTATTTTTAAATATTAAATTTTGTAAAAGCATCTGCTAAGGTTTTGAAATTTTTTATATAATCAGTTTCTTTATTAGCTTTCCAAAGAATTTTATTTGCTTAAATTGAATTAGGATATAAATATTCAAATATCTAACAAAATGTACTACCACTGCCAAGAGTCTCTAATTAAGTAATAGTTAACTGATAATATAGAGAATAAATCAATTACTTTAAAAGTTTCATTTATCCATTTGACCAATTCATTTTTAGAAGTTGTTTGAATAGTTGAAGTTGACATTTGATTTCAAATAATATAATTATAATATCGTTAATTTAGATGATATTGAATTTAAATTACTTCATAAATTAAATTAAAACTCATGATTGATAAAATTAGATTTATAAATAAATAAAATTGTATTTATTATTTATTTTATTTAGTATGTGATAGTAAACAAGCATTTTTATATAGCTTAAAAAAACACGAATATCAATTATCAAATTTTATTAATTAAGCAATTCTAAAAATATAATAAATAAAAATTTCATTATAAAAGATTTAAAAAGATTTTAATTTATGTTACATAGATTGCAACCTTATCAAAATATCAAGTTATTATTAAATAAATTTGATTTCGCATAGATGTCTTAAATGATAAAGAAGACATATTGTAAATATTATATAAACTAAATATAAATTATAATGTTTATCATTTCAGAAGTGGCCCTTCTAAGTTTTGTAACTCCATTTGAGTTCCAGCTCTGGAATCATTANTAACATTAATTACTCATCTTCTTGTAGAAATTATCTCTATCTTTTTTGCTTAGGATTTGCTATTGTTATTTAATCAAATCAAATAGATTACTAAAATCTAGAATAAATCCACAATTAATTTAAGAACTTATACTTTCTTATAATTTAAGAAACCAATAAATACATATAATTTTAACATAATATTTTTTTTATTTTTAATATATATTTAATTTTAATTTCAGACAAATAGTGACTTTATTTTCTTTACTTTTGTTGCCTCATCGTCTTCTGCATTATTTAGAATATCAGTAATTGAACTTAGTTCAGGGGTTTTAGTTTATGTAGTTTTTGTAGTTTTCCAAGAGGTTGTTTTTGAAAGAGGTCTTTTAACTAACAAAGAATGAGTAGCAGTTTAAGTGTTCTCATTATTTGTTTTATCTTTTAGAGCTTAAAAAGTTTTTCTATTTGTTGGAGTAAAAACCTTTCTTTCCTCTTATTTTCTAAATTCAATAGGATCATAATTTTCTCTCTTTTCTGCTTATTTATCAAATTTTTATTTCATGAATTAAGCTAAATCCAAAACATCTAAATACTTTGCTTTTGAAAGAGATTGGATCTAAATTAATAAAATAGCTTACATCTAATTATTTTTAAATATTAAATTTTGTAAAAGCATCTGCTAAGGTTTTGAAATTTTTTATATAATCAGTTTCTTTATTAGCTTTCCAAAGAATTTTATTTGCTTAAATTGAATTAGGATATAAATATTCAAATATCTAACAAAATGTACTACCACTGCCAAGAGTCTCTAATTAAGTAATAGTTAACTGATAATATAGAGAATAAATCAATTACTTTAAAAGTTTCATTTATCCATTTGACCAATTCATTTTTAGAAGTTGTTTGAATAGTTGAAGTTGACATTTGATTTCAAATAATATAATTATAATATCGTTAATTTAGATGATATTGAATTTAAATTACTTCATAAATTAAATTAAAACTCATGATTGATAAAATTAGATTTATAAATAAATAAAATTGTATTTATTATTTATTTTATTTAGTATGTGATAGTAAACAAGCATTTTTATATAGCTTAAAAAAACACGAATATCAATTATCAAATTTTATTAATTAAGCAATTCTAAAAATATAATAAATAAAAATTTCATTATAAAAGATTTAAAAAGATTTTAATTTATGTTACATAGATTGCAACCTTATCAAAATATCAAGTTATTATTAAATAAATTTGATTTCGCATAGATGTCTTAAATGATAAAGAAGACATATTGTAAATATTATATAAACTAAATATAAATTATAATGTTTATCATTTCAGAAGTGGCCCTTCTAAGTTTTGTAACTCCATTTGAGTTCCAGCTCTGGAATCATTATCATGTCTAGGAGGAGGTATTTTGAAAAAAGTCAAAGCATAATATGGAACTAATTCACCCATAAATACTTCCTAAATTTGAATGAAATAGAAAAAATACTATAAGAATTAAATCTATGTTTAATTTAACATAATTGGCAAAGATTAAAAAAAAAATAAGCAATCGTAGTGCCAAACTTATTGATATTGTTTAGATCAATTTGTTGACTTATGTAAGGAAAGGTACAATCCAATCATCATCTTCTAGCTGCAATAGTTAGGTTTTAGTACATCAGAAAATAACTTATTGCTAAAGTATAAGCATCCGATAATAAGTGCGGCATAAAGTAAAAATTAAAGAATTAATACTCTTTCCAAGAATCCATCCTTGATTAAGAAGTAAACATAAGATAAGACTAAGTGTCTATAAACAACTTACCTAGACAAAGAGGACTATAGTATATGGAGTACTAGATGATATTAGTATCCTTGTTTGCAAGAACACATATACAAATGGCTAAATGTCCTATGAATATGATGTAAGATTGGATCCAGATTAGGATTGGTGCTGTGTATAGAAAGTCTAACCATATGCCTTATGGCTATTCCATTATTAGAAGGAGACTCATACCCCTGAAGGCACTCGACGCACTCACACTCACCAGAAACCAAAATTTCAGATTCTTATTTTTCATATTATGTAATTTGACCATATTACTAGCTAGGCAAACTAACACAGCTACCATTTCAATAAATGTTAGCCTAAATAAATAAAAAATATACTACCAAATTTAGAAATGACTTGGAGGTTCTGGTTCTTAGTTATCTTGCATGTAATTTATTATAAATATAATTATATAATCAGTTTTAGTGTGGTTTCTGATAGAAATGAGTCTGACATTAATGAGCTAAATCTTATTCATCCATTAAATGCTATTTAAATGATTACAATTTTTTACGCAATCTAAGAAATAAAAATGTTAAATCTACCTCATAATCTTTTCAATTTTTAATCTTAATACATGATCAAGACCATCAACATATTCTTCAATATCTGAATTAGGTTGATCAACAGTTTATAACATTTTCATTTCATCATTAACCAATTCAATAAAATCATCAATGTGATCTCTATGAGCCTTTTTAAGAGCTCTTTCTTCATCTAAGATTTATTAGATAAGTTCATCATATTTATCTTTAAGATTACTATTTCTATTAGATTTGATTTAAATTTCATCTTAATATAAGTCTGCATTATCATGATCAAATAATTTAGGAGGTGAAACAGATTTAACAGCTTAAGGACTTTCAAATAGATAATTATTCATAATATATTATCTTGGCAGCATTAACTCTCTTGTTAATTGATCCACACTATTTGAAGCTTAAGGAGCCTTCAATTCCTTAACCTAATTAATAGTTGAATTATCAAAATTACTCTATCTGCATATCTTAGAGTATTAAGACTATGTTCAGCATCTTTATGACAAGGTGAAATAGTACCAATCATGAGAGTTCTACAATTTCCAGTAAATGAATCCTTAAGAACTTAAGTCAATTTGGATCCTCTGAAAGGTGTGTGATTTTTATTAAGATCAAGTGCTCTAATACACTCTTTTAAAGCTAATAAAGATTTATTTATTTCAGCACCATCTATTCTAGTTTATTTATGATATTCAACAACATCAGCACCTCTTTCACTACCTGCTAAATCTATAAATGATAATTTTCCTATCATTTTATTCTACTATCTTAAATTTATTTATAAAATTGCATGAGATCTAGAAGAATCTTGATTTACACTATTCTATCCAGTTACTCTACTCTTTATTCCCATTTCTACTGTTTTTTAGAATTCCTATACACTATGTACTTTTGTTTCTGATAAACCTGCTATATTAACTTAACCTTTTGCATCTTCTCTAGCAACTAATTGAACACGATCATTCAATAAATCAAATAATTTAGAACAATAAATTTCATAAAATGAAACACTCATCACTAAAGAATTTGATATCAATTAAAATAAATCATATGCAGCTAATGTATATATTCCTACCACATTCTAATCACCCAACATTGTATATGTTTTACCAGATCCAGTTTATCCATATGCAAAACAAGTAATCTTTGTTCCATTTAATGCTGCTTATACCATTGGTTTTACTAGTTATTAATATAAATCTTCATTTGTATATTATTAATCAAAAGCAGCATCGAAATTGAAATTGAATTCTTCAATGAATTTTGTTAAATCTACTTTGACTCTATTATAATCATTTTAACAATACCTTGGTTCTCGAACAACAACTGTATTACCCTAAACTTCAACAATATCCTTCTAACCTTCTTTACTTTCTTTCTTAGATAAGGGACGTTTCCTGACTGCTACAATAATTTTTGGTTAATCCATTTAACTTTTTTTATTTATATTTTATTAATAATTTCACAACTTGGCATCTTAGTACATTTTTTCAATTTCATCTAGCCATTTTTATTCTACAACTCTTCTTTTTAATTTTAATGTTGGAGTCAATTCTCCTCCATCAACACTAAAATCTCCAGGAATTAAAGTCCATTTCCTAATATATTAAGCTTTAGAAATAACTCTTAAATATATATTCAATAATAATTACTTAGTATTAGTTTCATCAATCAATTACTAAAGATAATTTGTAATTACTTTATCATTCTTGGCTTCTTCTACTGTTGTAGCTGTTGAACCAAGACTCTTAAAAACAGCAAGGACATCTTCATTCAATTTATCAAGTGGTCTATTTTAACATTAAATTATTATATTACTATCCATCTGGTGCTAATTAATGCTTTAATGTTAAAAGTATTGATAAATATTTTCTCTTATCTCCAATAACCATACAATTTGATACAATCTTAATATTCTTTTTCACTTCATCTTCAATTAACACTGGAGCTACATTCTCACCTCCAGCTGTTATTATTAATTCTTTTATCCTTCCTGTTATCATTAAATTTCCATTCTTATCAATCTTACCAACATCTCCAGAATGCAACCATCTTTGATTATCTATTGTGTTCCTTGTAGATTCTTCATCCTTAAAATAACCCATAAAAATATGTCTTCCTCTATAACATATTTCTCCATTTCCATCTTTGTCTGGATTATCAATTCTTAGTTCAGTACCTTCCATAGGTTTACCTGTACTATTTATAAATAATTCATCAAATTTATCAAAATGAAAAGGATCTGCCATATTTTACACACCTCCACATTCACTCATTCCATAACCATTGATTAAATACATGTTCAATGTTAAAAAATATTCTCTTATAATTGGTGATAAAGGGGCTGCACCAAATATCATATATTAAGCCTGATCTAATCCTAATGCTTTTTTAACATTTTAATAAACTAATTTATCTGCCAATCCAAAACAAAGAGGAGGTTTTTAACCATGAGTTTATGCAAAGGTACCTTCTTTACCTATTGATTTGGCCCAAGTGGCTATTTTTGTTTTTATAGCTCCATTTGATTTTGCTATCTATTACATTTAATCATAAATTTTCTCCCATACTCTTGGTACACTAAAAAATAAAGTAGGTCTAACTTCTTTGAGAGTTTGAATAAGAGATCCTTATAATGCATCCGGATTAGCGAAGTATAAATGTGCCCCCCATCTTGCAAAACCGATAATATCTATCAATTATGCTACAACATGACTCAATGGTAAATAACTAACTAATCTCATTTCTCCATTCCCGTGCATCACATACTTCCTCTTTTATTATGTTATTGTAAAGACATAATTATCATGTGATAACATAACCCCCTTTGGATTTCCTGTAGTGCCAGATGTATAAATTAAAGTGACACAATTTCCTGGGCGTAATTTCGATACTCTTTCCATTACAGAGCCCATCAAATCAGCTTTTTTGCCCATTTCAATAAAGTCTTTCCATTTAAATACTTATGACTTTCTTTATTCAGGGATTTCAGATGTTGGAATTTAATCATTATATAAGACAATACCTTTTAATCGAGGCAATTTATCCCAAATTTTCAAATACTTGCGTAATTATTCTTTAGTATCTGCAACAACTAATTCGCATTCTGAATGTTCTGATACATAGAAACATGCATCTGGATTATTTCTAAATACGTATTAATATTATCTCTTACGTAGTATAAATTCCAACAGGTAAATTGTGAGAATGAATGCTTCCCATAAAAGATATATGCCATTCTGGAGCATTAAAACCAATTATGTTGACTGCACTCATTTCTGTTATTCCATATGCTATTAAAGCCTTTGCAAATTACATTGATTCATTATAATATTCTTCATATGTTCTAGTAATCCTATTTATTAAATTCTAATTTTACCATTTATTATTTCTTTTAACACTTAAGGCTGGCTTTTATGCAAATTATGTGCAATCATTTTTAAATTATTCTGGAAGAGTAATTGGTATTTCACTTCCTGGACCTGATTTTTTGACCCTTATTGGTAATTCCATACGATAATTAGTTGTCCATAAGACATTTTTTAATGGATCTTTTACATCGAATTCTTTCAATAGTTATCTCATTCCTTCCTCTGATATATACACTTTCTCTTCCATTAAATTATTTAATCAATTAATGATATTGCATACTATAATTGTTAGAGGCACTCTTATTTTAGCAGAATTCTCTGATTCTGAAGATGATTATAGCAATATTATCAAGAAAAGAAGTTTGGATGTAAAAAATGTATAGGGAAATCAAAAAATTTTTAAAGATGATCTTTATATGTATGCGATATGTGACAAAGAGTTAAAATTTATATGTTTATCTAAAGAAGATGATCAAACTATATTTGTTAAATTATAGGAATTAATATAAGCAGTCTAAATAATTGAAACAGGTAATTCAATTCATTTATTATAGATGGTAATTATTCTTCAAAACTCACTCAAATATTGCATAAACATCTGAAGAAAGAATAAATTGTTGTTATTCAAGATGAAAAAATAGATTAATAATAACCAAAATAAAGTAGATTAATGAATCATACTATTCCACAAAAAAAGGATTCTATTGATTTCTAGAAAAAATTATGTTTCTTTGTGATGTTAATTATATTGATTATGTATTTTATATTAAACAATATTATTATAAATGATTGATAAAACAATTAAAAACGAGATAATTTAATAAATTTTATTACGTATTTTATACTATAAAATGTTTTTTTTGCTTTCTGGAATTTTATTAAATATTAATTTTTCAAATGAACAACGATTTATGTGAATCTATTGTTAGTCATGCAAATTAGATCTTTCAATCAATAGCAAATCTAAATGGATAATTAAATGAAAATGGCAACATTAGTAATTGATTTTTTGATTATTCAATTAGCAAATAACAGTACCACAACATCGAATACGTCATCATCTATGGGACTAGCATTCATTATGTTCCTACTATTTACTGCATATGCATTGCTGTCTATTTTTTCCCCTCAAAGATAACCAGCTATGCTAAAAGGCAATATTTAACACTAATAGATTCATCATCATGATGATGATTGACTATTGAACTCTTTTTTATATGACTTCTTTAGTTATTAATATTTATTATTTCTAGTTTTGTCTAAAATACAAACTAAAGAATAATTCAATTAATTTACTTCCTCAAATTTTATTCTTATATACCATTTTATAATTGTGTAATTATAAACAGGAAATATTTTATGATAAATAACAAAAGTTTAGTTGGTGAAATTCTAAAAATTTTATTCTAGTAATAAAACTAAAATTGCAATCGAGATACTAATACTTATTGAAAACATCTTAATTACTTTCTTTTAGAATATATATTGTCAAAATAACTTATAATTGAGAGAAGAAATAAATAATAGTTTGATAATTATTTTAAGAAAATAATTAATTAATTTTATTTTCTTATAAATATTTCATGATTATTGATTTAGATTAGTAGTTGTGTCATATTCAGTGATTTCCTTAATTTCAGACATATTTAACCAAGGATTATATTGTTTACTACTTTCTTTAAGCTAATCTTTGTAGATTTTTAATAATTCCTGTAACTCTTGTTTACCTTTGGTCATAAGTAAATCTTAATTTAAAATTGATTCATTGATAACAGTATCTTAAGAATTATTTCTTTATTTTAAAGGTTTTGGAGGCATTTAATTTTTAATAGGTAATTGTTATTTAACTTATGATTCAGCTTCATTTTTTTATTATTAATTTGTTTATGGTCTATCTTTTGAATTCTTTTTTTAGACAGGAGATTATTAGGATATTTTTTATCGATTTTGATTAGCAGAGGTAGATGCTCTTCCAACTCTTTTATTATTTTTTTATTCTTTAATTAACTTTTCTTAATTTAATTAAGCTTATTCTTCTAAATCTTATTATTTACAAAAATCAAACATTGCTTTCAATAAATATGGATGATTAATCATTTATTAAACACTTGGTGGATTAGGTTGCATAAATAATTTAAGAATTTAGGATAATTCGTGTGATTTTTATGATTCCCAATCCAAATTAGTTTTTTTTAAAACTTATTAAAGATATTTTACTTCTTCTTTCCAATTTTTATGTGAAAGTAAATCAAATTATATTCTGAGTGATCCAAAAGAATTCAAAAATATTGTGTCTAAATCTAATGAGACATTAATTTATTGTATCTCAAGATAATTTAAAGCAAATAACAATTAAAGTAAGTATTGACAAACTAAATTAACTGAGACTTATTTGTTGAGTCTTTCATTTAAGATTTATTCTAAATAATAAGTATTTAGTACCTCCACAATATTCTAAGACTTAGACAAGATATTAAGAGTCAATAAAATATTCTTTAATTTTTGTCAAGCTGGGATGTTTGATATTGATCAATAACTTAATATGATTTTCGATCTCATTTAATCTGTCAGCATTTATTTTACTAATATCTGTTCTTTTTATGACATAAAATTGTTTATCAATTAATGATCTAACAAGTAGATGTTCCTCAACAATAATACCTTTATTGACTTTTTTGAATAAGACTTTTTATAATTTATAATTATTCATATTATGTATTATCATAATCCTGATCCATATTAACCTGTTTAAACACATGGTTAGTATAATGAGAAGACACATAGAAACAGTGGATTTTTAACAGAAACCCAAGATGATTATGCTGATTACTAATATTATGATCCTTACTAAAGTTAATTACATAATAGAACTTATCTGACTGATGTTCGTCCTCTAAATTATAGTATGATTATTGAATCTATAATAGCAAACAATGAATATCCTCCATATTCACTCAAAATAGGATAACCATAATTATATTTTGATCCTAACGATCCCAGCAATATTCCATTTATGCCTCATGAAAGTAAGCATTTTTTAATCATTCAAGGATACGATGATGGATATGAAGAATATGTACTATAATTTATCAAAAATTTGCCAAGATCTACTTAAAATTTTGAGGAAGTTGCTTTTGCAAAATATTTAGCTGAATGCTCCATTATTGATAAGAATATCTGGAAATTATAGAGGATGCTAAAATAAGATTAAAGATTCAATGTTAAATTACTTTTTGATTTCTTTGATTCTAAAAAGAATGGAACTATAGATTATAATGAATTTCAGTTAGGATTATAGAAATTGGACATTATTTTGAATTCTACTGAATTGACTTAAATGTTTCTTCGTTATGGAGGCATGGATGATAATCAAATCTCATCAGTTGAATTCAAGTATATGCTAATAGGTCCAGATGATTAATAGTAATTTATGTAATTTGGAGCAATGCATTATATGCATCATCCATTAAAATAGAATATTCCATAGTTTCTTTCTGTTGCTTAACGAGAATGGATATGTGAAATAATGCATCTATAATTGTAATTAGAAAAAAACCTAAATTTTATTAAAGAAGTTATTGGAACAAAGGATATCCTATTAGCTTTATTTAAATAATTAGATATCGGAATGAAGGGTTACATTACTAATTAAGACTTAATTATTTACATGAATCAATTAGGAGGATAATTTGAATCTTAAGATTTAAAAGGTTGTTTAGGAAGAATGTCCAAGTAATTATTTAAATATCTTTAGAGTTCATTGTAGTCGTATAAATTTTAATGAATTCAAAAGAGAATTCTTTTTAGACAAAAAGTAGAAATCAGACTAAGATTAAAATATTGATATCATGAGTGATAGGAAAAAAACAAGGCAAAAAGATTACATTTAAGAATTGCATCAAAGAACAAGAGACTTATAAAATTAATAATAATAAGCTTAAAAACTCTCTACTGAACGTAAATCTCAACCTTTACTCACTAATACATAAAATAAATAGCCTTAGCCATATGTTATATAACCACCATTAGTATAAAAAAAGAAATAAGAATAATTATCGTAGTAAAATGATGATGACTTAGATGATTTATTGTTTCCTGGTTTTTAAAAATACGAATTACAACCATTAGATAAGGAATATTGATAATATGCAAATACTACCAATAATATAATTTATATTTATCATGCTAAGCCTTCTAATTCAAGTTTCATAGGGATGATTTAGCTATTTACAAATTTTATAATTTCTTTGTAATGATAATATTTCATCAAATTTTTAAGTTCCTAGAAATAAATAATATATTTTTTACTTCAGAATTTTTATCAATAACTTCTAACATTCTATTACAAACATCTATATTCTTTTTAATAATCTATTTTTCTCTCATTGTTAACATTATAATATGCATTCTAAACTCTGGAGTAGATGGATCATTTAATCTTCTTTAATCATCTTCTATCGTACTAGCAAAATTTTGTAATTCTGTTTCTAATATTTTTTTTAATGCTTTGAAAGTAGCCTTCTCCAAATCAATAGTTTTAGTAGTAGTATGCCATCCTGGCCAAAATTACTTAAAATTTTAAACATCTTCTTCTAATTATAAAAAGTCATCTAATTTAGAAAGTTATGTAAATCTAACAGTTGCTAAAGTCTATCTAAAAGAATCATGATCAGTTTCATTTACTAATTTATTCCCCCAACATATATTTCCTTTAGTTAATTCAATTTTTAGGTTGAATAATCTATCATTTTTATTCAAACAAATATCGAAATCAAATTGATTCATAGGATTATTTAAACTTGCAAATCCATAATTCATAAAAAAATATTTGTTAGACCATTAACCATAATTATAAAACAATTCTTCTCCCATCTAAATATTTCTAGCCGCTTACATAAAAAATCCATCTGCTTCTTTAGAATATCCATATTTCAAAAATCCATTATTATCATGATTTATAAAATCTACAATATATTTAAAATTAAATACCTGCCAATGGAACCAATAATTATTATTATTCTTTATCTCCAATTTTGACTGTAAAACTTCTAGATATTGTTAAAATTCTAAATTTAATGAAATCATTATAAGTATATCCATATTTCTAAAATTCTTTAACTGCTTCTTTTAAATTTTCATATTCTTCTTTGAATACTTTCCTTTGATTAATCACTGTAAATAGAGTTGGTGATCCTTTCAATAATGCATCCTACTCAGCATCAAAATAAGTAGGAAATCCACTTACATCTTTTGGTAGAACATCTATATAAGGTTTCCAAAATGAATATTATCTATACAATTATATATATAAAATTACCTTCTATTTTCTTATAACAAATGATTCACGAAGTATGTCTAAACATTGTTTGGTTTATAATTTATTTAAATCATCTTTCTATTTATTAAACAACTCTTTTTCACTTCCTCTAATGATAAATAGTTTGTTCTTGGAATGAACATAACCCATTCACCTTATCTAATGAATTAAGCTGCTCTTAATGTTCTATAACCTTCGCTCTTTACTTCTATCTTAACCTTTGAAACTTCAGCTTTGCCATCTTTCAACCATTGTATCAGATTTTTATAAGGATCCTTTCAATAGATAACTGCAGATACTGGGTTATCATAAGTTTGTCTTTTCGGTTTGCTTTTTTCTTCCCATTCCATATCGTCCTAGCAGAATGATTACAAAAGTGTTATTCCCACAATACACGCTTTTAGTAATATCATTTAAATTAATATTCAAGAACTTTTTATAAATTCAGTTTAACCAAATTATTTCTATTAAAAATATTATTTATTTATTCTTTATAACCCATCTTGATGATCTTCTTAAATCTTTAGATGCTCTATTCTTTTCATATAACACATCTAATCATATTTTTAATTTCATCATTTTCTTTATTTAAACCAAATATCTATGCCATTATCTAATTCCTTTAATTAATACTCCTTTATGTCATCTCGAATAGTATTAAAAGTTAAGGAATTTCTAATTATTAATTATTTGAAAATTGTCTTTTTATTTTTACTTTAAAAAATCCATTTTCTGTTTCTATAATCTATAGAATTGTTTGATGATTTACTGTTACTAGAAATTTAAGAATTTCAAAGATATTTCTCAGAAAAGATTTACTAATTTTTAGATTACTTGCATGTTCCTGAAATTAAAACAAATTATTTTTTATTTAAATATATCATTTAAGTATATAAATATTTTAATAAGAATTGATACTTTAAAATTTAAATAAAAGTTTCTATAAATTTTGTATAGAAATATTATCAGAAATTGATCAAAGTTCTGAGAGTTCTCTCAAATGTATCATCAGTGAATAATGTTTGGGATGGAATTACATATACAAAATGAATAATGATTTTGCTGTTCTCATAAATTTTATTTTTAACCTCAGTTATTATTATAAAAAAAACAATAAAAAGTATAACTAAATAGATAATATTGAAAATCTAAATATAAAGAATGATTTACCTTTTACTGATCCACCAATTTGGTTGTAACATAAATCAAATCATTATAAAAATTAGAATTCATTACATTAATAACTTCAGATATCATAAATGCCCCTTCTAATTCATTCTAAGTAGGTATAGCTCTATAAGTAAAATTATTGATAGCAACATCTGTTTCGATTAAATTTTAAATATATATTAACATCGCTTTCAAACCATGCCTCATATTTTAATTCATTATAGTTGGACATAACTATTCTGCTCTAATTTTTATATCTACTGGTAAGTATTCACACAAATCGCTAAGTTAAACTTTGGTATAAAAGTCTTAAAAGCTATTTGTCACAAGCATTCTTAAAATATTATTATTATTTCAAATTACTTTTCAAAATTTGGATCTTAGGATGTAAATAATTTAGTATTATTTAGAGATTCCATAATATAATACCACATTCTATCAAAATAAGCCGCATCTAAATACATATAGTTTTTTCTTCCATAAAGAACTTCTCTTTATGCAAACATTAAGGGTATATCACCTCCAAGATCAGCCAATTATTTTTTATAATATGCAGTTTCAGGGTATTTTTTTAAATATTTTAAAAATTCCAAATAATTTACTATACTATTTAATGTGATTATNGTATTAAAAGTTAAGGAATTTCTAATTATTAATTATTTGAAAATTGTCTTTTTATTTTTACTTTAAAAAATCCATTTTCTGTTTCTATAATCTATAGAATTGTTTGATGATTTACTGTTACTAGAAATTTAAGAATTTCAAAGATATTTCTCAGAAAAGATTTACTAATTTTTAGATTACTTGCATGTTCCTGAAATTAAAACAAATTATTTTTTATTTAAATATATCATTTAAGTATATAAATATTTTAATAAGAATTGATACTTTAAAATTTAAATAAAAGTTTCTATAAATTTTGTATAGAAATATTATCAGAAATTGATCAAAGTTCTGAGAGTTCTCTCAAATGTATCATCAGTGAATAATGTTTGGGATGGAATTACATATACAAAATGAATAATGATTTTGCTGTTCTCATAAATTTTATTTTTAACCTCAGTTATTATTATAAAAAAAACAATAAAAAGTATAACTAAATAGATAATATTGAAAATCTAAATATAAAGAATGATTTACCTTTTACTGATCCACCAATTTGGTTGTAACATAAATCAAATCATTATAAAAATTAGAATTCATTACATTAATAACTTCAGATATCATAAATGCCCCTTCTAATTCATTCTAAGTAGGTATAGCTCTATAAGTAAAATTATTGATAGCAACATCTGTTTCGATTAAATTTTAAATATATATTAACATCGCTTTCAAACCATGCCTCATATTTTAATTCATTATAGTTGGACATAACTATTCTGCTCTAATTTTTATATCTACTGGTAAGTATTCACACAAATCGCTAAGTTAAACTTTGGTATAAAAGTCTTAAAAGCTATTTGTCACAAGCATTCTTAAAATATTATTATTATTTCAAATTACTTTTCAAAATTTGGATCTTAGGATGTAAATAATTTAGTATTATTTAGAGATTCCATAATATAATACCACATTCTATCAAAATAAGCCGCATCTAAATACATATAGTTTTTTCTTCCATAAAGAACTTCTCTTTATGCAAACATTAAGGGTATATCACCTCCAAGATCAGCCAATTATTTTTTATAATATGCAGTTTCAGGGTATTTTTTTAAATATTTTAAAAATTCCAAATAATTTACTATACTATTTAATGTGATTATTGAATAAAACAAAATTAGAACTAAAATAAATTTATAAGGAGGTATTCGTTTTTTTCTTAAATTTTTTGTATTTTTTGTCTCTTTTTCAATTTTTTATTCAAAAAATTCAAATTCTTTTTCTGCTATTTTAAGATTATAATTAAACTTATAAGAATTATCTGATTACAATTTATCAAGCAATTATTTAAATTTTAAGATCTCTTATTAGATTGCATCATTATCAGAATATTAACTTAAATGTAAAAATAGTATAAGTTTTTTATTAATATAAATTTTAGCATAAATAATTGACATGACCATTATTACCAAAAATAATTACTAAAATACAAACATAGTTTCCATTTAATCTTAAAAATTTTATCCTCTAGATATTGTTTGAACCATAATATCAGAATTTAATTAAGTCATTATATCTCTCATTGGGGGATAATTTTTAAAACTATAAAAGATTTACGGGCTATCTGCTTTAACCGTTTTCTCATAAATGTAATTCATTTTCAAAATGTATTAGAAATTTAATAAAACAGATATTGCTGTTCTGAGAGTCATATTATATTATTCTGATTTATAAGTATCAAGATAAGAATAAGCCTCTATATATTTAGTTTATAATAATCCTTAAAGTTCTTGTCGATTAAGAACTAATTTTAAATTAGAATTTAGTGAATCAAATCCAAGTCCTAAATTAGAAGTTGCAAATTTAGAAACTGAATTATACTCTTCTTGAGATATAATACCATTAGTTTTTTGGAAATTGTAAGTCCATAAATTCCATCTAGTAACTAAAAACATATCCATCGGTTAAAAGAAAAGATTTTTAATTTCTAATAAATTGATATCAATTGCAAATGCAACTAAATTTAAACTTGATAATTGCTAAAATATTATAAAAATATTACAATAATAATGAATAATGCTTAAATAATTAAACTTAATACAAACATTAAGACCAATAATTAATGTTATCTTTTTAAAGGCATATGTTTGTTGAATTTATTATAAAGGTCATATTTTCTATAAAATTTAGAATTTCTAAGCATTCTAATTGATGATACTTAAGATTGATCTTCTCTATCAAATAATTCTTCTTTTTTAACATCTTATTGTTCTAGTTATAAACCTTTTCCTTCTCCACCTTAAGTTAAAGATTTGATAGAATTTTTTTTACTTTCGGTTTTTATTTTCTCAACTAAAAGACGTTATTCAGGATCAGCTCTTGATGTAAACACACATGGTTAAGTTGGATCGATATTTAAGACCCTTTTTATTGCTTCTTCATTTAAACTTTTAATTTCATTTTGACTCTTTACTTTATTTAGACTTTTTGCCTCTTTCAAACTTTTCACATCATTTAATCCTTAAGCTTCATTATTTTAATTAAGCATATAAGTATCTTAATTAGAAACTTATTTAATTAATATAAGTCTCTCTTCTGCTATACTTAATTCATTAGCAGAGGATGATACAATTGTTTGTGTTTCTTTTTTTGTTGAATTACCATTATTTGAATAAATAATCTGTATATTCTCAAGCTTTACTATCATGTAAATCATTTTTTATTCATATTCTTTTACTATTATTTCTAAATTACAATAGTAACGAACATCATCAGATACATCATTTTAGTACACTAACTTTTGTGTATTTATTAGTACATTTTCTATAAAACAACTTTAATTCACTTCTTAAATTTCTGGAAATACACTTATTACTGGTGAACCTTTAGTAAAAAGTGCTTTATAATATTTAATTTCTTTCAATTGATTTGTATAACTAGTTATATTATATTTTTCATCAACAATCAAAACAGCATTCTTTATTAAAGTTGGAGATATCAAACAAATAAAATTTACTTAATCAGAATATGTTAAATCAATTGCAAAATCTACAGTATCAATTAATTATCCATGAGTTATATAATTTTAGTTTAATTATCTTACAAATTTAGATTTGCCTGTTATTATGAATTCATCTACTAATTTATTATGCCATTCACGAACTCCAAAAGGAATTAAATCCTAAAAATTTTTATTACATATAAATGAAGGAGCATTACTAGAAATTTTATTCATTTACAATTATCCATTTTCATATTTTGTTGTTATATAAAACATATGTTTATTTGTTTTATAATCTATAAAATATATATCTGATGATTTTTTAGCATGAATAATCATTTCATTTGCTTCCAGTAAATCATTTAAAATTTCTGCATAAAAAAAACATACTAATGCTTATACCATACAATTAGGTTCAGTTTTATAATAATTATCTATTTATTTTTTTATTTTTAACATTCTATTCACAAATTTATAAATCTCATTAAATTCATTTGTTTTCCAATTTTATAATAATTTTATTTTCCACATAATAATTTTTAATAAACTATTCGAAATTTTAATATTTTTAATATCATTTGATATTAATTTTGAAGCTACTCCTAATAATTATTGATTTTTAACTTTTTAACATAAATCTTAATTGATTTAATTAATACATTTTTTCAATAATTGATTTCTCTTAATTTATCTTATAAAATTTTAATCTTTTAACTTATTGAGAATTAAAAAGCTTTCATAAAACTTTCTTTACTACAATAAAATCGATGCGTTAATAATAGGATCTTTTGTATAGATGAAATCTGATAATCTTATATATGACATGATTTTAAAGAAGAAAGGCACAATAATTAGAGTGAAGGAATTTTCAAAATAAATAAATTACATTATTCCAGCATATAAAGTCAACAATTAAATTGAAATCATTATTAATCTTATTTATGAAGATCTTTAGTTTTTTATTAATATAAGGTCTAAAGCTTGTGTTGCTGAATTTACTATTGCAATAATTTATACATATTTAAGCTAGAAATTTAATTTATAAAATATCATCAACATAATATTTATCATCACAGTTATTATACTAAAAAATGTAATTTAAGTTCTCTAAAAATTCTTTGTATTTATGTCTAGTGTTCCTTATATAAATAATATCTCAATCATCTGCATAATTATTATAAGTCCCGCTATTATATACCCTAAAATGTCTTAAAATTATTCAATAACAAAATTTAGAAATCCTACCTTCATGAAACAATTTATAAGACTTATTATATTTTTCCCAGGTATTTAAGCCTTTATTATACACATTATTTGTAAAATCAAGTAGCAAATTCCAAAAATATAAAAATAAGAAATTTATATGTTAACAGATGGTCTAGCAAATAACACCAAAGCATAAAGCCAAGAAGATGAATTCTGATAATATATGTATGAAATATTCAATAGGGATGCATGTATAAGTAGTATATTGACTAAGCTCTCTGGTAATGTAAGGGCTATATCATCATATTCCATGTATTTTGTTAATATTTTCGACATTAAATGACTAATTTTAGGCATCGAGAACAAAATAAATGAAACAAAAATTATGATTATTATTTTAAAATTATCTTCCGTACAAATCTCATTTAATTCATGTTTTAAGATTGTCTCAATATAATTATTTTAAAATAATATCATACTAAGAATATACTTGTTGAGACATTTAACATTTACAATAAGCTAATTATTACTTATAATTCTATCTACATCTTATTTACTCAAATACAATTAAATTCATAATATTATAATTATGTTTATATTTTATTCATTATAAAATTTCTTTTATCTTATTAGAAAATTATTGGGTCTCTGAATATTTCAAATGTGTCAAATGTTTTTTTAAAAAAATTTAATTGTTTATAAATTTATTTTATTATGAAAGCTGTTTTAGAAGTAAAATTCAAGAGAAAAGTCTTCTGCTCAAAAATAATTTAATAATCAATATATTATTTATATTTTATACTTAAAATTGTAGATTAAATAGATATTTTTGTTATTTCGAAATAATAAATAGTAGTTTGAAAATACAGAATTTTATTTAATTTAATAATTTCTTTTATAATATTAAAAATAGATAAAAAATTTTTGTTATAGTTCATTAAGAAAATGATATTTTGTTAAAATTTGAATTTTTAATCAAATAATATTAATTGAATTAGCAATAAGTTGAATCTAATTAATGATTGATCTCTAAGTTTATGACTAAAAATTTAACCTTATGATAAACACTAAAATAATGTAAATATTTTTTAAATTAGATTTTTTTAATTATTAGCATTGAAAGTTTATTCTTCCTTAAAATTTAAAAATATTTGAAATCATTTCTTAAATTCATTAAATATTTAAAATTCTAAATCAAATGATAGTAATTAGACAAATTGATTGATTTCAGGTTTTTAAGAGAATAAAAAATATTTAACAATTTTTAAAATTATTGATTAAATAAGATTCTTAACGTCTCTCTGTAAATATATAAAATGAAAGCTTTGATATGATTTAATCTTGTTTTTTGTATTGATTGAAATGATCAGCTGCTTTTATAATAATTAAGATTTAAGATTAATTGATTGATATTAAATTCAGCAAAATTGAATGATTACTCAATTTATTTTAGAGAGTAATCAAAAATAAGAGTGTAAGGTTAATAAATTTACAGAAATAACTTAAAAAAAGTGATAAATAATAAAAGAGTTTAAAAATAATTCATAGAGATTAATTCTTTAGTTATAATAAATTAAGAATCATAATATTAGTGAAATTTAAACATTTAAATATTTTGTCATCTAGATTATCTTATTAATTTAAATATAATTTTATTTAATTATGCATAATTTTTTGTTTGGAAATAGAAGAACAAATTATTCAAGTTACAATCCCTTTGGTTCTTAGAAAAGCTTGAAACCAGGAATTATAAGTAAGATAAAAAATAAGATTTATGGATTATTTCAACCAACAATTAACTCATAAAGTTTAATCCAACGAATACCATAATTAGAAGATAACAATTTAGAATAAGAACTATCTAATTAATTTAAAAATAATCTTGTTCTAATAGATAGAATTATGCCAATTAAGGAAGAGAATATAGGACTCAAACGCAAGTCCATATTTCCTTTTGAATAATACCTAAAAGAGGAATTTGATACTGATAAAAAAATATATAGAAAAACATAAAATGATTCAAATAGAAAACATATGAATTAGAAGATCAGAATGTCGAATTCTAAAAAACAAAAGAAATTTAAAAAAGATCACTCGAAAATTTATAAAATTCAAAAAATGGAAGGTAATATTTGTAAATAATAACAATAGAAAATCCAAATTAGTTAGGGTTTAACCTAAATTATCAAAATTTAAAGTAAAATTTAGAAGTAAAATAAGAAAATTCTTCAGAATATTTATAAAATGTTTCCATTAAGTAGTTGAAATAGTTTAATACTTTAATTTAAGATAGTATTCCATTTAAATAATAAAAAGGTGAAACAAATAATTATTTATCACCAGTAAAAATACGAATAAATCAGTCAATTATATAAAATGATGAGAATAAAAATAAAGAATCTAATTCTATAAAAGGACTTAAAGCATCTTTATCTTCTCTATATAGTTCATCAAATAAAGAATTTGTGAAGGATGATTTAAATATAAATAAAAAATTTTCAAGTTCAACTGGAACTAATACAAAAGGTGAGGGAAATGAAACAATACTAAGTTTTAAAAATGATGATTTTCAATAAGAACTTTAAGAAAATATATAAAAATTAAAATAAAATAAAAATACTTCAATTTTCAAATAAAATTAAGATGAAATGTTTCAAAATAATTAAGCATCAAATTATTTTATAACAAAATTGAATCAAGTAAATAATTTGAGTATTAAAATAGTAATCAGAAGAGTTCAAAAAGGAGAAGTGTACAATATTAGAAGATTATGTCAATCAAACATAAAAAAGTGATGAAAATTTACAACTTTAAGATTTTGAAGGATCAAACTTAATTTAAAATTTATTTAATGGAAATAAATAAATTATTTAATAAGATATAAAAAATGAAGAAGAAAAAAAGGATATTTTATCTATCAAATCAAATACCAATCCATGTTGTTAAGAATTCTAAAAAATAATTATAAGTAATACTGATACCAATATCCAAAAATAAAATGTAAATTAAGAATTATATCTTTCAGAAATGAAGATAAAATAAGATTTTCAAAATTAACAAGAGAAAATAATCCCATAAAACCAATTGTAATAAGAATAATATATGAATAGAAGTTTTAAAACTTAGATTGAAAAATAAAATTAACTATCAGTAGATATCTCAAAATTTTAGGATTCATAATCACAGTAGTAAAATAATGAAATTCAAAAGAATATTCTTCAAAATAGCTTTTTGACTAATTAGAATAAGCAAACAATTGATAAAAATGAGAAATTAGGAAAAGAATAAAACCCATTTTTAATATCAAGTCCTAAAATTAGTTATGATCAAATAAGTTTATATTTTTAATCTAGTGCAATATCCAATTAAAATAAATAATGCTAATCATAAAATTAGAATTAAGGAATGATAGATATTTTCAAAATTTCATAATAATAATCATCTTAATAAATAATGAACAAAGTTTAGGATAAATACAATTCTTAAAATTTATAATAAACAATTAATCATTTCGAGAATCCAAAAATACTTTAATACTCATTTAATAAATAAATGGAAATCAACGAATAATCTCCATTAATTCATTAAAATATTTAAAATTAATAATAAATATTTGATTCAGCAAAATTAAATTATTATTAATAGTAGCCGACTTAATAGAATATTCTTTTTTAATAGTAATAATAATGGTAGCATTATCCGTTATAAATATAACTTTAAAATAATTTTCCTTTATAACAAAATACTTCAAATTAAGTTTCAAGTTTAAATTTATTCCAATCTAATCCTTACTAATAATAATAATCAAATTAAATAATGAATAAACCTCTTTACTTAAAGAATGATGTCTTATCTCTTTTTTAGGATACTAAAAAATCTGATAGAGGTGAAAATTTAATTTATAATTTAGATATTTTTTAGACTTAATAATATCAATAGACAAGTTAAAGTTTGAATAATAGTTTAAATAAAGGTAGAAAGAAGTAAAGGATTAATAATTTTTGATGATTTTCATGACATAATTTATTTTTTTATTAAATATAAATCACTTAATTTAAATTCTTGCTCTAAATATGGGAAAAAGTTGTAAGTACAAAGTAATTTTTAACTTATTTTAAGATGAGTATTAAAATTAATAAGAAATAAATAATGGTTTTAGAAAGAAAGTAAATGTATATTTATAAGATATGGATGATAACTATTAGATTATTTTAAGATAACTATGAATATATTAAAGAACAAAAAAGATGATTTTATCAAAATGAATAAGAATTTTATTCAAATAAAATGTAATAGAAAATAAATTATTTTTATTGACTAATATATGTACTTTAGATATTTTTTTTTTTTAATTTTATTAATAAATATGGCAGAAAAAATTTTTAATCTAATAAAAAAACAAGAAGCAGAATAAAATGGATAGTTGGAAGAATTAGAAATCTCAAATATTCAAATTGATTAATTAACTCCTTAAATTATATATTTTTTGAAGAAACATTCTAAATTATTAACTTTAACAATTGTAGATTATTAAAACTTTGGATGGATAACCAAAAATTGAATCATTACAAACTTTGATTTTAGAAGACAATAGATTAGATGGAAATGCATTAAAATCCATAAGTGAGAATTTTAAAAATTTAATCAGCTTATCTTTAACAAATAATTAAATCGTGTCATTGGATGTATGAATTTAAAATTTATTAAAGGAATTACATGTACTAACAAAATTAAATAATTTATAATAATTAGATTTCTAAAATAATTAAGTGGAACAGTAAAAGGATTATCGTAAAAAAATTTTTGAAATGTTTCCTAATTTATAAATATTCGATAATAAAAATAAAGATGGAAATAACATTAAATATTCTGATGTAAAAATAAAATTTATTTTAGGAAGATATAAATGATAAAGAGGGTCTTAAATCTGATTCTGAATATAATGAAAATGATAAAGATCATGAAGATGAATTTATTCAATAATTCATTTGAATTTATTTAATCTTCTATAATTGGTTAGTGTGAATTGAAACTTCTTATGATAACAGATAAATTTTTTAATAATAATTTTTTCATTTTATTAAGATATTAGATATATACTAAGAAAGACGATACTAGATAAATTTAATATCTGAGAAATATATATTTATGACTTATTAGTTAATAGTATAAATTTAAGTGATATGACAATAAAGAGCTGTGATAAATAAAAAGAGTGATTTATTAATTTATTATTAATTTAGTAATATTTTTAAATTAACCGATTATAATTTAAAATGAAAGGGTTTCACTATTAAGTGACTTTGAATATAAATAAGGTAGAGTTATCTATAAAATTTCCTTGTACATTATAAGTAATGTGGAAGCGTGGTCTAAATAAATGTATAACAAAAACTAAAGAGAAAGATAAAAATATCTTTGTTGTAAATGAATCCCTTACACTGGATTTTAATATAGGTGAGAATATATAAAAAAAGACCTATTTGATTGTATTACTTAATGTTTAAGGGCAATCAAAATTGGCTGGAGTTGTTAATTTTGATATTAATGAAAATATGTCTAATTAAGGAGAATGTATATTAAATTTAGATAGAAGTCCTGATTCAAATGCTAAAATATTCTTTTCTTATTAGATTATAAATTTAGGGGATGTTAATTTTACAGATAGTAGAGTCAATGAATCATTTAATCATAAAACTTTGGGTGATTCTTTTGGTCAAGATAAAGAAAATAAAAATTATAAAGGTAATACTATAAAAATATCAAATTATGATAATTAATTGAATAAAGAATTGTATGAGAAGAGTCTTAAAGATTTGGATTAATCTAAATTGAAGATTACTTAACTTTAAGATTAGATTAATAAATTTGAAAAAGAAAAATCATAATTAATTGAGGAGATTAATTCTCTGAAGAAAAATAATTTAGAATTGAAAAATGAAAATGAATATTTGGAAAAACAAAATGAAAATTAAAAAAATGAAATACAATAATAAAAGGAAAATGGTTATTTAGTTAATAAATAAACAGTAAAGATAGAAGAATTAAATCACTAACTTTAAAATTAAATTCTTCAATATCAAATACTTTAGAATAAATATTAATAAAGTATGAAGAAACTAAAATAATTTGAAGAATCTTAAGAGTTTAGTAAAATTAATAAGGTAGAAAGATCTACAAATACAATGATTTTTGAGATTCCAGAATTTATAGAATGCAATTAAACCATAAAATAATAAGATGAATAATTAAATGAATAAAAGAGAAAAAATGAAAAATTATATTTTGATTTAGAATATACATAGAATAAATTATGCACTATAGAATAGGAATTAGATTAATTATAAATTTAATATCTTAATTTATAAAAGTAATGTTCTTAGTAAAAAGATTAATGTAATAATTTAGAGATTGAGAATTTGTAATTAAAAAGATTAATTAAAGAATGTGAAGAGTATAAATTATAAATGGAAGGAAATAATAAAAAGAACTAAAGTGATTTATAAAAGTAGATTGATAATATGAATGAATAGTTAAAACAATATAAAGATTAAGTATAATAAAATATAAATAAAATAGTTTGAATAAATGAAAGAGAAATACATTTAGTAGAAATAGAAGATAGAGAAATTAAATGAAGTGATTAATCAATAAAATGAGGAACTTACAATATAAAGTATTAGTTTTTTAAAGGAAATACAAGTTATTTAAAAGAAATAAGAATAATTTGGAATAATTTGATTTTTATATTTAGCTTTTTTATATATTAATTATCCGTTAAACATGCTGAAAATCTCGAATAAGTCAAGAAAGAATGAATAATTGGAAACAATATAAGTGATTGAGAAATGTACAAGTATGATTAATTGTTATTGATTATAGAAATAATGAAAGAGGATCGTTTATAATTGAGATAGATGGTAAAGGATGAAAATGTGAAACTAATTGAATTAGTAGCAAAACATAAAAGAAGAAATGATCTCAATGATTTATAATAAGAATTAAGAAAGTTTCTTAAAGATAAAAAGGGCTCACCAGAGAAGGTTTAAGGTGGTGCACCTTTAATATTAAGAAAAGTAAAATCAAAAGAGAGATGTGAATGGAATACATCTATGAGTTCTAATCCATCAATAAAATCTCCAAGTCGATCCAATTTAGATTTTAGAAAGAAATAAAAAGATGAATAATCACATAAAAAAATGGAATCACTTAAAATTTAAGAGAAATTAGATAGTCAATTAGAACATAAAGAAAATGAAGAATTTAAGATACTTGATGAAATATAAGAAGTAAAAGTATAAGAATAATAAATTGTATTCAATACAGCTAATTCAGTCATCGATCCATTTTTTGAAGATTTAACTCCTGTTAAAATGGAATTTTAAACAATTGTTTCTTAAGCACCTCTTAATTAGAGTGATTAAAGAAGTGAATGCATTTTATAATATAATGCAGCAGAAATATAATAATATATCTAATAAGATAGACATTATGTTTCAAAACAGACTTATATAATTCCATAATTAATAAGTCTTCATTATAAATAGATGGCAAATGAAGAATATTAAAATTTATTTACGGATTGGAAAAGTATTCTCACTCCTTAACAACCTACATATCATATTAAATAAGATAATGTATATTAATCAGAATTACAAATCGAATAAGAATAATTAACAGAATAATCAGAATAATCAAAATAAAATTTAACTACTCTTAAAACTGAACCTTCTTAATTAGTAAAAAGCTTAGAAATAAGAGGAGTAACTGCTGAAGAATTATTTACTTATTTAGTACATCATAGATTCACTAAAAGATTGAACTTATATTAGCTAATTGAAAATGCTAAAATAGCTATTCCTAATGCTTAATTAGATTTAGATTCTTTATTTAAATTAGCAGATACTGATGAGGATGGATGGATTAATTTAGAAGATTTAGGAGAAACTTTAATAGAAACATGTGTTGAAAAAGAATCTCATCCAAATCTAATTAAAGAATTATATAATCAATTAAATGGAAATGTTAAAATGGAAAACTTTATAAATTCAATGAATGATCGAATCTAAGCAGAAATGTAAAAATTTAATATTTTATTTAGTCTCTACCATGAAATTGATCTATTTGGCAAAGGAAATATTACATATTGGGAAATGTATAATCATTATGAAGAAATTGAAAAATTATTGATTAGATGATTCACATATATAAATTAGTACTTATATAATCAATATAAAATATTTCTCAATTTTTTATAAAATGAAAGGTTCAATAGAGATTTTTAGGTATTGAAATGACAGATTATTAATATATATTTTAAATTTATGGTATTAATTGATTAATTAAAAATGATTAATTAAAAATGCTATTAATAAAGTATGTGAATCCATAATATTATGAAAATTTAAGACGATTTAAATACAGTGGTCAGAATCTGTCGATTTTATATAATTGGATTCTTGGAGATATTGCATAATGGTTGGTAAGTAAATAATTATATAATTAAGGTTGATTAATTGCCAAGAACAGTAGCACCAAATCTTATTACATTAACAGGATTCTGTAATTTATTAACAGGATTTGCTTTGATATTTATTTTGAATCCAATGTTTGATTAAGATTTACCATAATGGGCTAGTTTATATTTAGCTTGGACTATTTTTGTATATCAAACATTAGATAATGCTGATGGAAAATAAGCAAGAAGAACAAAATAATCAACTGCTTTAGGAATGCTAATGGATCATGGTAGTGATTGTACTGCAACATGGATTGCTGGATTATTATATATTAATGCTTTTAAAATTACATTTACACCATTTAATATTTTAACAGCAATAGGAGTAAGTTTTTTAAGTTTTTATTTTGGTGTTTATTGTCAATAATATACAGGAGTATTTTAATTAGGAGTTATTAATGGTGTTGATGAAGGATTACCAATACTTTAACTATTTTTCTTGATAACTGCAATCATGTCATCATAGTTTTGGCTTAATGAAATTTAACTCACAAATACACTTTCAATTCAATATAATACAATAATACTTGTTATAACTATTAGTGCATCCATTGGTACTATCATTTAATTTTGTTATCCAGTTTTCAAAAAGATGAATTGGAATGTTATCAAAATTTTAACAAGTCTCTAAATACCTATTACTTTAATGGTAACATTCATAAGTTTAATCTATTTATCCCCAACTTAAGTTTTATTAAAATGGTTCCATATTTATGTTATTACTATTGGATTATAATGGTCTAAAATCATTAATTTATGGTAATTAGCGATCATTACTAAAGAAGTAATTATATATATATATATTTTATAGACTTTCAGTTAATTTTCTATCAGTTGGGCCTTGATTTTAGGTTCAATTATGTTAAATTTAATTTCACAATTTATAACTTCAGATGGTCTTTGTTTTTTTGATGAAGTCAAATTGATCTTTGTTTTGTTAGCATTCTCTTTTTTATCCTATCTACATTGTGTAATAAGCATAGTACACTAATTATGTGATGTCCTAGATATTTATGCATTCAGCATTAAAAACCCACAATGAGTAATAAATTTATATAATTATCATATTAAAAAAAAATGACTTTAAGTGATAATGTTAAAACTATATGGAATTCTATAACTTTTGGATCTAAGTTTATATTATTAGTAAGTATCTTATGCTACATAATCGACTATTTCTATTAGGGATACTTTTTTTCATTATTTGTGAATATACCAAAGAAAACTATATTTTAATATCAAATTTGGAGGATTCTCATTCCTTAGTTTTTTCATGGTATATGCCATTTAAATTAACTTAGGCGATATATATAATCTTGCTATTAGTTTATTTGGGTTTCTATATTTTGCAGTTTAAACAGAAAAAATAATTGGTACTATTTAATTTTTTATTGATATATTCCTTAAAAACCTTATAATTTAAGTACATAACTAATCTATTCATAGATCATTTATGTATTATTTTGTTTAGGATTTTCTTATGTAGAAAATGATATGATGATTTCTAATTCTTTTGGTTTTTGGAATATTTCATTTATTTATTAGATGAGAAAGTAAACTAAATTTAAATTTAATTAGAGCATTAAATGATGAAGAAGAAACTTAAAAATTTTTATGCTTTTCCTTTTAATTTCCATCAAAGTATTTACCTGCTATTTTCTTTCTGTTAATGAATTTAATTTTATTTCCAAGAATAGATTTAATAGGAGCTACAATATTTTCATTTATTGAAAATTAATTTTTTGATGGATTCTCTTTTAAATTATCTAATGTAATTAGAAGAATTATTCAAGGAATTCTAAAAATAATGTGACAATAAATTTCCATTTAAATATTTTTCAAGCCGACTTGATTTTGTAACTGCAGAATAGATTGAACCATTTGATTCAAAGAAACAAGTATCTTCACTTGAGTTTGGAATAATATCAACAACAGAGATTAAGCCTAAAACAGAAAAATAGAATTGAATAATAGTTTATTTAAGTTATTAATAAATAAAAGAGTTAAATATTATATAATTAAGTAGATTTATGTGTATAATTTTTATATATTGTATATTGAAGTATTTAAATTATATATATGCTTCATAATCAACAAATTTTTAAAAAAGTCTAGTATAGATGTAATATGTAAAAATATTTGTTGTTAGGAGCCATAAAATATAAATTTTATATATAATATTTTGACTCATTGTCCTTTAGGCTAAAAATCTTACTAGGTCTGTTGCAATTTTAAAGTATTTTGAGACTTCTTTCCGAAAATAACTTTGGAATCATAATTACTCTTAAACTAAATTTAAGTAATTGGTTTGTCTTTTTAAAATTAAATACTGCTTTTATAAGCACTCGAATTAAATTAAGCCCATTAATTTTATGTTTTATCTTATGAAACTCTCTAAGAATCGAGATTTTTAAATCCTGTAGGATGTTCTAACTTAAGTCTTTCATTATCTTCATTGAGTTGCATGATTTGAATTTTAAATTAATCAATTTGTTTATCTTTTCTATCGATTTCAAATTTATGTTGCTTCTATAAATTGTTATACTTCTGTTAGACAATCTCTAATTATTATTTAACTTGCATATTCTATTCATACAACTCTCCTAATTCAATGACAGCTTTCTACTCTCGATTGTTGGCTTCTTAAATCTACTATCTCATATTCTAAAGTGTTGCTGTTCATTTATTAATAAAGGATACATTCTCTTCTTTGATTCTATTCTAAAAAAACTTCCTGTTCTCTTTTCATACAATCTAAATCACTACACTTTTGTTTAAGTTCTCTCATTAATCTATTAATATCTTCCTTATATTTCTCTTCCATATCTTTACGTCTATCGTATTCTTGCTATAAACTCTGGTACTCTTCCCTTGTTACTTTAAACCTTAAACCAAATTATTCTTACTCATCATCATACTCTCACTTTAATTTGTTGGTCTGTTCTCTTCACATTCTACACTTTCAGACTTCAAAGTCTTAACTAACTTAAAATTCCATACTTCATTTTTTTTAAAATCGTTTTAAAATGAATTAATTCTATCATCTCTCATCTCAAAAGTCGAATCTCTCTAAAACAATGCATTGATTTACTCAGCAGACATATAAACAGGTTAATTATTCATATATTTTATATATATATTAATTATTCAATACTCTTATGTAATTTCATATCAAATAATTAATACTACGTTAACTATATTATTTTATATATTTTTATAATCAATCTCTAAAATACAATAACTTAATACAACTATATTTATACTTATAATATTTTCATCTTTTAAAGCATGATTTACATACTTATTTCTATAAATAAAGTAAATTGCTTCCTATCATTAAATTTTCTTTTTGTCAATTTACATAACCAATTTTCTTACATTATGGCTATGCATTAATTGTGAAACAAAATCCAAACTTTCTCCATTTTAACAATGTATCTATATAAATTTAAAAGAACTTATATCCTTATTCAATATTCCTCTTAAAAAGAAACTTTTTATAATTGTATATAATTGTACTTACAAATTTCCACTTATTATTTAGATTGTTCATAGTAGTTCATATTATCTAATTTGATATACACTCTCCCTAAATCTAATAATAATTTGGATTACAAGATTGTATGTGTACTTAACTTTGAAAAAGTTTAAGCCCTACTAAAGTAACTTTAATTCTTATTTTTTGATGCTCCTACTATTAATACTTCAAAAATCAGAAAAATCGATACAAAACTTAGTATTGATTAAAATGATTTTTGATATTGATGAAAATGTATATTATATAATGAAATACAAAAGCTCAATTTCTATGTTCTATACAATTCATTTATAATTTAAGAATTCTGCATAATTTATCATAACAACTTTTTATGGACTAAAAGTTTCTTTTTATTTGTATTTAGATGTTTAGAAACATATTAAATACTCTGTATCTATAATTTATAGAATAATGGATACTTTTAATAAGAAATATAATCAAGAAGAATATCAAATTAAAATGAATATTTAATTTAATTATTTAATATAAATCAATATTCTTAATTCAAATCATTAAAAGGTAATATCTTACTAAATTAGAACTCTAAATTATAGCCTAATGGATTTAAAAGCAAATATGGAGCAGTTTATTCTATAAAATAGTTTCTCAAGTAGAGTGGAAAAAAAGAAAATTAGTCTATTATTGTAAATTTAATCTAGAGACATGTTTCTAAATTCATTACATTTATTTCATCTAAATAATTTTATTAAAATTCTAAATCTTGTAAAATTTAAAATACTTATATTAAGAATATTTTCATTAAGTGTCCATAAGTTCTTAATTTAATTGTATAATCTCCATTAAAATTTAATTTTATTTTTTTAGATTATAAATAAATAGTCATTAAATTTTTTATCAATTTTCTAATGTTAACTGTTTTGATTTTAAATTATCTTAACATTAAAAAAGATAATGCTCCAAATTGAAACTATTAACTGAATGGAGTTTTTCTGATTGCTTAAAATTACTTTAAGAGGGATTACTCAAATATGTGAGAAACTTTTTTATATTGAATAGGATCTTTTTAAACGCTTTCTTAAATAAGTATTATACTATTATCTATATTATATTAGCTTAAACGAATCTTAATTTTTTTTCTTTATAATTTAACTTCAAAGGTTTCATCAAATTTAGCTTAACCACTAATTATAGCATGCTCTAGTGACATATTATTAATTAAACAATTTCTAATGAAATTTCTGATATTGCATCCAAAACATAATTCATTAGTATATTAATCGAATTAATCTTGATAAGCGGTTATCTAAACATCGATTTATAGTTTTTTTTCGTTATACAAAATTTTTGAGNGATACAAAACTTAGTATTGATTAAAATGATTTTTGATATTGATGAAAATGTATATTATATAATGAAATACAAAAGCTCAATTTCTATGTTCTATACAATTCATTTATAATTTAAGAATTCTGCATAATTTATCATAACAACTTTTTATGGACTAAAAGTTTCTTTTTATTTGTATTTAGATGTTTAGAAACATATTAAATACTCTGTATCTATAATTTATAGAATAATGGATACTTTTAATAAGAAATATAATCAAGAAGAATATCAAATTAAAATGAATATTTAATTTAATTATTTAATATAAATCAATATTCTTAATTCAAATCATTAAAAGGTAATATCTTACTAAATTAGAACTCTAAATTATAGCCTAATGGATTTAAAAGCAAATATGGAGCAGTTTATTCTATAAAATAGTTTCTCAAGTAGAGTGGAAAAAAAGAAAATTAGTCTATTATTGTAAATTTAATCTAGAGACATGTTTCTAAATTCATTACATTTATTTCATCTAAATAATTTTATTAAAATTCTAAATCTTGTAAAATTTAAAATACTTATATTAAGAATATTTTCATTAAGTGTCCATAAGTTCTTAATTTAATTGTATAATCTCCATTAAAATTTAATTTTATTTTTTTAGATTATAAATAAATAGTCATTAAATTTTTTATCAATTTTCTAATGTTAACTGTTTTGATTTTAAATTATCTTAACATTAAAAAAGATAATGCTCCAAATTGAAACTATTAACTGAATGGAGTTTTTCTGATTGCTTAAAATTACTTTAAGAGGGATTACTCAAATATGTGAGAAACTTTTTTATATTGAATAGGATCTTTTTAAACGCTTTCTTAAATAAGTATTATACTATTATCTATATTATATTAGCTTAAACGAATCTTAATTTTTTTTCTTTATAATTTAACTTCAAAGGTTTCATCAAATTTAGCTTAACCACTAATTATAGCATGCTCTAGTGACATATTATTAATTAAACAATTTCTAATGAAATTTCTGATATTGCATCCAAAACATAATTCATTAGTATATTAATCGAATTAATCTTGATAAGCGGTTATCTAAACATCGATTTATAGTTTTTTTTCGTTATACAAAATTTTTGAGAAAGGCTTATTTATTAATTTATGCAACTACTTATTAATAGTATCTTCTTAATAGGTCATTAAAAATTATATTCTTTATGCTTTATTACATATATACAGAACACATGATATTAAAATTGCAGTTGCTATTGATAATGCTAAAGATTAAAGATCAATTTTTTTAGCCATTAAAATTGTTGAAGTTTATCTGAATATAATATGCAGTAAAAGAGAGGGGCAACTTAAATCAAAGTCAGTAGAAAAGTATATCACAGCTTAAATCAATGAGAAGTTAGACCCATAAATAAAATATTCTTGACCTTCAGTAGTATTTGTAAAATTGAATTATAATGATAATGAATAAGCATTAGTTATAGTCACTATCTTTGCTGTTAAACCTTCTTTTTTGTACATAATGTATAATCCAACGAGACATATTACAATAAAGCCCATATTAATATAAGGTATGACTAAATTATCCTTCTATGCAATAATGGCCAGTTGAAGTGTATTCAAAGACAATGCCATAATCAATATACCATAAAATAAGGGTTTTAGATGCTTTGAATATGACTAGGCCTAATATTTTTCTTCAACTTCTTTTTCTTTAAATTTAAGTGTGTACTTGCTCATTTATTCCATTTTATTTTCACAAAATATTGATTATATATCTTTTACAGATCACTAATAGTATAAGAACCTCAAAATAATTAACCAAAAAAAAATTAGAGAAGTTACTCTATTACTGATCTAGTTTAACTATATAATTAAAAAACAAGTCTCTTTGATTTGAGAAAAATGATTGTTGGAAATTTTATTTAAAAAATTTTAAATTTCATTTATCGTTCTCATTTTATGATGGAGTTGTGTTTAGTTAAAATGGCAGATATTTTAACAAAATTCTAAATGCTTTAAAAATTGTACAACTAATAATAATTTTTATAATTAGTTATGAATAAATAATATTATTTAATAAAATAGAAAGTATGAAAATCATTAATAAATAATAATCTCATGACTTAATTAAGCGTTGGTTAATTTTATGTTTCCTGCAAAATCCTCTAGATTTATAAATGCATCTAAATACTTGGCCAAAATTAACAGGATGAAATATCATTTTCCATAATTCCTATGTGTTTATAGCAAGCAGCTATTAATTCAGAACAAAAGTAGTTTTCTTTTTCAACTCCTGTAATTGATCTTTTTTTACATAGTTTCATTATATTAACGGAATATTTTTTGCCATGATTCTTATAAACAAATTCTTGTAATTTTAATAACAATGCCATATCTCTTTTAGTATATAATTATCTAAAACTAATTTGTGTTACATATTCTTGAAAATTGCTTTGCATAAGAGCATCCCAAGTATATATACAAACTCCATCATCACTATTAGCTTCAAATACATGAAGAACATTTTTATTATTTCTTAAAAGTAATGCAACATGATCTAAATAATTAGTGAAATGGTTTTACCATATTCACTATTAGTGATTAATCTTTAAAGTTAACAAGCAATAGATTTATTTTTAAAAAGTAGTAAATCTAAGGATTCAGCTCTCTTTTCAAAAACCTCAAAAGGTATTTTATGTTAAAGATAGAAGTTTGGTGATGGTGATTAAAAGCAATATGGTTTGGATGTATTAATATAGTAATTAAGAGAGAGGATCCATTGTTTACTATTAGTAAGAGATTAAAACTAAAACTAATAATTGAAAAGAGATAATTGAAAGACATCATTGGAAGTTATGGATAGTTCTAATATATGATATAAAATAGATACTAATATGGTATTGATTAAAGTCAAGAACAAATTCAGTTTTATCTTTTCTTTAAAGTACAAAAGTATAATTACGAAGTATTCCTGTATATACGATGTTATCTTTAAGTAACAATCCATCATGATCATAGGACTAGTAATCTCATTAGTAATATATGTAAATACAAATTTAAGTAGGACTGGTCTGTTTAAATTTGGATTTTAGAATAGTAATCATGTTAACATCTTCATTAATATCATTCCATTATTATTTCATTTAAATATAAATGGATTCTAATTATGTATTGAAAGGAGATGAATTTATGATGAAAGGAGATAAAGCCCTTAAAGGTAAACATTGATATTAAAATAAGGTTCTACTTTTGGGAATATTTTTGGATCCAAAGGAGAAAGAGCAGAAAAGGCACTTGAATTATATAAGTCTGCAGCAACACAATATAAATTAGGAAAGAAATGGGAAAAAGCATCAGAAGCTTATTAACGTTGTATAACTTGTGATCAAACACTAAAATCAGGAGAGACTGGAGATTTTTATGTTGAAGCAGCTAAAGCAATTAGTAATGTAAATAAAGCAGGTATACAGATATAATATTGAGTAAAGAATCAATATAATTGTATGAAAAAGCAATAGAACATTATGCTAGTGAGAATAGATTAGACAATGCATCAAGATACAAGAAGGAAATTGCATAAATTTATGAATCAGAGTTTGAATTTCATTTAGCAGTGAAAGCATATTAAGAAGCTGCTGATTTATTTTAAGCAGATGGTAAAAGAATATCTGAATATAATTAAATGAGATTAAAAGTTGCAGAATTATCAACATTAAATGCATCTGGTGATTTAATTGCAGCTATTAAGGTTTTTATCTAATATACCTGAATAGATTTTTGAAGATATTGGTGATAAATATATGGAAAACAAATTAACAGCTCCAAGTGCTAAAGAACTATACTTTAAATCATGTTTACTTTATTTATGCAATAATGTATAATTTACAAAAATACAATTTAAATAGGATTCAGTAGGATGTGGAATCGCCTTAGAAAGATATTTAGATAAAGATCCCAGTTTTGGTTCAACAAGATAATATAAATTTGTTGTTAATTTAATTAAAGCTATTGATAATAATAATGTTTAGATGTTTTCAGACGAATGGTATTATATTTTATTTTATTTTAATTAAGTTTTGAATTCAACAAAATCATACCTCTAGATAAATGGAAATTAAATGTCTTAAATAAAATTAAAGAAAGTATGTAGCCACTTCAATAAGTTGAGGATGGAGGTTTTAGATGATAAATAAAATTATAATAATATTAATCATCGTTTTATTATATTGTATTTAATTAGTGAAGCCCTTATGATCTTCTCTTTTTAAATTATATCATTCGGCATATATGACTTATATATCTATCTATAAAGCTGAAATATTTTGTTTAATTAGTTAACCAAATACATCTCTGCCACTATTACAAAAACTAAAAATTAAAACACTACCATCACTATCAATAATATTAATATTAAAGTATAGTCTTCATCTATCAAAGCTCCTAAATCATTTGACCAACTTGTCAAAAGTATTTTGAATGCTGATTTTATATAATCTATTGCTATATTAAACTACCAAATAGATTCCAAATTTATTTAACCAAATCTTGATTCTTTATTTAAAACATAATCTAATTTTTAATATTTTAATTAATACCTTAAGTCACTGAAGAATATAATTAATTAAATGCTACTATACCTTATTTCAATTTTCCATTTAATATAGTTTCACAATCTTTAAATGCAATTTCATCAAAATTTTATTTCTCGTAAAGATATTAACATAAATTATTAAAATAAATTGATTAGAAACTATCATAATAGCTACCATAATTTGGATTCTCTATTGATGGGGCAACGTTTATATCTGAAAGTTATGTTTCTAAAATATTTTTAATAGAAGGTAAACATTCTGAATCATAAATTTCAGTGTTATAAAATCTTTCTTTAACAGAAACTAATAATAATTAACTATCACTAAAATCAAATATGGAATTCTAACCAATACTGATTATTTAAGTAATTTTTTTTGATGAATCACTCAAAGTCAAAAAAAATAATAATGAAACAGATGAGGAAACCAAAACAAATAATATGTAAATAAAAGACATTTTAAATGTTAATTTTCTTAATAATTGTTTTTCTAATATTTTTTTATCTTTTCTCTTCATTATGTTTTAATCTTCAATTTCATTTATTAATAAAAAATTCTGTTGCTATTAGAAGTTATTCTTACTACTAATTATAAATTTTCTTTCATATTAGGTATTAACTCCTTATATTTCGTCATCTTTTACCAAAACATATTAAAATTAAGTTTAAACAAATTATTATTATTTTACTATTTTATTTAGATCACTTTTTTTAATCAATATAAACATTTTCAATACAGCCTTAAACGTTTAGCAAATCCAAAATATTATCAACAATAATCCAAAAAATCCTATTATAAAAACACAGCATTCAATAATGAGTACTGTAATTACAAAATCAGACATAGAATTTGACATATTGTTCAACATTTCTGAAAGTATTACAATTGCAGAACTAAGTTCTTCATATACGATAGGTATTGTAACATTTCTGATGTATTTAACCATTGGATTTGTATTAGTTAATTAGATTAATTAATCAGCTGTCATTATAGATAAGTAATGTTCAACTAAAATAACTTTAGTAAAAGCATCTTTATAATCTAGATTTACAGGAACACTTTAAATATCAGAAATAGATTCATCAACAATAGAAATACCAGAAAATATAGATTCATCTAAGAAAGTGTCTTATTAATCTAAATCTTTTATTTATTATTTGATAAATTAATAACCTGAGTCTATTTATTAAGTTTGATAACTAAAAAACTATTCTTAGTTTTCTAGAGCTACTCCATTAATTAATAAATTAGTAAAATTAGCTTCCTTATATAATAAGATATCCATAACTGTATCATAAGCCTCTATTAAATATGTTTACATTTATGATAGCTAGAATATTCTGGAAGACTATTTTTTAATTGGTATAAAATCCTATATATTGTTTAAGATTAATTACAGAATAAGGTTTAAGGAAATATGTAATTAGATTCAAAGTAAGAATAGTAATATACATAAACCTTAGAAACCAACTCAAATATGAAATTTTGACTAAGACTTTTCTCGGTTTATTATTGTCTTCTTTTCTAAAAATGTTATCTAATACATTAAGAGAAAAACTTTAAGTTCCTTATTGCATTTTAAACTAATTTTAAAATGTTTCCCAATTAATCATTTTAGGTTAATCTTTATAAAGGACTAAAGCATCCTTATCATCTGGATCTTCTAAATTTTCTTATTTTTGTAATTAATAGCCAAGGCCATTTTATTTGATATTAATTTTGATATTACTTTTAGAATTAGGTTATGTTGAAAATGGTAAAGGAGGTGAAATGACTTTACTTTCACCATCACTAGTCATTGTCATATATTTAGGTCCCTCTAAATTTTAAATATTACGAATATGTGATAAATCTATAGATTAAGAATTTATTACCTCTTGAATAACCTTTCTATAACATTTGTGATTATTTTTTTACATTAGTTCTTATTTTATTTTTTAATATTTCTTAAATATTTTAAACTTTCATTATTCCAATTCTCTCATCTCTGATTTTATAAAAGGCAATAGTACAAATAATTTTATAAGATTTTACTTTTTTCTAATTCTTTAATATATCTCTATATATTTCCTTAATTAATTCATAGTAATTTCTATCTTCATCATTTTTTCTCCTTTCTGCTGCTTTTTAAAACATTAATCTAGCTTTTTTTTTGAATTCTCTTTATTAAGTTCCCTATTTTACTATCTATTTATTTTCATTATTTTTATTTTTTTTATTTTCTTTTTCTTAATCATTTTTTTCTTCTTATTTTACATGCTTATATAATATTAAATATATTTACATCATCTTATTATTTTTTAATTTAATACAACTTATATTTTGAATCAGAGTAATGTTTACATGCTGCCATAAATTAATCAGATAATTTAATATGAAAAGTTATAGGTTCACCATTATTTACTTTTCCTTCTAATATAAATTATCCTTTAGCTTTGATAATTTCATCTCTACTAAGATTATCATCACTAATATCACCTTGATTGTTATCATATTTAGTTTGAATTCTTTTAAAATTATTTTGATATTAAGTCTCCTAAATTTATTTAATTTATTCATCAACTTTTTTATTTAATTATTCATTAATATCTTTTTGCATTTCAGCATATTAATCAATTTATTTTTTAAATTCTTTCTCTTCATTTTTATCACTGACACTACTACTAGCATGTTAAAGAAATAACTTTTCTTCAGGAATATCTAATGATTAGATTTAATTATAATTAGAATATTAATCATCTGAAGAAACAGCATGAGAACTTTTTGGAAATGCTTGATTACTTGATCCAGAATGAGCCATATTATTAACTTAGATTTTAATTGTATCTTATAATTAATTTGTCTTAATTGATTTAACAATTTATTCTTATTTTTTCTTATTTTTTTACATACCAAATAATTCTAAATCAGTTTATTCATTTATCAATTAACATGCTCTACTAAATTAAATCAATTTTGGAGCAAAAAGTAGCATATTAATTAATACTTAAACTTTTTATTTAGAAAATAAATCTTAATCAATTTACAATGATTAAATTATATTAGGTGTCATTCCATTTATTTCCCAATCTGAATTCAAAATAATTACATCATGTTTTTTTTCATTATTGATATCTGTTGGTCTTAACATAACAACAAATTAAGATTAACCATTTAAATCTACATATAATTTTAAAAACTTTTATGCTGTAAACATATATCCATTTTTATGTATACAATAAACCTTTCTTTAAGAATAAAGAGAATGTCCTTTTCCAGTCAATCTATAATCATTTAATAGTGAAGGATGTACTTTTGAATAGATATCAGGCATTAATTATGTTATTCGAAATTTCATCACCACTTCTTCTCTAGTATATCCAAATATCTTTGTAAATTATTTATTCACTTTTATAATAATTGCATCTGGATCATCACTAGCTTATATAATACATGCTTTTTTATCAAAAACTATACGTTTGCTCTTTATATCTATTTTATCCATATCCACTTTTTGTTCTTAATCAGATTTAATACTTGCTATATCTTCTTCCAAATTATTTTCTTATAGTTCTTCTGAAAAGATATCGTTCTCATTTACTGACAATCCTTAAAAGTTATCTAATATTTTATTTTTTAATTTCTTATTTTCTATATACAGAGTAAACCAAGCATAATAAAATTTCCACTTCTTTTTAAAGTCAAGATAGTTTTATATTTATACCCAGAAAAAATTAGTTTATTCTATCTTATCAAATTAAGTTTTCAATAAATTATCTAACTCTTCTAAATCTATAACTTCTTTTTACAAACATTTCCAAAACAAACAATTTTATATCATTATATTATTTATATTACTCTTTATTGTCTCTATCATCTCTTCAATATACAAAGCATTCTGAGTTTCTAACTTTTCTCTATAACTTAATTTATTTCTATGCTTTATATATTTCATTATCTAAGTTTTTAGCTAATATATTTTATATCTATTTATGATAAATAAAAAACGTTTCTCTAAATCTAATAAAATATGTAATGAAACTTAATGATTCTAAAATTTATAAAACATAAATCTGGCATAAAGAATTAATAATTCTATCGAATTTGGATTTTGACTTAACTTGATTTCAATCCATGATTTCATTAAAAATTTTACAAATATATTCTTATGAATCAACCAATCATCAATACTTACTTCTTTTCGTTTTTTTGAATCAAAAATCTTTTTCTTCTTACAAAAACATCTACCTTCTCCTTAAATTACTGTATGTTTACATTCAATCTCCATATGTCTTTGTAAAATACCCTTAAAAAATAAATCAACATTTATATCTTAACTTGATACTTCTAATAGAGAATTCAGTATAAATATTTATTTATTTAATTCTTAATCTCCTGCATTTTCTAAATTAATATATTTGTAATTTGAGTTCTTCAAGTTAAAACTAAAACAACAACAAAAAAATATAAAAGACACAGTAAAAAATATACTAAAATTCTCAAATTATTGCTTAACAGTATTATATCTATACAGCTCATCAATTATCATTGAAAAACTAGTCGAAACCATTATAATTAATAGAATCTAAAATGTATTTCTAACTGAGGTTGTAGAAAATGCTAAATATCCACTAAAAAATAGACAATCTAATAAAAAATAACTATAGCAAATAAAAATTAATATTAGCATCCCCCAAAGATATCCATATTCTGTAGAACTATAATGATATTTTTAAATATGAACTTGAAAGATTAGAGAAGGGCTTGAATCGTTCGGAATAGTTAAAAACTTAAAAGATAAAGAGAATTCTCAGTATTTAAACAGTCTTTTTTCTGACTGCTGTTATTATGAAAAAAGACACTTAAAAAACAATTATTGATTGTTCCTAAAAATACACTAAATCATATATAATTAAGTATACCCTATTACAGATAAAGATATTAAAATATCTTGTATTGATGTTTATGTACAATTTATTGTAGGCCCACAAAATATATTTTCAAAAAATACCATCATTGCAGGATAATGTAATAACCACACATACCATTCAGATAATTATACAAATTTCTATATAAAAAACTCATCAATTTACCTTTCCTAAAAATTTCTTAGGAACTTTAAAGTTATCTCCTTAAAATAAATAAAGCATCAAATATAGGATTGAATTTCCTATTGTTGCTAATAAAAATATTGATAGCATTATGTAATTTATTGTGATATCTAATCTTATTAAGCCTTAAATGTCAAAATAGGTACAAAAATCTATCATTTCATCAAGGATAGTTGATTCGGTTGAATAATGAATGTTAATCAAACTCTTATATCTGAATATACTTATTTAAGTACTTTCTTATTTAACTTAGAAATTGATGAATAAATGCTATTATTAACATTAATGCTGTCTTTGTGAATGATGCATATTTTAATTTCAAAAGATCATTAAATAATTTGAAATGTATATCCAAACCTTGTTTATTACGCTTCTTCTCAAGTTCCTTATCCTATTACTAAAGGGTTGGTAATTCTTGTTCTTTATCCATCTAATTTATGAATATAAAAATAATGTTATAACATACTATTCAAATTAGATTAATCAAATAAATAAATAAAATATATACTATAAGCAATTCAATTTTATAAAATAATCCTATCTCTTCAAATATCAAGAATCACATCAATAGAAATTGCTTTAAACACATTTCTTCATACTTAAATAATTTTTATGGTTTATTAGTTGCTAAACCTGATTGTTACTATTAACCAGTATTTACATATTTTATTTTTTTAATTTAACTTTATCCTTTTTTTTATCAACACCAATCTGCTAAATTTGGATTAATGCAAATTTTTTTTTTAAAGGCCTAGATAAAAAAATCTAACAAATTTCAGCCTATGCCAAATTTAATAATTTATCTAGTCAAATTTTTTAAGTATTAACACAATACCCCAACATTTTTATGAATATTAAAGCTTGATCTTATATCAATGTGTAAATTATTTAGTTAATTTTCAATAAAAGGTTGCAATATTTTAGAAATTTTAAGCTTCAGCAATCATTTAAGTAATATAAATCAATATTAAATGATTAAGTTCATTATTCTTATTTAAATTTCTAAGTTTTAGATTTTATAAAGCAAAAATTTTATGGCTCATAATTGGAGTTAAGTTGCAATTTAATTTAGCAATGGAACATTTTCATATTTTTTTTGCTTTTTTTAAATCAGAAGATCATATTTTTAGAAGCCAAAGACATTCTGTCAGTAAAAAAATAAATTTATTTTTTTTACCATTTTTAACAAAAAAATTACTGTAACTAAGAATTATACAGAAATTCAAAAAAATATTCTTAATTATTTTATTCTTTAATCATTTTTCGATAAGAATAAATTATCTAATTTCGATAAAAAAAATTTTTATTTAATTTTTATCATTTTATTAACTAGGCTATCATTGATATTTTTAAGTTTCTGCTTTTTCAACTTATAAAATGAAATAAGGCTTGAGATAATTGAACATAAGTGTATATTAACAAAATTAAAGTTTAATCAAACCCAAGAAAATATTAAAAAGCTACGATTTTTAATAATGAACAAAAAATGAGAAAAATTAAATAACCATAAGAATTATACATTGGTAAGATTAGAACTTCATTTTTTAATTAACTTAAAGAAAGATTATGGAATATATGTGATTGAGAAATTCATATAGAAATATATTTTTAAGTATAAAGATATTAATCTCGATGATTTTATTCTATAAAAAATTTGACCTAGTAATCTAAAAGGGACTGCAACAATTATTAAAATAAAAATTTTTGTTTATGCTTTAATAAATTAAATCCTATTTATTAGTAATGATAAGGCCTTAAACTAAATTATTTACTAAAAGCACAAGATATTTGCTGACTTTTTTAAAAATTAAAATTTCGAGCTTCATCTTTTGAAATTATTGCCATCATTTATTCAATTTCTCTATATATATTTGTAAATAAATTAAAATATTTGGCTAAATATAATGAGAGTATAATTTTTTTGACGATCTATTAAACATCTCCATTTTTATAAATCCCTTTTTACTTCTACTGGTACTCATATTAATTATTTCAATAATAATTTGTTGCCTAAATAGAATGATTAAACATGAAATTCTAGGCAAATACCTTTATCTAAGAGATTAATTAATTAATGAAAAATAATCTTTCATGCAATGGTTATATATTCTGTGAAAGCAGTATCAGAACTAAAGTTATTGTATGATGATTGAACTTAAAGGAATTGGAATCTAATGTAGCTTCTTTAATTCTAAAAAGCTACAATTTCAATACAATTATTGAAATCTAGATTTAAAAGGGTAGGATCCGTTAAAGTAGTGTTTAGTGTTTGAGGAAGTGATTAAATAAATTTTACTGTAATTTATTGAAGCAGCAATCATCAATTATATTAAATTCCCTAATATTCAATATTTTATTAAAGTATAGATAAATGTTTAAACATCACTAAAATCATAATGTTTTTTTATTAAAAAATATATTAATAAATATTTTCTAATAACTTAAGGTTTAATAGATGTTATATGATATGTTTATATATAAATAGAAAAATTTTTTTTAATTAAATCATATTAATATATAATGTATTTTTTAAAATTGATATGCAAAATTTTCATTTTTACAATTACTCTAATAATTATTAGTTTGAAGAATTGGTTATGTCATCTTCATATTTAAAGAAATCTATTTCTTAGAATTTTAAAATATCATGTATTCTACAACAATCATTTAAACGAACCGCAAATTCCAAATAGCTTCTATCATTCTTTTCTTTGTTCAATTAATCCAAAACGATTTTACGATAATATAATAAGCCAGTTTAGAAAATTTTATCAAATTTACTTTTTTCTACCCATTCAATATTTGCAATAGAATTAATTAATTTCATTTCCTCAATTTAAGTTTCAAATAGAGCTTATTATGTTCTTTTAACTAATTCAATTAAAAATTCTCTTATTAAAATATAATCTTTCTTTATAATTTTTAATGAATCAGAATAATTTTTGCTTTAACAAAATATATACCATTCATTTTCACTAAATCTGTTGGTTGTACTAATTATATAGATATTTTTGTTACTTGTTTAAAGTCTTTTTTGATAATCTTGTTAAAATCTTATATAAAATTATCACTTAATATTTTGTTAACAAAAAGCAAATTCCAAGATAAATACTTGAATGTAGTTAAAATTTTTCTATAAAGAATAAAATTATTATTACATGCTGACCATTACTCAAATAATTATTGAGAAAGTCGATTTAAAAATTCCGATTTATTTTTTTTATGTATAATCCAATCTGAGATTTTTTTGATTAAAGAATTATTTTTAATCTATTCTTATTATTCTTTTCCTAAGGCATTTTAAGTTTAATTAAAATTAGCAAGAGTTTTAATAGGAGAAACAGATTTTTCTTTTTAAGAAAAAATTTTTTCTTTTCTCGGAGGACTAACCGAAGTTTAGGAAGAATCTGTTGTTGCTTATGAATTTTAATTTATTTTTGCTTAGATTTTTTCTACCTTTTCTTATTACTAAATTCCATGTTGTATATTTTAGGCTATTCCTCTATTTAAGTTTTTTTCTAGATTTTTTTTTTTCAGGATATCTTTTTCTTGATTAATCATAATAACACTTTTATTTATATTTACTAAAGATTCTTGATCTTGTTAGATTTATAATTGAAATAATTCATCCCAACTCATTCTATCTTTTTCCTCTACTTTAAGCATTTTTGAAATAATTTATTTCATCTAATCTGAAACTTTAGGTATTGATGGGAATTTGATTGGTACTTATTATATTTTAACCATAAGTTCTTAAAATGAAGTAGCCCTCCAAGGTGTTTATCCATATAGTACTTCATAAAAAATAATTCCTAATGACCAAATATCTGTTTTGGTAGAATATTATCTTTAAAATTAAGGATTTAAAATCTGAGGAGACATATATAATGGTGTACCAGCAAAGGTTTAAAGGACTTAGTTTTCAAAATCAAATAAGATTTTACTAAAACCAAAATCTGAAATTTTGGCAACACCTTTATTCATAAGTATATTGCTGGGTTTTAAATCTCGATGAACTATATTTTAATCATACATTGCTTTATAGCCATTAACTATTTGACTTAAGATAATTCTAGCTTCTGATTCTGCTAAAAATTTCAATTAATTTTTATGAGGACATTTTCTAGCAATATATGAATCCAAAGTTCCTCCTTCACAATATTCCATCATGAAATACATATTGTTTTAAGTTCTTTAGAATTAATATAATTTAACTAGATTAGAATGTTGTAAACGTTGCATTATTTAGTATTCATTCTAACATAATTTAGCAATTGAATCAAGTTATTTCTCATTCCCTTTTAAATTGATAACTTTAACTGCTACTATTTCTTATGATTTTATTTCTTTTCCCAAATATACCACCCCAAAAGTACCTTTACCTAATGATTAAGTCATATCGATTTGATAAGGACCAACACTTTTACAAATTGGCGGATTGCTCATCTAAATTAATTATTAATAATAATAATTAAACTAAATAGTTTATTATTAAAGGGGAATTAGTAATCATAAAATGATTAATCCTTATCATTAAATAGAATAAATCTTCATTTTTTATATATAAAATATTCTAATTTAATAATTTGATATAGAATCTTAAAAAATAGGTTAATATTCTTATTAAAATAAAATAATTGAATTTATAGAAATTAAAAGTAAAGACTTGATTATTTAATTAAAATTCTAGTCTATAATTATTGATAATAATTCAATTTTCTTTATCTTTAGTAAATTGTTAACCTAAATTAATAATGAAATGATTCTAACATTTAGAGTATCTATTTTAGAATAGAAAGTAGTAACCATATTGATTTATTGAATTAATTTATCTAAAAAAAAACGGATTTAAATTAGTTATTAATTAAATTACCATGAAGATGGTCATCTTGATTTTAATAATAACAATACTCAGTACACACGCTTAAACATCATTAAGAGGCAAGAATAAAATTGGTATGAATGATCTTTATTAAGACTAGAGTAGAACGAGGAATAATCATTTATGTCAAATAATAATTATATGTAAGAACTATAAGAATACTCATTGTTTGTTTAATTAACAAAGCCTTTCTATGAAACTGCACCAATGGATGTTATGATGCTTAATCATGAAATGGAAATAGCTAGAATGATGGGTAACCCAGGAGTAACAATGATGAATTATGTTCTTGAAGAGTCCCCTTTCCGTCCTGCTTGATCAAAAAATTAAATGGCATTATGTGATGATTCCTATTCATAACGGAATTAACAACCTAAAATTACCACATTTATTATTTGCATGCATAAAATTCAGTTTAGAAATATTTCTCAGCTGAATATAAAATAAAGTTAAAGAATTTCAATCAAAAATAAGTAGAGATCTTTTTTACATTTATATTTTTTATATCTTAAAATTAAAATATAATATCTTAATGCAATTTAATTAATGATTCATCTATCTTGTTCATTTACAACATCAACATTAAATTTTCAATTTATTCATTATTGCAGTAACAACAATTAAAATAAAATAATCTAAGTTATTTAGATTAAACATAATGTTAATTCATTTTTCTACTAATTTGTGATATATTTCTATCATTCAAATATTTATATTAATTTGATTACTAAGCTTAGTTATTAAAATCTGATCAACAATATTAGTTTTATAACAATTTCTATGTGAATATTTCTATTTCTAGTTAATTATAAAAAATGAATTAAAATTATATTGACCAAGCCTTTTTGACTAAGGTTTGAAATTCAATTTATTTACATAGCAATTCTATAGAGCATTTGGAAATTATTTTGGACCTCATACTTCAACACCAAGTATAGGATCAGAATATTTATCATCAACAAGAACTCAGACATCGAATTTGAACAAATAAAACAGTTTAAGTAAACCTATTACAACACCTTAAAATGTGAACAAACCAATTAATTTAAATTCTGTTAGAGTGAAAACTTAGACCCAACATATTTCTAAATAACAGCCAATAGTTCATCATATAAAAAGTTTGTCATCAGATTTAAAGAATTAAACTCATTAAAAAAGATTCAAACAGGAGAAAATGATATTATACACTGAATCATAATAACATCCATTTTTAATCATTTCAAAAAAAGCAAAGGAATTAAGAAAAATAGAATCTCGAAAAAGTACTTTACCTTCAATATAAACAGAATCATAACATAGTGCTAGATTACCAGAAATATCTTAAATTATTCAAATTCCAATTATTTAAATAACAGAACCTTTAGAATAACATTCACCTAAAGCTTAAGAACATGATTCTGAAAAAGATGATGAATCTTAAGGTGAAGATGATAATCTTTTAGGTTAAAAGAGAATGAAGAAACTTTCTGTTAGACTTAAGTTTAAAAATGCTGTTTAATCTTAAGTTTCTACACTTTTTATCAACAGATAAGTAAAATGTATATAAATATATTTAAGCCAAAATCTCTCTTTAATGTTATTATTTCACCAGAATTCACATTATAACATGAAGAAGAACGTCAAAAAATAAGTGATGCTTTAGAAGCAGGGAATTTTATTTTATATAAAACTAAGTAAATTGAATAAAAACATGCAACCCAAAAAAAAAAGTTATTTGTCACATTATTTAATATAAAACATCCTCATAAAATGAATAATATAGTCAGTTCATAAATTGCTAAACTTAATACTACTAATAAAGCATTTCAAAGAAAAATTAAAATGATTCTTACTACAACTGAAAATAGCAAAGAAATTGAGTAACCATAATAATTTTCATTACTATCTAAATTTAAGAAAAGTTAATTTAGTTAATAAGGAAGTAATGAACATTTTCCTTAACCTATCAATTTAAATAAAGATTAATTTACAATTACAATTACTAACGATTAATTAGAAAATGAAATTCAAATTTTTAAAAGACCTAAATTTTCTATTTAAAGAGATTAAATTATTGAAGAAATTCAGCAAGCATAGTCTCCACCTAAATAAGCTAATTCTCCTGGGAGAAGAATCTTAAAACATTCAGGATCATTACATCAATCTTAAAAACATATTAATCTAAGGCATTCTGTCTCATAATAAATTATTAAAGAAGAATTTCCAAATGTTTCAGCTTTATCCTATATTGAAGAATATAATAACTTAGATTTTAATTAAGAATTCTCAAAAGTATTAATTATTATTGATTATTCAAGTCTAATTTATATGTCAGACTTTTTTATTAAAGTAGATTACACAAATTACCGAGAAAAACTACTTTTGTTGGAATGAATCTTTAAGAAATTGAAGATTATTTTTCTTCTTAATTATAATTGATTAAATTAACACATATGTATTTTCTCAATATAATTAGAAATTTTTAAGCCACTGAGATACCTGGATTAGAATAAATTGGTCCAACATTTGAATAAAATTTAGATTTCCCAAAATTTATTCTTAACTAATCAAAATTAAATTTAAACTTTAATTTTGATGAAACTGAAACATTTACTTCAAGTGAATCTGAAAGGAGTTAGTCTTTTGATCTACTTTTAGAAGAACCAATTTAAAGTTTAATTTTGTATAAATTTAGGCTAGGATTATCATAAGAAGAACATGAAAGTAAAATAGTTAATATTATTAAATCACTTAATAATTTAGATTAACAAAAAGATGAAACAATATTTATTGAGGATGATTTTAAGAATCTAAAATGTAATTATTTATTCTTAATAATAAATTAGCTCTATCAACTGGTTAATTGACACTTATTAAAAAAGCTAGAAATCATTTTCTATAACCACTAGATTTAAAATGCATTATAAATACGTTAGATTAGAATACAAAAAATTAATTATTAACATTCCCTTAAAAAGCTAGACCTATTAATGAAATATTAGATTCAATACATTCTGATAATGATAGTTGGGCTTTTAAATAACTTGAAAAATATAATAATAAGGCTGTTTTAAAATAGAGAATTTAATAATAGTTAGATATGAGATATGAAATAATAATGATTGGAAGATATTAAGATAAACAAAAGGTTATTGATATTGAGCATTAAGAATTAATGGATACCTTATAAAACTTGCCTGAAATACCAAAAATAAAGGAAATGGAGAAATTATAAAAAAATTAAAAAACTTAACAGTAATAACAATAATAATAATAACACTAATAAATTACAAATTTATAAACTTAAAAAGCAGAATAATAGATAAGATAACTAGCTAGTATAAAAAAAAATTTACATAATAAAAAATAACTTAAAAAAAATTAAACTTAGACAATAAATATTTAACCAAATTTAAAGACCAAATAAACGAGCAATTCACCAGATTAAAGCAATTCAAGATTAACTATGTAAAATTCTAATTAATTGACAAATTAATAAACTCAAAATAATAATATAATAACCTAATCAACAACACAATATTTAACAAAACCAACTAACTAATCTTAATAATCAGTAAATGTTTCAGGAACAAAATTAATTTAAAAAAGTAAATCAAATGCAGATTTAAGTGAAACATCATCTATAAAATCTTCAAATAGTTAATTAGAAATTAGATCATAAAAAATAATAGATGTAGACAATTAAAAGAATTAAGCAAAGATTTAACAGTAACTTGAAGTACAAAATGAAAAAAAACCCAAACATCATTAGACAAAATCAGAAAATTTAATAAATAAAATCTATGAATAAAAAGTAAATATGATAAATACTTTTTTAGATCTAAAGTATGTAATAGCATTCATTGAGAATGAGAAGCCATGCAGAAGAATAAACAAGAAGGCAAAAGTACGATCAAAAGTATTAAATAAGGTTTGCAATAGAAGATAATAATTTTTAAGAAGTAAATGAATTATCTTAAGACGAAAATAGTTTATGGAAAACTTCATGCAATTACCAGAAATGTATATTGATTATAGATTCTAAAATAATGAAACATTCCTTACTTTAGCAACACAAAGTGGAAATAAAGACATTGTAAAAGAATTAATAAAAAGAGGAGCAGATATTAACATATAGAATGTATTTTTTTACTAAAAAAGGATGACGGAAACACTCCCTTGCATTTGGCTTTAGCATATTCTCATTATAATATAGCTGATATACTAATGTTATCTGGAGCCTCTTCTCACATTATAAATAATTAGGGTAGGAATGCGTGGAACGTAATATGATAATTTTATGTATCTACTAATAATTTTGAATCTATAAAAATTACTATCTTAGATCTATTTAGTTACTTATTGTAAAATCTGATTTTTATTAAAATAATATTGTTAACTTAATGAATAAAGGAGCTGAGAAGAAGAGAACCTCTTCATTCAATAAATAAACAATGAATTTCATATGTGATAGATATGATACACAGCAAAAACAATTTTATTGTCCAAAATAGAAAAAAGATGTTAATAATCTAATAAACAATCTAAAATTAAAATCATCTTGTGAGAATACTTCAATGATGATTCCTTAAAATATCTCTTTAAAGAATGTATTAACTAGTCTTACTAATAAATCTCCTAAAAAATAAATTAAAAAACATGTTAAAAAGACACCTAGTACATCTTTACATACACCATTAGACTTTACAATAAGAAATATTGAATAGTAATCTGAATCGATAAAGTATTAGTAATCTATATTAAATTAATAATCTCAATAAACGTCATACCGATCATTATTATAACACAACAAACGTAATTAATGGGTAGAATTAATTAATCAAAAAAGCTCTAATTTTATTCAATAAGATTAAATAGCAATAACTGAATATAGGTAAAAAAATATTATAAAATTAGAGCTTAATAAGAGATACAATTGATGAATAATTGTGATTGGAAACATTCCTACACATTTTATAAGGAATGTAGAAATCATCAAGAAATGTAAATTATAGATAACTTGGAATTTGATTGTTGGAAAGAAACCAGAATGAATCGTTTGATTTTGCGTTAAGCATAATGAGAATATTTATAGTTAAATTTTTGAGAAATAACTTTTTATAAAATATTTTTATAAGAAGTGATTTATAATATGTCTCAAATCCCGAAATTCAAAATAAATTTAAATAAAATAAAATGTCTGACGACGAAAATTAATTTGAATAAGGAAATGCAGGATCATCTCATACCTATACTGAAAGTGCTGGTTCATTAAAGAAAGGAGGATATGTTATGTTAAAAGGACATCCATGCAAAATTACTGATGTATCAACATCTAAAGCAGGAAAACATGGTCATGCCAAAGTAATTAATTAATTGAATAAAATAGGCTTCTATTGTAGGAAAGGATATATTCACAAATAAAACTTATGAAGATTCTGCTCCTACTTCTCACAATATTGATGTTCCTTTTGTTACTAAAAAGGAATACAGTTTGATGGATATTCAAGATGATGGATTTGTTATTCTTATGAATGATGATGGATCAACTAAAGAAGATCTTAAATTACCAGAAACTGAAGATGACTTTAATATGGTTAAAGAAATCAGAGATATGTTTGGTGTTGGCAAGTAAATTAATTAATTAATTTCTAAGAGACTTATTAATTTCAGTTCTTTCTGCTATGGGAGAAGAAAAAATAGTTGGAGTTAGAGAAGCATAAGATAAATGATTAATTTTATATATATAGTAAATATTTTATTGTAAATATATTTTCATTCATTCTTTTGCTACATCCTTAAAAAATGGATGCTTCAAAGCATCATTTGCACTTATTCTCTTCTCAGGATTATATTACAGCATTAAACTAAAATATTAAATTAATATTACTTAAGTAAATCTAAGAAATTCTCTAAGTCTCTCATTTAACTGAATTTCTCTTTCAAATTTTATTTTTTATATTTCTAAAGCTCTTTGAAAAATATTTTATGATCAAATGGCACTTTATTAGCAAAATAATCCATTTCACTTTAATTAAAACTACCCATCACTTTAAAAATTGCAAATAATTGATCTCCTTCACTTTTTCCTTTAAAAAGAGCTTCCTTTACAACTAATTCTCCCATAATGCAACCTAAAGCCCAAATATCAATAGACACATCATATTTTGTTACACATAGAATTAATTCAGGTGCCCTATAATATCTTGATACTATGTATGGAGTATTTTAACCATGCTAATTTATCATTTTAGAACTTCCAAAATCACATAGTTTAACTGTTTCCTTATCATTTATCAGAATATTTTCTCTAATTTATATTATCAAATTATTTTTACGGTTTTAAATCTCTATGAGCTATTCCTTTTTTATGAATAAACTATAATCCTTATAAAATTTGATATATGTATGATTTTATTGTCAATTCACTAAAGATCTTACCTTATTTAACATAAGTTTATATTCTATTTTCAAGATTATCTTCCATGTATTCAAACACAATATTTTGAATTAATTTACCCGCATCTGTTCTTGAATAAAAAAAATCCTACTCTAACTAAAATAATTTACAAGAATTTTCACAATATGATCACATTCCTTAACTTCAAAAAGTATTTCATATTCTCTACTTAAAAGATTACCAACTTTCTCAATTCTTTTTAAAGCAACTTTTTGTTTAGTATTATGATCATATGCTTCAAAGACATATCCTATGAATATTTTTTCATATTACCAAAAGTACCCGATCCAGCAACTTTAAGAATTTCTATTGATGGAAATTTTGACAAAGGCATACTCATTAATTAAATTTATATAATTCTATTTTATATTAAAGAATGTATATTTTTATTTTATATTCTAAAATATTTAATTCCTTTCATAAAAATTTGATACAATATTAATACGCTATATTGAATGAGTATTATATTCATTATTTAAATAGAAGTTTAAGTTTATCAAAATTTTTAAATACTTATACTAAATCTAATTCATTAAACTATATTTTTTAAAGGTTTTTATTAGTTTTCTTACCAATAATCAATATTTTCTAATTTAGTTTTAAAACTTTATAAACACTATCTTTTTTGAATCAATTTTAGCTCTCATAATTTTGAATGATTTCTTATCAGAAATATTTATCTAAACTAAATTCATGATAGACATTTAAGAACAGAGTTTTCACAAAAAGACATAATAATTACTAAACTCAAATTAATTTGAGTTAATAAATAAGATAATTAGATTAAATTTAAGTTCAAAAAAGTTAATTCTTCTTTAGAAAAGATTTTTTATTGAAAAATCTAGGGAATTTAAGTTTATTACAAAAGTTGTATTTTAATAATTTCTTAATAAATTTCAAGATAATTTTTGCAATTATGGGATGCTCAATATAAAAGGCAAAATCTAACCATAGAGATAATTTCGATTAGATAGAATAATTGATTCAATCAGAGTGTTTGAGTAATGAATAGAAATTTAGAATAAATAACAATCCGATTGTAAAAAGAAGAATATTTAATAAGGAAAAAAAAAATCTTTCAGCATCATAGTAAATTTGAATTAATGAAAATATATAATTTATCTTTCTTAAATATGTATTTTTTTAAATCAAATAGCAGTCTATGAAGATTATCAGTATTTAATTAATAAAGGAATTCTTTAAAATTTTTATAATTTTTTTAATATTACTCATTCTAAATTGAGTACCCATTCTTTAAAAGAATTATCTCCTCCACTGGTTATAACTTTATTATCTTAAGTGATAATAGCTGTTAATACTCCTCTTTTATGAGCATCTAAATTTAAAATAAAAGCTTACCTATTTTTTCAAGAAGTCTTTTACCATCTTAGAGATTCCAAACCATAATTTTATTATCATATCCTGTTGATACTGCAAATTTACCAGAGGAAGTAAAACTTAAAGAAGAAATAATAGTTGTATGATGTGTCCATCGATCTCCAAATAAAACTTGATTTTATTTATAATCAATAAGTTTCATTTTACCTGTTGTATCACCACATAAGAATCTATCACCTTATAATGCCATGGCTGTTATTTTAGTTTATTATAATTAGAAGGTTTATTATTCAACGCCACTTTCAATGTTTACTGCATGGATCTTTCCTTTAAGATCACCAATTAAAAATACTGAATCAGTCAATAAAAAACTACTAACTTCATAACCTAATTAATATTCTCTAGTAAGTTCTAAATTTGTAAATTCAAATATGAGCCCATTTTCCATTAATAAATAGCATATATTAGGATTAGATTAACTAGATTGAAGTTTGAGAGTCAAACCTTTGCAATCTGTTGTTTTTTCAATTATATTAGTTTCTAAATTAGTTAATTTGATTTATTCTCCTCCTAATGAATACAGTAAATTTTAGGAAATGGAAAGGGAAATGATTTGTTTAGAATGATGTATTCCTTAAGGTCTTATGGAAATGAGATTATCCCAAATTACTACAACAATAAATAAATGTATTTACATAATCTTCCATTGTTATCACCAGTAACAAGTTTATTTCCATAAACAGCAATCTAGCCTACAGGAGCATTATGGCCAAAAAATCTTTTACTTGGTCCCTATTCTAAATTAATTGGATCATTCCAAACATTTAAGACACCTGTTAACGATAATGAGTATACTACATTTCCACTTATGGTTACTCCTACTTACATATCATCAATTTCTTATGCATTTGGAATTTTTAGAGTTTTTATTAATCCATCAAAATTCCAAACTTTTAAGGTTGTATCATTTGATGATGTTATAAATGATGTATCATTTATCCAGCTAACTCCTGTTATGCTTCGAGTATGAGGACTATCTGTACTAATCTCTTTGACAACTTCTCCATTCTTTCCTTCATATAAAAATACTTTCTTATCAGCTCCTACTGAAACAAAGTGATCACCACATTTGTTATATTTAATTGAAAAGATGCTGTTATTATGTTATTTAATAGACTTCTTAAACTTAAATGGAGGTCCTTCAAACCAACATATAAGGCTTTCATCTCCACCTAAAGCCAATCTAAATGGTCTTTAAGGTTTCATTGCACAAGCATTTAAAGTTTAAGACACCCCACTAATTTCTCCTACACTACTTCCAGTTTCCAATAGTATTGTTCTGCCAAAATAAGTTTTGCCTTCTCCAACTATTGCTAATCTCTCACCATCTCCTGTCCAACAAATATCTTTTATTGGTCCTCCTAAAACATCATCATATTACTTAAATACAGGATGAGGCTAAACTACTTTCATTACGTTACCTGAATGTTTAATTCCCAAATTATTATAGATCCTTTTGAATCTCCAGAACAACATAAATTTCCACTTGGTGAAATTGCAACTGCTGTTGTATCGAATTTATGTTAATCAAATACAGAATATTTTGATAGATCCTCTAATTATCTTACAATAACACTATTTGAAATGCAATAAACTAAATATTTTGAACTTGAATCAATTTTTGAAGGTCTTCCTCTTTCTGTTCCAGCTGTTGGTGGATACTTAACTTAGCATACAAATTATTCCATTAAAAATAATTATCAACATTCTTATTTTTTCATTATAAAAAAATACAAAAAATTTTCAATACATTTCTAATTTTTTTCTGTTCAATAATCACATTTATAACTATTTCAAACTTTCAAATAAGCATACACATTTATTTTAATAAATTGTCACTATTTTAAGCTAAACGAATATTGCATAAACCATATTTATAGTTTTGTTTTTTAATATTTAAAACTTAAATATAATTATCTACAATAAATTTAGATAAATTTAATTTTAGCAATCTTTTTTATTTGCTTATTTTTCTTATCATTTGTTCCTTTTTTCTAATTATTAAAATTTGTTTTTAAATTTTAATTAGCAAATGAAATTAGAGAAAGAAAAATAGCTTTTTATGAATAATATTATCAAAACTAAATATTTCATTATAAAAGTTGTTGTCTGAGTTTTAAATATAGATTTAAAAAAAAAAATCATTGTGGTATTTTTTTTTTAATTTTAATTATTTTCATATTGAATTTAGATTAGTCATTAATTATTAAAACATGAGTTTAGAGAATGCTATTGTTTAATGGTTAAACAAATTTTAATAATTGAATATTTAGTCTTTTGATAGTTTGGCTGATGGTAAATATGATTGTTTTATATAAGGTTGGACTTTTAGTTAATTGTTGAATTTAGTTGATCCTACATTCTTTTCTTTGGCAAGTGAAACAAGTTTAAAGATTGATAAGATTGATAATAATGTTTAAAAAGTTCAAGGTCATTTGATTGAAATGCTTTAAAAAATTTAATAATATCGAACTAATATTTAATGCAAACCACCAGATTATATAGAGATTGATGTTTTAGAAATCATAGTGAAATAAAATAGGCAATAAATTTTGGCGTTATTTGAATTAATTTTGAAAGTTATCCTTTCCTCAAATATAAGAGGGAAATTTATTGAACCTATTTTATTATTAGAAGAAAAAGATTAAGAAACATTAATGCATTTTCTAAAAAATCATTTAGATGAAGTAATATAAAAAATATAAAATCAAGTCAGAAAATTAAAATAATGAATGGCAAGAGGAAAATTATATTCAAAGTTTAGTGCAAAAAATGGATGAAATTGAATATTAAAACACAGAACTTAAATAATAATTAAATGAATAAGAAGAAAAAAGAAAAGCCTTAAAAAGTGCTCTTGATGATGCAGTAGTCTTATTAGAAAATAAAGATATGGAAATTAAGGCATTGACAGAATCAAAATGCCATTTAGAAAAATGTATATAATTTATAATTTTTTTTAAGGTTTGGAAGAAAAAATGGACTTTTAAAATGAGTATAAGGAGAGTGAGAAAATTCATTAAAAGTGTTTAGAACAAGAACATAAATTGGCATAATATGAATTAATAATTGAAGATTTAAGAAGAAAAGAAATATAATTTATTTAATTAAAGGAAGAATATTAGCAATACAAATATAAATTATAAGAAAATGAAAAGTTAGAATAAAGAATTGAAAGTGTAAGAGATATAAAATATATATAGTTGCAAGAACGAAGAGAATTAGACAAAGACGTTTATTAAAAAGGAAAAGAGAGATATGAAAAGGAAATAGCAATATTAAAGTAAAATATAAAAGAGTTATTATTATAATAATCTGAGTTGAAGGAGTCTAAATTAAATTTAGAATTGGAATTACAATAAAAATAGGCAAGACTTACAAGATCATTAGAGCAAATTAAAACTACAGAAATAGAATATGGATAGAAAATTAGGGAGCTTTAAGATTTGCTTGAAACTTTACATTAAGCTGAAGAGGAAATGCCTAAAATTACTAATACCACTAATTAATAATTATCATAAGAGATGAAATTATCAATTAATATGAAAAATGAAAATTTTGAGAGAGAATATTACATCAAAGAAAATCATAAATTAGAAGAAAAAATAAAAGAGCTACAAGCTTAAATCAATGAAATGTAAATGGTAGAAGAAAGTAAGGATCAGAAAAGCAAATTTGAATCTTAGCTTTAATAGTCTTAATAGATTTCATTGTTAACGGATAAAATTAAATAATTTTAAGAACATAACTAATAATTAAAAAAATAGAATGAAGAGTTGAAAAAGTAAACTTAAAATAAAAAATTCACATAAATTGATAGTGAAATAAGTGTGCTTTCTTTACTGTAGGAAGCTTTAGCCAAAAAGGTGAAAGAATATAAATGTTAAGAAAACATTAAATGATTATTATATATTAAAATTCATAGATTGAAGTGATAATATGATTTTTTAGGAGAAAATAATTACTGAAAATTTTTATTATAAATATTCAAAATTAATAATAATAAGAATAAAGATGGGATCAGCATGTTAAAATTGCCATCCAAATTCTTTAGGTGAATAAGAGATTCAATTAAAACCCGCCTAAAAGGTCCCATCTAAGTAAATAATAATTAGCAATAATGGTGAGTAATTATTAATTAAATTAAGATTCTATACCTCTGAATCAATAAGATGAAGAGCTTGTCAAAAATACATCTGTAATAACAAAATTACATAAGATGCAAATGAAGAGTATGGGTTATTATGAAGGAGAGTGGTTGAATGGTATGAGACATGGATATGGAATTTATGTATCAGAAAATATAAACTATAGACTTGGAATGATAATACAATTTATGCAGGTTAATTTTAAAATGATTAAATGCATGGGAAAGGTTAAATTACTCATCCAAATGGTGATGTTTATGATGGAGATTGGGCTAATGATTTAGCAAATGGTTTCGGAATTTTCAAATAGAGTAATCAAAGTACATACACAGGATAATGGAAAGATGATCTTTAGCATGGTGAAGGAATAGAGGAATGGCCTTAATAAATTAAATATGAAGTTTTTTAATTAAGTATTATTAGATATATAGGGTTAATATGTAAAAGGAAAAAAACATGGAAGAGGAAAAATTGTTTTTGAAGATGGTAGTCGTTATGATGGAGAATTTATTAATAATTAGGCTTGTGGAAATGGAGAATTTTATTGGTAAGAAGGAAAATATTATAAGGGATAATGGAAAGATAATTAAATGAATGGTAAATATTATTTATAACTATTTTATAGGAAAAGGAGAAATGTTTTGGCCTGATGGCAAACATTATGTAGGAGATTATGAAAATGATAAAAAACATGGACAAGGATAATTTACTTGGGAAAATGGAAAAGTGTATATTGGCGGATGGTATTAAGGAAAACAACATGGTAAAGGCTATATTATTGAGGATGGTAACAAAAGAGAGTGTATATTTGAAAATGGTAGGTTAGTGAATAATAATTGATATAATTGCTGTCACTCTTACAAATTTTCTAATTCCTACATTGTTGAAAAGAGATCCTTCTAATTTCTAAAATAAATTTTTAAGATTTATTTATCCTCTAAATTTTTTGAGAAATCTCGTAATTGTATAAGCGTCTTAAGGTCATCTTCGTCAATGTTTATTACATTCTCAATAATATATTATTGTTATAAATGTCTAAACTGATCTTAATTTTATGATATAAGTTAAGACAATTATAAATTCTGTTATTTAATAGTTTCTATGGTTTTATTCCACTCATTTTGATTACAAACTCTTTCTCTTAATTCACTTACAATTTATTCTGAAAGCAAAGCAGAATATTTATCTTTTTATGTTGGAATTTATAATTATATTTCTTCTTCAATATTTTAATTTTTATTTGATAATCTTACTAATGTTTCTTAATAATCATTATTTGTCATTTACAAAGTTTCAATTATTTCTTTCTCTGTGAAACCAAATTCTAATAATTCTTTAAATTACTCTTCATTTTTTTTATTTTATTATGTTTAATTAACTTGAGCATTACTAATGTTTTAATTGAGAATTTTCTTAATCATTAATATTATACTATCTCCATTTTTTATGTTACACTCTTAAATAGATTTTTGATCATCTAAATCTTTTGCATTGAATTTTAATTAGATTGCTTAAATTGGTATTCCCTTCTTTTAACTAATAAATGTTTTAATTTCAATGATTTTTGTTTAAATAGGTACTTATTGTTTTAATTTTTCACCAGATAATGAGGATATTATGATATTAATGTTTTCCATATTAAAATGTATCAAAAATATATTATTAAAATTATTTGAAATATTATCATTTTAAATAATTAGATAAATATATTGCGGTCTGATGATGATATAGATTATTTTAAGAACAAAATATCTTTCATTGTTTTTTAATCTTCCCTCCTCTTAGAAAAACAAAAATTAACTTACTTACTTTATTAAAGAAAAATAATCAAAATAAATTAACATTATATATATAATTTAATTACTTCTAAAACAATTTATATCAAAGAAAATTTTAAAAATTGCAATTCTAATAATTATTTAAACTAATTATTTATTATATAATACTCTTTAAAAGTTCTACCTAAAATTACTCTACTTTTCATATTAATTAATAATATAATTAAGAGAATAAACTTAGCCTGCTCATTTTACTTTTAATTTATTTTTAAGAAATACTTTTATATCAATTTAACTTATTTAATTATAAATCTCAATTATTTTATTCAAATTAATTTTCTAGAATCATGCTTGGGTCTTTAAAATTAATGTTAGAATTAAAATTTTATGGTAAATTTTAAAATAAGAAAGAATCTAAGTTCGCAGATGAATTTTGATCTGAATTGAACTGTTATGTATATAAATTATCCATTTTTCTTAAATGTTCTTCTCTTATTTTTTAAAGTATCTATTTTGACTTAAATGATGTTTGTTTTGAATAATAAGGATTTTCGATCTATAAGTAATTAGTTCTTATGTGACCATAGAATCTGTTTTTGATTTAGTTTGGCTGAAATATAAATATCAAGATTACCGATCTACCCTGAAGTTATTTAGAAATATAGGACCATTTCGAACCTTATTGTAAGTACTATTCATAAATTAATTCATCTTCTTCTTAAGAAAAACTGTTCATTTTAAGATTTGGATCAAGTACATTAGTGTATCGATCTCTGCATTATTTACCATTTCTAACTTGCATTATCTAGGCTATGTTAGACCACTTTAATCCAAATTTTTAAACAAGATTTATAAGCTATTCATCTTCTGATTTTTTCCAATATTTATTAATTCTACTCTAAGAGCTATATAAACACAATACCCTTCTTCCATTAAGTCGTTTCCATCTTTAAGCACACTAATTTGGATTTCTATCAAGTACATACTCAGCTATATTAATCCAATTCATTCCACACTATTCTATACCTTTTTACAATTATTTGTCTTCTTTTTTGCTCCAGGCTTTTTTTATACTCTAAACTTTTTTACAAAAACTATCTATATTATTAGATTGTTCACTCATCGTTAAGTACAAATATATTTATGATAATTAATAAGATTTTTTGAGAATTATTCAATTGGACGTTTAATAAAAAATAAAAATTGATAATAGATCTTAAATAATATTTGTATGTCTTCAAATAAATTATCATAATCTAAGAATATATTATTAATAATGCATAAATCGTATTTTTTATATTTTTTTTGTAAAATGAGATCAAATCTGAATTATTTTTAAAAATATATCCAATAATATTCTTAGATTATCACTTATAAAATAAAAAATACGATTTTTCATATAAAAGTTATGTTTCTCACTAAATATTGCTTATCTGGAAAGTTAATAAAAAAAATATTTTTTTAAATATAATAAATTAAAATGTTTACTATCGGTGAGTACATAACTCTGATCTTGAAATGGTGTTAATTTTGTTATTGATAATTTTATGCAAACTCAATTGTAATAATTAAATTTCTTAAATGATAAAAGAAGCATTCCTTAAACAAGGTCCGTTTTAATATTAATTTTTACGAAATTTAATACATAAAAATATTAATACTTCATTATCAATTGAGTATCACGAAGGATTATTTCATTTGAATACTAATATCTTTATTAGAAATTCGATTAGAATTCTTTTGATTGGTATTTTTTATTAATAATAATGTTAATGAATATTATTAAATGAATAAAAAAATAAAAATTTAAATTATCCCTTCAGATTTTTATTTCTGCTATTATTCATCAAATTTTTTTATGCTTTTTTCTAAAATGTCTTCCAACTAAAAGATAAAATTTGAAATACCTAATATTTTATATCCTCTAATTTTAAATATAAGTCCTAAAAATAACCTTTTGTATTGAATAAGTTTTTCTCTTGCTAATATTTATGATATTGGTAAATTATTTGGGTTTATTTCTTATGTAAATTAATCTTATTTTAACTTGTTTTCTTGCTTGGGTTTATATGAAATGTCAAGTTTTAGAAAATATTAATTAATAATAAATATTTTTTTTATACAATCATTTTCCAATGGTTAGCAAAATGTTGATAATTAAAAGACCAATTATTGCATAAGATAATTGGGTTAATTTCTCTATTTTGGAATTCAATTCTTATGGTATAGATTGCGGAATTTATTTTCCTTCAATTACATCTTTTACTTTATTTTCAATAATCTACTATTAATTTTACTCTTGATTTTAATTGCTATCTTATACAACTTAGGATTCTTGCTAAATTTATTCAAGTATCAACTCCTCGTTGTTTTATTTTGACCTTTATACTAACACTTATTCAACTTTTGTTTCTATAGGATCCTTAATTTCAATTTCTTCAATTTTTTGTTGTTTTTGTTCATTTTAAACTCTTTTCATTATAATTTTGTTTTGCTCTTCCTCATATATTTATTTTAAATACTTTTCCCAAACTTCAATGCTTTCTTTTTTACTGCTATTTTCAATTTTACTTTTGAAAACAGTCTATTTGAAAAAATGAATATAAAATCCATAATTTACCTAACATCCACCATCAATTTAATGAATATGCCAAAAAACTCTACAAGAAAAACTGTCGGCATAAGGTATTTTAGCAAATTTTACCTCTTTTTCTAATAATATCTCATTATCATTAAAATAATATAAAACATCTTCTGCAAAACAATGAACTATATCTGGGGCAAACATTTATTTTTCTTTGACTGGATGAATGAATTTTATTGGTCTTTTTGAAATATGTCCAATTTTTGGTTCAGGTTAATACTTTTAAAAATCAATCTCCCTATCTTAACATATAACAACTTGATAATATTGAGGAAATGATAAACAATTTTCGTAAGGAGTATCTAATAAAAAGTAATCTATAAATTCTTTTACACTTACCTTTAATTAGGTTTTAAATTTCATTATTGCAGGTTAATTCATAAATCTATTTTACTTATTCTAAACCATTATTTCATTATAAAGATCTCTTTAATTTTCATTTATTTATTCTGTCTCAAATTATGAAACCTAAGGTAAAGCAGGATTAGATTATTCTTATTAATCTTTATTTATTATCTTTTCACTCGTTTTTTCTTATTTATCAACTTCTTTATTTTATTTAGTCTAAGAATTTTATTCATGAGAAGATCTTTTAATCTCTTGAATAGGTTCAGTAATTTGTATTTAAGGAATTATTATAGATTGATCAATAGATTATTGTTATTATTACTATTATTATTATTATTACTATTATTACTATTATTATTATTACTACTATTATTATTATTATTATTACTATTATTACTATTATTATTATTACTACTATTATAATATATATTATTATTACTATTATTATTATTATTATTGTTGTTATTGATTTAAATTGTTTAGACTTTTATCTAATTATTAATCTAAATTCTTCTAATTTTAAGGTTCTGCTGATATATTCTAAGGTTTTGGTGAAGGACTTCTAATTCCTTATTATTTTTCTTGAGGTTTCATTAGTTGTTATGTTTCTATATAAACTTATTATATATTTCTTTCTGGTTCACTTTCAATTTTTTCCTCAATAATTCCTTACTCTAAGCCTTTTACTTATTTCAAGCTCGCCAAAGTTTGTTCTCTATTGGCTAAACTGGCAAAGACTAAATATCCTTTCATTGTTTTAAATTCAATAGCTGCATCTACCATATAAGCTTTAGTTCTTCTAATATTTTATATATCTATTGAAGGAATACCTAATGCTGTAGTTCCAAAAAGAGTCTATTAATTCATAAAATAAATACTTTGCCATTAAAATATGAATGGAAACAAACTTTAGATGAAAAAATATACATTCTACCTTATAAAAGAATTTTATTATCAAATGCACATGCATAACTTGCAATACACTTATCTCCTTCTAATATTCTGAATTTTTCAATTAATTTTTAAGACACTTTAACAGAACCTTCCTCCAAGTTTATATCATCACTTTCACTCTCTTCTTATTATTATAGCAATGTTGCCATTTCAATCTTAGATTTGATTTCATCAGTCATCTCAAATAACTTTTGAAATTTCAAATCTTATTAATCAAGTTTAGTATTTAACATAGTTTCATATTCAACTTATTTTATCTTTTCCTAAATTTAACTTAAGCTTTCTTCCTATTATTTTGTCTAAGTTACTATTTCATCTAAGAATGAACTATAATGACTTATAATTTAATCTAATGTTTAAATGATTTAATTAGATCTTTAATATTCATTACCTCTTACTGAATCCACTGAGTGTTTAAGACCATTACAACTTTCTTATATAGTTTTCTTTAATTATTATATTAAATTTTCTTTTATTGCTGGCTTCTATTCATTTTCTAAAATTTATTATTTGAGTGATTAAAAATCTTTCAACATCTTTTAGTACATATTCAAAAAACTTTTTTCTTAATTTTTTTACTCTTTGATTAATTAATCCAAGCATTAAGCTTTAAGTAAAATAAATTATGATTATTAATTATACTTTTTTGAAAAATAATCATTTTACTTAACCAAAATTTCTTATACCTAAAGAATTGGCTTTATGAAATTTAATTTATCTTTGTCTGATTTATCCTATATAAATAATTATATTAATTACTTGAATAAATTATAAGGTTGTCTTTACTGATTTTTATAAATTTTTTGAAAATTAATCCATAAGATTAGATAATTCTGTAAGGTAAATTGGTAGAATTTTTTAATTTTTAAGCCTATCATTTATAAAAGACAATTAAGCATCTATATGTTTATGTAAAGTATCTGGAATTGTTAAATATTCTTAATCTGTTATTTGTTTTTTTTCTGCAATTTTACTCATAATAGTAATATATCTAAACTGATTATCTTATTCATATTTAGATGTGATTATTCTTTCTTCCATTTCTTAATCATAAATTGGTAAGGATAAAATTTTTTCTTATTTTTCATCCATTTAACCTTTAATCCAACAATTTGCAGATAATTTATGTTAATCAAGCTTCATTGTAATATCTACAAATTTTGAATAAGTTAATTAATGAGCTTAGATTAATTACTATCGAGAATCTTCAATAGCTTAATTGAAATCTTTTGTTTTTATAATTAAACTATCATAAGCTTCTTTGTATTATTATTCTGCAGGCTCAACTTGTTTTATTAATTCCTTTAATTTTTAATCGTTCTTGAAAGACAGATTGAGATCATATCCAGTTAAAGCATCAACTGAATTTTTCTTACCAGAATTCAAAGTCATTTCTATTTCTTTACATAGTTTATCATATTTATCTTTGGCCTTTTTACAATTTTATCTATGTTATGCAAGCTATTGCGATTGTTGGAAATTACCATCTGTTATTATTTTAGTGAAAATATTCATCTTCTCATTATATTACTCAATACTTTGAGAAAAGAATTAGAAAAATTCTGAAAACTATGAAAGTGATGTTTTTGAGATCGATTCAAAAAGTTAAATGAATTCAATCAAATTTTGTCCTTGAATTAAATAAAGTAAAATACCTAAGCTTATTGGATCATTAACTTATAATGAAATCTATGAAGAATATTATTTGTTAAATGGTCCAAATTTCTTAAAATGTTACTCATATTCATTTTATGAATCTGTAGTATATTTTGAATATTGCTTCATTATTTTTTTTAGATCTTCTAGTTTGTCATTTAATAAAGAAGTTGCAGCCTATTCAGAAGCGTTGAGCATATTTATAAATTTTATTTAATAAAAAATATGTAATGTCATTTGAGTTATATAATATTCAACCACTCCACAAGTTCTTATAAATTGGGTTTTCTAGATAAAAAATCTTATATAGAATCTGTATGTTCATCACTCACCATAGCCTCTGTTCTCTCACCAAATGAAATATCTTAAGCACTTCTCTTTCTTTTAGAATCTTTTTAAATGAAAGGAGATATTAACTCATCAAAATATTTGTAAAATTAATATTGAATTTCGAAAGTTCTTAAATTTATTTCAAATCTTAGGACTCTCTTTTTTGAATTAGATTATAAATTTTTGTCATCCAATCGACTTCTATGGCTAATCAAAATTAAAATTGATCCTTTTTCTGGGTCGAGTCTCCATAAAGTACCCCAAATTTTATTATTAAATAATAATTATTACTCCAATTCATCTACTTTTGATAGCAATATTGGCATTTAATGAATAGCAGAAAAAATGATTTCATTTGCCATCTTGTTAGAATTTTAAAATTAATGCTTTAATGATAATTAAAGAATTTCTCCTTTGTTTATATCTGATTTTTATTTATAATCAACTTTTAAACCTGATAACACTAATCTATTTTCTTGCAATTCTTTATAGAATTCATTAAAAATATCTAAAATTTCTAGATTTCCATCAATCTATTTTTAATTTTAAAATGTATATTAAACATTTGCTTATTTATATGTGAATGTAATTTAATATTATTTTTTATCATAATAGATATTACTAACTCTATAGCCAAGACATTAAATTAAAGTGGCTCTAATCTATTAAGAAGATCCTTTTTATTCTTATTTAATAATTTCATCTAATTAATTTTCTGTAAAATTTTCTTTATCTTCTAATTAATTGAGTTTAGAGTTATTATTCATTCTTGAATCAAGTTACTTCTATTCAATTTCATTTAATGTAATTAATTTCTATTAAAGTTTACTTATCTTTGAAGCTAATAAATCTTAAATAATTAATATTTCTTATTCTTCTCTAGTTGTAACTCTTTTTAAAGTGGCATCATTCATTTCAGCCAATTAAGTTAACTATAGGAGCTCTTTTGCAATATCTATTTCAATGGGCTTAACATTTTTTCTATAAGATTATTTTCCGCTATTTTCTTCAATTTGAACAGCCTTAGGTGTTTTAAATGGTTATTGTTATGGTGTTTGAATAACTTAAGTTTGATTTGTTGGTTGTTTCTAAGTTGATTATTGAATTTAAGTTTATTAAGCTTAAGGAATCTTATTTTATTGAGGTTCTTATTTTTTTGAACTTGGTTATTCTTCAAAAATTGTACTTAATTTTGGCGGAGTAGATTCACCAACTCTATTACTTCCATATGGAATAAATGAAACTTTTCTAGTCCTATTACTCTCATAATCAAATTAAACTGTATTCATAGTCTATTAAGGTTAAACATTTCCCTATATTGGATGAAAGGATGGATTTTTTTAATCTTATTTTTGATCCTCAATAGTGTTTAATTGTTAAGAAGATTAATTTTATTCTTCTTTTGGTTCAGCTTAATTTTCAAAAAACCAAGAAACTCTCTTTTCTTATTTACAAAATAATTATACTTCTACTCATGTGATTATTAAACTTCAAATTTAAATAAATATATATACTAATACTATATTTATATATTTTTTTAAATATCAAGAATAAAATTAAAAATAGTTCTTTTTATTATGTTGCATATTTAAATAATAACAAAATAAGAATCATTCAAGATGGACACAATTTGTTTTTGATCCATTAATAATTTTCTTTAATATCTATAGCAAATTATCTTAGAATCAAACATAATTAAGTTAAAACTGATAGACCTATAAAACTAAGCATAGCCCAACCAATGTTGGTTCTTGTTGTTGAAGAGTATTTTTATTCTTTATCATCAAATGCTAAAACACAACAAAGTACTAATACAAAAAAAATAGTGGCATCTGGAACTGCATTTTAAATATATTCAACTTTACTCTCAAAAGGATTTTTATATATTAATAACATTAAATTCAAAAAACTAGCAGCACAACAAAATGATGTTTAAAAAAGTGGATAATTATACAAACCAACTAAAAATATAATAAAAAGCATTTTTCTTGCAAAACTTATACTAAAGTACATTTTAGATATTTAAGATTTAACATCAATTCCCTCATATAATGTTCCATAATCAAATTGATATGATTTTGTTTTTAATAATAAACTTGATTTCTGAGAAACATTTATAGCAATAAGGAATATAGAAATACAAATAAATAATCCAATAAATGACAATAATATTTAGGAAAAAATAAGTGGTTAATCCTTTTTGTCCATAAATTGTAATTATAGAATACTTGCCATACATAAATCTAAATAAACTAAATTTAACTATTTAATTATTATGGCTCTAAAACTGATTTAATACTCATATGCATTATCATATAAATATTAAATTACTGATGGAAACTGTTTTGGTTTTTCTAATTTTATTTCAATTTCTGGTTATTAGCATTCTAAATTTTAATCTAATTAAAAAATAGGCATTTATTTAATTTGAACAGTCCTTATTTTTTATTTAGGACTTCTTTGATAAATTTTTTCAGTAATAAAAACAAAAGATTTACAAATAGGATATAGACTAGCACATAGAATCCAAGTTAAAAAACACATCATCATATTATTAAGAAAATAAGGATCAACTCCTTTTTATTCAAATCTAAATGGACTTTCAATATAATCTAAATCTGATTCACTTCTAACAATTGGAGAAAAATCAAAAGGATTAATTAATTCCCATGCTGGATTTAAAAATATTATATTAACATTTGCTGGATACATAACATTAAAATAATAAAAATTATTAAGCCAAGCTAATATGTCTAATATACTAAAAAAAAAATTAAATCCTCCTAATAAAATAGTTCCTGGTCCTAAAAAATAAAGAGCTGAAACAAAATTGCTTTATAATTATTAAATTTATTATGCTTATTCTTATTCTTCATCTGAGTAAAATGTTTCACTTCTTGCTTAAATTATCATTTCTTCAAAATCTAAGGATAATAGTCTTTGTTTATTTTTATAAAATAAAACATGTATAACATCATAATTCCTAACATTTTTATAAAATTTAAAAGATATTTAACAGTATTTCATAGAATCATCTTCCATTAAATCTAAAAAAACTTTAAAATCTTTTGCTTCGAAATTTTCTAAATATACTTTTAAATACTTTTCATCACATTTAGCAGGATATTCACCAAAATCTAATTTGAGTGTATTAGTAGTAGTTTTATTTGAATATTTTAATTCCATTTTATTATCTATATTAACAATAGAACAAATTCCTTTAGAACATTAAAAACCTGTTTCAATAGTACATTTAGAAGAACATCCATCTCCATCAATTAAATTACCATCATCACATAGTTCCTCTTTTGTTTAAATATAATCGCCACATTTTGATTAACATTATCCATTTACTTCATAATATCCTAATTGATTTTCACAAGTTAAACATTTTCCATTTAATGGAGATATAGTTTAAATTTTACATTTAATGCATTAATCAATATAATTGCATTCTAGACACTCTAATTTACATTAAAAACATGCATTTTAATAAAAAAAATAACCTTATTAACACTATAAACATTATAATAATTAATTTTGATTTTCTATACAATTTAAGCAATTAGCAGGACATTTAATACAATGTGAATTTTATCCAATTTCATTTTTACAAGACCAACCAATATCAACAATACAATTAGAACATCCATCTCTTATATTTTAATTACCGTCATTACATTCTTATCCTAATTAATACCCTGTTGTAACATCACAAATAATTTCTTTTTATGATAAATCAAAACAATCTTCTAATAAAGGTCCTAAACATCCAGAACATTTATCATAGCACTTTTAACATCCTTTATTTTCATCACTATAATAACCTTTACTACAATAACATGATTATCCAGATTAAGTATATTCTGGTTAACAAACCATACAATAGTTTAATTTATTACATTCATAACATTATTAATCACAAGTAGTACAAGAATCATTTAAAAAGAATGTTTATTATAAACAAGAATTTGATTATCTATCATAATTAGGATCATATGACCATTATAAACATTCTTCTATAGTTGGTCCTGTACAAGCAGTACAAGTAGGATAACAATAATCAATTACTATTCTCATATTAGAAATTCCTGATTTAAAAAATTTTGATGAACTTGATGAAAAAATACTTAATTTCAAATATTTTGAAGAATGAGCAAAATTAAAATCTAATGTTTTTGTTTGATATAATTTAATTGGATCTGTTACAACTTCTTATGAATAATTTCCTAAATTTACAACTACATACCCATTTGACTACTTAATATTTAATAAATCAATTTTGAATGCTGCTCTTATTTAATAATGAGGTTTCAGATATTCAAATTTCTAAAAAAATCTAGTATTTGTAACTTAAAGTCCTCCTAAATGACGATATCCATTGAAATAACTAGTTATATTTGGCATTGTTCCATGCAACTTTATTTAAATTAATTCTTTCAATAAATATTCGGATTCTATAATATATCATTATAATACATTATATTTCATCATCCATTTCTAAACATTTATTATCGTTTTAAATAGTGTATGATAATGGACAATTAACAACACATTGTTACTTTAATTAATAAAACCCTGTTTCACATTTTAAACATTCTTAATCATTTAAACATTTTTCACAATTCTGTGTACATTTTAATACATCTACAATGAAATCTGAAATACCCCATCTTGAAGTACTCTATTTATATGTATCACTATAAATTTAGATTTTTAAATTTTCACTTGTATGGTTCAAATAATAATCAACAAGGAAAACTTAACATTCATTAATCTCTGAATTTGTACATGAATTTTTATTTGCATAATTAATAAATCCATTCTTGCTATACAATAATGGTTTTTAAATCACCTAATCAATAATTGTTATAATATATTCATTGACAGCCCAAGAGTAAAATAAAAATAAATTAAACCTGACTCTTATTCTATGATGTCCAATTATATTATTTTAATTAATTGTGAGTGTCTATTTCTTTTCGAACATTCCAATTAAATAACTGTCTTTATGTCTAAATAAGAATTGACTCTTAGTAGTTCTTGTTTAAAGGAATGACCATAATGAAGATTTATTATTTTATCCATGATCAAAAGAATTTAAAAGTGAAGTTTCAACATTTTTTATCAAAGAGCTTCCAAAACAAACCTAATATTAATCTAGAAAAGTAAATTTTGGACAATAAGCAATACAAGTATCAGCATATACAAATGGAATTGTAGAAGGACATTTACATGAATTTGATATTTTACCTTTCTTTGCAAATTAAGGACATATTCTACAATCATTTTCTGTTGGACCACTACAACTAGTACATAAAGGATGACATTCTTTAGCATTAATTTATATATTTCTTATTCCTAGTTTATGAGGAAATTCCTAATTTAACTTAGAACTTTCTCCTGTTATCTCAAATTTCAATTCCAAATACTAATTAATATGATAAAATTTTATTTCCCTAGTCATAAATTTTTAGGGTGAAGTTCTAAAAAGAATAAAATCAAAATTTACTCGCTACAAATAAATCCTTAATCAGATTCATTAGTCTATATGTATGTATATTCATCAATAACAGAGTTGTTGAGTAAAATTTAGATTGTTTCTCCTTTCCATTATCCTAAAAACATATAGTCTATATAAAGATGTATAAAAAAGTGTGCTTTTTCTATTGATGTATTAAGAAATAGTGAAGGATTTTATTTATCTAATAGCACCATGTCATAATTTAGAACTGAGCATGCATATGTTTATGGTGTAAATGTAAAGTCACTCAGGTCAGATAGATCATGAAGAATTTGTTTTACATACTCAGCTTGGCTCATTATAACAAACAATGCAAAAGTTATCATTTAGCTTAATAATCCTTAATATTTATAATAATTGAAATATTTCAAATGAAAAATAAATCTTTTTATTTCATATCCATCTTTAGTATTTAAAAACTAAAATCAAACCAAAGCTATTCAATAATTTTAATAAATTATTCCTTTACATTAGTTATCATTTTCTAATTTAACGATCAATTTTACTTTATTTTTATGTTTATATTTAATTGAATTACATATTCCATTCTAAAAAGTTATAATTACCTCAAAAACTAAACAACTTTTTTTTACAGAAATTAATTAAATTTAACATTTATTGATATTATATTAAAATAATTAATTTATTGCATTCAAAGAAAACTTTTAATCTCATATATTCTAAAGTATTTTATTGAATGCTTAAATTTTAAATCAATTTATATAAATTTATATCTATTATTATATTTGTTTATAAAAAATACTCAAACGCTGGGTCCAAAGCTCTTATCTTTAAAAAAATTAGTTAGCATATAAATTTAAATTAAACAAACACTTATCAAAACTACTATTTTACATAATGCACACCATTTTACTTGATTTTCAGTACTTTCCATCACTAAGTTTATATTTAATTCAAGCACATACATTTCTCATGATAATTTTCTCTATCAATTTGAAAGTGCTGATTTCTATAAACTTTATGCATTTTTGATAATACTTATTTTAATGATCCTTCAGTTTCATCCATTTAATCTAATTTTAATTTCAATATCATTTATACTCTTATCAGCAAAATTCTTATCAACTCCACTAATATCAATATCAAAGCTAAATATTTTGTAATAATTATCATTTGATTAAAAGCAGAGATAAATTTCTTTTTTTCCATTAACCTAATATTTTAATTAACCTTCTCTTTTTCCTTTTTAAGATTCTAAAGTTTTGTTATATTCAACATCATTCTCCAAAATAGTTTCAAATAACTAATCTACATTTATTTATACTTCCACATAAACATTTTCTTCATTTATTCCTGTCACAACATATGGCACCTTCACTATTTGACTATCGTTTCCATCAATAATGAAACATTTAGTTGATTCACCTTCAACTCCTATAGAAACAGAATTAATGAGCTATATTAGACAACCAATTATAAATAAATTCTTCATTAATTTATGGTTAGAATTCCAAATTAAGTAATTAATATTCTTCAAAATTTTTATATCTCAAATAACTATAATTTATATTAAATACCCAAAAATAGTTCGAATACTAATAATCTTCAATTTTAAGTATAAATCGATATTATTATGACTTTATCTTCATATTTATTTCTTTACTTAAAAATAAAAAAGAATAAATTTAAATAAATTAACGAATTGTTTAAATTTGTCATAAAATAAATAATTATAAATACTATGATAAAAATAACCCTTAAATAAAATAAGTGTTTAATTATTTTATATCTCCTTTTAAATAAAATTTCTTCTTTAAAAAATTTTTGATTTGAAATTATATGAGTATTTACTTTCATTTTTAATGCAATAGCAAGGAGATATTTATAATATTTTAGAAAAACTTATAATAATAAACTAATTTATCTAAATTATATAATATATTTAATAAATTATTTTGTAAAAAATTAATAGGGAATAAAATTTATAGAAATAAAGATAATGATCTTTGGATTTCATAAAATTGAAGATATTTCTTTTATATGTTAAAAATGATTAAATATAAATATGTTTATCATAATTTTAATAATTTCTGTAATAATAAAATTGATTTAAATATGAAATGGAATTTTTTAGGGAAATTCATAAGTTTAATCATTTAAGCCAACCTTTCACCATCTTTAAATAATTCTTATTTCACAACATTTTAGATAACGGTCTACTATATGTAGTTAACATATTTCTTGATAAGTGAAAATCATGAATACATTTATCGTTTAATTAATGCTATATCAAGAATTAGTTTGATAACTCCAATATTTATAGAGAAATATGAAATCAATTTACTAATAGGAGTCATTATTATAATAATAAATGTCATACCATACATAATTGTAATTTATAGAAGAATTAAGAATGTGAACAAGGAAGTCGGTAATATTTCAAAAAGCATGTTACAAGTATAAATTATATAATATTTTTAGATTACAACAATGATAATTAACTTTTATTTTCTATATTTCACATGGTTTCTGTATTTGCCTTAATTATACTATATTGGATGGAATTTTATCTAATAAGAAATTTCTCTAGGAATAATAGCTATGATAGTTCTATTATTCACTATTTTAAGTTTGACAATTTCAAATGTTTATTTTGTAAATTTTGAATTCAATGAGCAACATTTAAGAAAGCATTTTTCTTATAATAATTTGATTGCATAGACTTTAGTCATTCCAATGGCTATTCTATATTTAAAAAATGATGACATCACATAATTAATGAGTAGAACTTTACATGGATTAATTTTATTGATGCAAATTTATGAAGCATATTTTTAATTACCTTTTGGGTAAGTAATTGATAAAATTATTTTAGATTTTCATAATAAGGATATATATTAAATCGAGCATTGATGACTCATTCAGTAGTATTTCTGTTCTCTTCAATCAAGGCTTTAAGTACAGCCAATCCTCACAGTTTGGCAACAATCATGTTAATTATGCAGCCAGTTGTATAATATTTGTTCTAAATTCTTTTTGATAGCAAAAGAGCAAATGCTTATCTTTCAATAAATAAAACAAATAATTAATATTATGAATTGTTATATATAGAAGATTTTTTTGAATTGAGTTAATTAGCATAGAAAAATAAAACCAAAGAGATTGAATTAATTTAAAAATTTAGTCTTCACATGAATAGATGTAATTCAACTAAATGTTAATGCAGAAAAATTGGATCGTTTAAAATTTTATTATTTGATGAAACTGTGCTACTGATTTCATGTTTATTTAAAGGAAGTTTTGAGAAGCACAAATTACACTATTAGGATTTAAGAGTTTTTGAAATATTCAGTCTAAAATTCTTAACATTTATTAATAAGTACAAACATAATGCTCCAAAAACTTATTAAGAATTAAAAATCTTTTTTTAGAAAAAACGAGATTATTCATTCTATTTTATATAAATGTGTTTATTACTATAATTCATACTTTAAGCTTAAATGCAAAAAGATGAGGATTATAATATTAACAGAGAGTCAAGAGTTTCAAATGTAAAGTTATAAGTTAGCAAAAGTGAACGAAGTATAGTATAAAATCTTTATTAAATGGAGTAAGTGAAACAAAATATGATACCTCTATTAACAGAGATTAGTTAATTTAAATCTTAATTTTGGAAGTCATTTAAAGTAGGTAAATTTTCAGATTACCATTAAATTGAAGAGTAAATAAAGAAATTATAGAAATTAAGAGATGAGATAATGTATCAATTTAACATTTATTATTAAATATTTTATCATAATGGTAGAACTTTTAATGTTTAATTTTTGAAAGTGAATGCATTGATAAACTTGTTGTTGTTCAACAATGTAAGAAAGTATTTTGAAATGGAGAAAGGTAAATAATAATGTAATGATTAGAAAGGAGAGAAATTCTATAGTTTGAGAAGAGTATGAATTCTTTTGAAATAACTAATATAAACTTTTTTAAAGGGGAAGCTATATCAGTAAAAGTATGTATAGCATTTGGTCCAAATATTGGAAAAGTATTGAATAAGGTAATTTCTCCATTGATTCCAAAATTTTTTGGATTTGGTAAGTTTCCTAATCCAATGAATTCATTTATTGATTTCACAAAGGGTAATATAAATACTTTGATGCCAAATTGGCTTGAGCCTATTCATGATGAAATAATGTAGAATTATATAAGGAGAGGAGTAACAGCAAGAATTGGCAAGTATTTTTAAACATTTGCTAAATTGTATGATAAAACTTTAATAAGATGTTAAGTTTATTTAGCACATAATTTTAGTTAAGAATTGGAAGATGATTTTACAATGATTGGATGTTTAAAATCATTAGAGGAAGAGTAACCAAAATTTTAAAAAGATGAAAACAAGAAATTAAAGAATATAGCATTTAAAGGAGCATAACATATTTTATTTGATGTGAATGGAAATATAATGGGTATAACAAAAGGGTTATATAAGATGATTGAAAGATTGTAAAGATTGGTAACAAATAATAAAGAAGCAACTTATCATGAGAATGATGAGATATTATAATAAAGTGGATAGAAATCAAAATCAGAGAATTCTTCATTAGAATCTGAAAGGTATTTAGAATAATAATATTGAGTTATGATGTATTTGATTAGAAATGGTCGAATACAATTTTGAAGATCGATGATTTTTATCATAAAGTATTAATTTGGATGATTTTACCATTTATATCAAGAGAAATTGAATCTACAGGAATAGAATTTTTAATGAATGGATAGATTCCTCCTAAGAATAGATATGCTAATTTGATAGATTTAGAAAATGGAAATCAAGTTGTTTAAAATAAGGAAACTTATTTATTTGTTCCTGAAGATTTAAATTTATTTGTTTAATAATATGAAAAAGTGATATCAAGAATTGTAGATGATTTAAGAGTTTAATCAAATAATTTTTCATCAGGAAGTGCTTATAGAGCAGTATAAAGAAGTGATTATTAAGAAAGTGATTAATAGAGTTTGGTTTAAACAATAACTATTTTTGATGAGAAATTATGTGTATTTTTTTATGATGAACATCTAAAGAGACATTAAGCATTATTGTTTGGATAAACTAGATAGTCAGAAATGTAAAAAAGTTAAGGAAGACCTTCATCAAAATCATCTATACCTGATAAATAGACAATAAGTAGTGAAGAAGATAGTGAATAACTTAAAACTAGAGCTGAAAAAATATATTAAGATAGATACTCAAAATATATAGAGAAATTCACACCTTAGGATTTCAATCCTATACCTGTTGTTTATTCTGTAAATTATGAAGAATATCGATATAAGAAAAATGATACAGATCATAAATAATAGATGTTTGTTATAGAATTGATTGTAAATGATTAATAATTGTTAAATACAGAAAAAGGATATAAAAGATAATTAAGAGAAACAATTAAGTAGACTTATTAGAATTACTAATCCAAAAAGATGTTATTAGAATAAGGGACAGATGGAGAAGATTCAATTAGTATTTAAGGAAATATTAGTGAATAAAGAAGTGTTCATGAAGGAGATATACTTAATTATAATTTCCCATCTCATCCTTCTCATTATTATGAGGATATATATTTTGTTGATAATAATTAGATTCTATAAACTGATCAAATATATAGTCCTCGATAAGATGGAAAATCAGAAGGTCTTCTTTTAAGTGGAAGATATAGATAAAGTAAACCTTTATTAGATAAAGATACTAAAACTTAAGGAGGACAAAAAAATAAAAGCCATTTCTCAGTAAATTCTGAACATAGTAGAGATGAAATCTAATTTAAAGGATCTTATAAGAATTTGAAATTTCCAGAAAAAGAAATTGCTTTAAAAGCTCTTAATAGAATGAATTAGAAAAAAAAATAATAAGATTTCTATAATGATAATGAATCTAAAATACCAATAGAAAGCAAAGGCTCTTAATAATAAATCTTTGAAGAGTTTCAAGTTAAATATTCTGATGGATTAAAACTTTTTGACTCCCAATATAAAGTTGTCTAACAAAAAGCATCTGATATGTAGAATCCTAATTCTTATAAAATTTAAAAATATTTATTGATAACTACATTCATTCTAATAGTAAGTTATATTATCCTTATATCAATTGCAATATAAAATCAATATGATCTTACTGGATGTTATAATTTACTTGAATTAATGATAGCAACTTAAAAATCCTATTCTTAAATTACTCATAGTTTATATCGTCTAGAAATATCAGATTTACTACAAATTGACAATATAGATCTCTTAAAGTAATTTTATGAAAAGTAGATCTTTTTTGAATTGTAAGAACTAATAGATCTTTCAAGTAGTTAAATTATTGAAATCAATTAGGTGTAAGTGAGTTTAGATTAATTTTATGATATAGAAGATAGAGTTTAGATGAAACCAACATTCTAATAAACTATTTAATTTACACTTGGTTAATTATATAAACTTAAATAAAATGAGACCAGCAATCTTTTTAAATATAACTCCACTTTAACTTTAGCATCTGTTGCTAATCTTTAAGGAATAGGATAATTACCATAAAAAGCTTATGATTTCTGTTTTGATTATAAAATTTCCAATGAAAACACTTATTAAACTCTCTTGATCATTTATATGGTAGTCATCTTTTTCTTAGTGATGATTTTATAATTTTCTCATATTCCATTAATTGGAAAGTTAAGAAAGAATCATAGAACATTTTACAAAGAAATAATTAAATTATAAATGAATGAAGTAAATGATGAAATTGAAATTTATGAAACAGTTATTTCAATATTCAAAAAATCAATTTATGAATGGATGTTGATTGATTTTGTTTAAGCATCTCAAATGTTTGAGAGTACTAGAGAACTTAAAACAAATGCTCTTACACCAGGAAAGGAAATGCATACTGAAATTAGTTCAGGAGCAGTATCATCATCAAATAAAAAAAATAAATATAAATTAATGGAGAAATTAAAGAAATCTTAAATGAGATAAATAAAATACTTTATAATTCTAATGGTTGGATTATTTGTTATTTTAGCTTATTTTCTTATAATATTCTTAGTTATTTTTATTTTATCAAAAGATCTATTGACTAATGTAGAAATTTTATTTAAATTTAAATTGGTTCAATCTTCAGTAATTAATTTAATTAATAATATGGATTTGGTAGCATTTTAAAGTGTTAATGATTCACTATTCGATAATATTATGTCAGTGAAAAATTATTAAATTTATGCATCAGTATTAAGTGGTGATACAACAGATTACTTTGAATAATACTCAAATGAATTCCTTTCAGCATTAATGGATAATAATTGGAAAGATGATCTCGATACAATGAATTAAGATAATATATGTGAAGTTGGGATAGGATTTGATTGTGTATCAACTGATGCTATCACTTTAAATCCTTGGCTTTTACCTTATTATTAATAAGGACTAAAAACTTTATTAACATAAGTGGATAAGATCATTTCTCAATATCCTTAATTTTTTTATGATGAAAATGTAAAAAATACAGAGTAATAACTTTTCGAATTTTATCAAAGCTAAGAACATTTAATTTATATAGATTACGGAAGTGAATTATTAATTAAGGCTCAAAAGTAAATTATTGATATTGCATATAAACAGTTTGACTAATCTTTAAATTTTTACAAATAAACTTTGTTAATCTTCACTTTAAGTGTAGGAGTTGCTGGTTTTTGTATAATAGGTTTTTTAGGAAATCTAATATTAAAGATGCAAAAAGATTCAATAGAAACATGTTAGGCAGCTCTACTGTTGTTATCACCAAAACGATATCTAAATAAATCTATGGGTTTATTAACATAAAAAAAATTATGATTTTTTTGTGTATAATTAATTAATATGAATTAAGTTAAAAAAGATTAAGCTAATCCATTATAATAAAGTTATGAGTAGTCTCGAGTAGGAGTAGCTTTTGGAGATGATTTTGAAAAAGGTCCAGTATCCTTTAGGTAACAAATTTGGTATCAAATTGAGAGCTGAAGCCCATTTTAATGAATAAAAAGCAATAGATTAATATGATTATCTAAAGAATATAGTAGGAGATCATATTGATATAGATTGGTCTTTAGTTTGTTTCCTTAGATATTAACCAGGTAAAAAAGAAGCATTGATAGAATCAATCACAAAAATTAAGGATAGACGTAGAAAGTTATATTAATTAATTAGCTCGTTTTGAAGCCTTTGAATGTAAAATTCACTCAGATGAAACTTATGTTTATTTTTCAGTCAAATTAAGAGAAGATGAAGAAAGCAAATTAAAAGGAGGATTAGAATTAATTTTAGAAAATGGTAATTAATTAATTTAAATAAATGAAGGATTAAGAGAGATGGTTAAGAATTAAGATAATTATTTAAACTTTGAATTTGATGCAAATTATGATTTTGATTAATTGGTATAGGCTGTATCAAAAGGAGAAAGAGTTGGAGCAGCTTTTTTAAGATAAATTAGGTAAAGAATATTTTATAAATAAAGAGCTGAATTAAACTTATTTTTAACAAAAAACTTTTATTAAGGAATTGAGAAATTTGTATCAGGAATTGATAAAGAAGCTTTAGAATCTCCTCCATTGGCATTTTTAAAACATTTTAAAAATTTAGATATGGATTTAAGATTCAGATCAACAGATGAATTACCATAAGTAATAAAAAATTAAATGATTTTTGGAGAAGAGTTTTAGACTTTAGCTTAAGAAGAATTATAATTACCTATTAATCGTACTAAATAAATTAATGCTATTATGGATGTAATCAATATAGATGTATTTAGGCAGCTGCAGATAATGGATTTATTTATTTCACTATTTCAGATTTATGTGCTGTTAAAATTGAATCACACACACCAAAATTATCAACTTTTTTAACTAAATATGGAAAGTATTTGGCAAAATTAGTTGGATTAGGAGAATTTGTGCCAGAAGTATGAGATTAAAGTTAATTATTAACAATATCTGATTGTCTTCTTCTCATATTCAAAATTAACAATGTGTGATCTCATAAATTTAATCATCTGGTCTATTAATTTCAGATTTTATAACTGAATTATGTCTTATAATTCCACTTTCAAATTTAAAAATAGGTCCAGAAATATCTTCAAACATTTATTTAATTTTCCATTTTTTACAAAGTCTTTATTTGTTAAAAAAGATACTCTTTTATAATTAATATTTAATTATTACATACAATGGTCAATTTATTACATTTATTTTTCATAATCATCATATTTAATAGCGCAAACACTTGTTGTATCTTAGAGATTATCAGTCCCTTTTTATAAATATGAAGAATCAACTATTTCATAAGGATTCTTAGTATATGATATAATTTTTAAATTAATACTATATTAATAATATTATTTATTGAAATTCTAATTTTTTATTCATTCTTATTTATCTCCTTATTTAATTAAATCATCTAAGAAATCATCACAATCTTCATCACTATCTCCTGTCTTAGTTTGAATCTTTTATTCAAATTTTGCAATTAATTATTCATCATCATCTTCACTTTCATCTGATCCATTTTCTTTTTATACTATTTATTATTATTAACTAATTTTTTCTTCTTTTTTATCTTATTATACTTATTATACTTATTATATTTATATTTATTATATTTGTTTTTCTTATTATTTTTTTGGTGATTACTATTAAAATTATTGTTGGGGTTATTATTTAATTTACTCTATAAATAATTATTATGGTTAAATCTCATTTTCAAATCCCTTTTTATTAGGTTGCTATTATTCTGGTTATTTTTCATCTGAATCATCATAATCTTTTTTGTCTGTTTCATTACCCAAACTAAATACTTCTTCTTTTTTTTTTTATTGTTCATGACATACTTCTAAACCATCAACTATATGTTTTTCTTTCACAACTAATCCTTTGCATTCCTATATAATTTATAATAATAATTAATTAGATGATTTTGTATCATTGCTAAATGTTTAAGGTCTATCTGCAGTTTAGAATGATTTTTAATTTCCTCTTTCAAAAATAAAATCAACAAAAAATTCTTTATCTGTTTTCATTTATGGACTTTTATCCAACTCTCTATCCCATACTCGAAGTATATTTTCAAATAAAAATGAACAATTAAACATAACTCTAAATAAAGGCACTCTAGTAGTATTGTTCTCAAAATGTTTGCATCTAATTAAAATATCATCTGAAAGCTAATAATTTTTATAAGACTTTTACTTCAATTCCTTTTAGATCAAAAATACAACTCAAATCTCCCTATTAATAATTTTTAAGTTCCCCATCAGTTAATGAATTAAAGATAGGTTTATCATTCTTGAATAATTGAATATATGGTCTAAACATTGTACAATTCTAGACTTTTGGTATGCCAGATATAACTATGGATATTAATCTCAAACATAAACTATTTAATTTAAGACCATTTAAAACATTCCCAACATAAGTGATATACTTATGTTATGATGGAAATAAGGCTTAAAAATCTTTTGTGTTTATTTTTTAACATACACGTAATAAGCATTCTCCAGGCTAAGATTAAATAATATATTTGATTACATAACCAGCTCCCATAATAGCCAATAATGAAGATAATACCATAATACTTCTTCCTCTTGTTTCTTGGCAACAAACAATTGCGATGTTATTTCTATCACTACTGAGAAAATAGATTATATTCTTGCAAATCATCAACAACTCGATTAATGGTGGACATGGATATCCTGGATGTGAATGATTGGCAACCTACTTACTTTTTCACTCTACTTAATTGCAAAACCATTCTGTTGTAAACTCTCTCTCTCCAACATTCCATATATAGTAATGATTCTGATAATTAGTGTTTAAATAACTCGATAATTTTTCTATTTTATCATTCGATGGATATTCCATCCAAAATAATCTATTGCTAATTGCCACAATGTCTCCAAGAATTGCTTATTTACTTAATTTATCTATAGTATTTGAAGCAATTTATTTGGTTTGATTAGCCAGATTTTTATAAGAGTTTGCTATTCCTTTGAATTTCGGAGCTAAAGAATTATACAATTTATCCATATTAATATATTTATATTCACTTTTTTTTTGTAAAATCAAGAATCGTATACCCATATTTTTTCATATGCTTTATATATTTGCGAATACTCATTCCAACGATAACAAAGAAATAGCTGAATAAAAATGGCCAATAAACAGGTATATTGCATAATTTAATGTAAGTACACATATAAGCAAAAATGACAGAAAATACACTATTTTACCAAGCCTTAAACTCTGATGTTGTTCTAAGTAATGGTCTATATTCTTTATCATTCACCTCATTCTTATTACTAATCGTCGTTGGCAATTCAACAACTTTTCATATCATTTTTAAAGCTTTACAATCATTTTGAAATTAATCATCTTCATTTTCTTCATCCTCTAAATTTACTGGTGGTAAACCAAGAGGAGTAAAATACTCAATTATTAATTACAATTGATAAACACAGTATATATAAGTAACAATATGATATCCACCTATTTCTGAAATCCGATTTACATACAATAAAATCAATAAAAGATTCCCAATCCATCTCGATTTTCTATACAAAATGTATCTAAATCTATTTATTATCATCTACCTATCTATTTTCTTTTGGTAATTCACTCTTATTTTGTGAATTGCTTTATATATCAAATTTTCTTCAATTTATTCCTCAATAATCATTTAATTTTAATTACAAAATTTTAAAAAATAATATATATATATATTCTCATTTGTTCTATAATCTAGGCAATTTTAAATAAGCAGACTTATTATCAAATTATTGTTCAATTTTTGAAATGTTCTAGATTTACCTTTTTGTTGATTCAGTCTTCAATTGATATTTTGAAGATCTCTAATCTAATGAAGTGACTCTAAAATTAAATCTTATTTATACTTTTTTAAATTTCCATTACTTTATCTTGATAAATCATAACTTCTCAAATAATATTTATCATCATCATCATCATTTTCCTCAATTAGATCTTCAGGTTTAAATTCTTCATGTAATAAAAGTTTTGGATCTAATTTATCTAATTTCTCCCAATTAACAACCTAGTGAGAATTTGCATCTAAACCAATTTTTTTCAATTTTCTTTCTCTATAATTACTTGTCTTTATATAAGATGGCTCAAAAATTATAGATTTTGATCTTGATTAATCAACCTATGATATTAATTTATCTCTCAATTCTTATTTTTTTACACTTTTCCATTCTTCTACTAATATTCTTCTAGATTTAAGTTAATCAGTTGAATAATTAACAAATTTTTACAATTATAATCCTTCAGGTTTTCTAAATCCTTACTCATCTTTTGATTCAAATGGTATATTCAAAGATTTCATTTTTTTTTTAAATTAAGTTGAATCTACTTCTATGTATTAATATAATTTAATTTCTGCTTTTGCCTAATCTTCCTAAAACATGAATTTAGAGAGTTCTCTCAATAAAAGGATAAAATTCATAAAGGTAATTTCATTTTAATTTTGATTAACTCTCCTAAATAGTAGATTCTAATATATAAAGTAATTATCATACAAGTTCTTTAAAAGACAATATTTTCATATTTTCTTATTGATGATTTCTTGTAGAAACTGGAACTATTTTATTAGTTTTGTTTGTAACTGTATCATTTTATATTCTATTTGTTTCTGCATATTTTGATTAAGTCTTAATGTGATGAATCTTTTCATCTAACAGTCCAAATTAACGACAAAATACCATAAATTTACCTTCTGTTAATGTTTGAGATTCATGATTTATTCTTGTGAAATCGTCTGATGGACCTCTTACATAAAATATTTTAGAATAGAATTTATAAATCTCTTTAAGATGAGATTATATTTTAGATTTAGAAAAAAAAGACTCTTCTGTCTATTCGAGTTCTTTAATTAAACTAATTCCACCAAAGTTGCTGACATCATTCGTTATTGGTTCTATAATATTAAATTTCAACTTTTCTAATTGACCTTCAAGAGTTGATATTATACGTTTTAGAATTCCTTTATCTTTTTATGAAACACATTAAGCTTCTATTTTTCTGTACCTTTCTAATTGTCTCTCTAAATATTCTTAAATATTTAAGTTCTCATTTTCAATTAATACTGGGTTTTATTGTTATTATTATTATTCATTCTCTTATTGATTTACTTTCTCAAATGAGTTTTTTATTACTTATTCATCCATTTAAAATAAATAATCATCTCCTTACTTTTCACTTTTTACTTCCTACCCTTATGCTTTAAGTATAACTTCATTGTTTTCATTATTTTATTAATCCTCTTAATTTTATTGGTTTTTCGAAATTTACCCTTCCCTTTCGTTCTCTACTGGATTTTCGTTTTAATTTTCCATCAATAGATTCTAAGTAAAAAAATTTTTATTTTTATTTAAATCAAATAATAATATTTTGCTCCTATTTGTTTTTTGTGTAAAGCATTATACATAAATTATTTCTAATAATTTCAATGGAAAAGAAATTAGGAATATTTAGAATTATTATTTTCATATTTAACTACTATTTTATAAATAATTTGATAAAATTCAAAGAATTTTTAATTTTTTTTCATTAGATTAGTTTTCCATTTCATTTAGTTAAATTCCTTCCTTTTCTTATATAACATCAAATTCCTGTTATTCTATTTATTGATCACCTTCATTTGCACTTATATATCCATATTTTTAAATTGAAAATTCAGAATTCGGAGAACTACCTGAAACGGAATTCTTAACCTCATCAATAATAAAATTGTCATTTATATCTTTAGATTATTACTAAATTTTGAAATATTGAGATCTAACATTTACAAATTTATTTTCTTCTCTTTCTTCTTCTCTTTCGATAGATTTTAAAGAATATTTCTAATTTGAATTAAAATCTTACCTTGTGTGATAGGTCAATCATTTAATATAAAATAGTATTGTATTAAATAAAGTTTAGCAATTATTGATTCATCTTTTTATTGGAATTTTCACCTTATAAAATTTTGGAATAAGCTTGTAATAATTCTTATCCATTTGAAGCCTTAATTTGAGCTTTGAAAAATCGAGAAACTTTATTTAATTAAATTTCAATCGGAACTTTCATAATATATAAGAATTAAGATACTTTTAGATGAGAAAATATCTTTTAAATCCATTGGCCCAGAAATTTAATTTTTAAACTTATATTTTTCTAAAAGAGATCCTTTCATAAATTACCTATTATAGTCTTTATATATAGTCTTCAAGACATTTTTTTGGTCTGTAATTTTTTTATAAATTACTGGTTCAGAAAAACTATTGAATAATTTCAATTAAACATCATCAAATAAAAATAATTTTAATGAGTCAATCTCATATAATTTCTTGACTATATTTGATAATTCAAGATCTGACATAATTTTAGATTTAGCAATTTAAGCCATAATAGTTTTTTTGTCATAATTTTTTTTACAACAACATTTGAATAAACAAAAATCACCAAAAATCTTTATCAATTTAATTTGAATGTAAGTGAAAAATGAATAATCTAACTAATTTGAATATAATTAATCTAAACCTCTCTTCTTATCTAAATTATGATTAGATTCAAAACTCTCATTTTCTTTGATTGTAGTATTATCTCTAAAATCAAACTTAAACACTTGATTCATAACCTTCACATAAGTTTCATGAGCAATATATATTTTATAAAGTATCTTTGCAAATCCTAAAATTGCTACAGTTAATCCGGAAGCTTAAGCTACTGAATCGAGAAAGACACTGAATGGTTCAGTTTTTGAAGCAAAAAAATATTAAGAGTCAGAAGAAACTCTTAAATAAAATGAACTTAATTCATCTGCTGTGCTTAAGATAATAGGATATTGTCTTCTTTCTTATTTTTCCACCTTTGAAGATCTAAAAATGCTAGTTCTTACATCATCAATGTTTGTTAAAGATGTAAAAACATTTTTACTATTTATCAACTCAATTAAAATAGGCTACAAAAAAATATCTTCACCATTTGCTATTCCTGCATTTAATCTCCAAAATACAATATATGCACTTTCTTCTGAAGGTTAAGTCATATTTAATTTTTATTTGATTTTAGAATTCTAAATTAGAATATTAACATTAATTCTAATTTTTATTTTATATTATACCCTTTATTTAGTAAGTCTTCAATCTAATTTATTGATTTACACATTGTAGAATTAGTACATTTAATCATTGAAATTTTCAAATAATTATAAATTGGATCAAAAAATGACCCAGACATTTTGTATCCTCCTTTAAAACATATGAATTTTTATTTTCGATCCTCTGAAATAGATTATTAATTGAATTTAAAATTATCAATAATATCTGATGAACATGATGATATATTCAGTTAATTAATTTCTCTTTTATACAATGATGTATTTTATGGTCTTATTTATTAAACATATTCAACTCTAAATTATAAATATCTAAGATTTAAATAGATTATATACGTCTAAAATTCTTAATCATAATTAATTATTTCTCCACTTTATGCATAAGATAATTATAACAAGAAACGAGATGTATTTTAATCTAAATACTAAAAATCACTGTTTGTTTATGTTCCTGCATAAATCGATCCAGATTTTGAAATTGCTGATATAAAAATGCTTATAGTGTAAACAATCATTAAAATTAATATTGCAAGTGAAAAAAAACCACCTAATAATAATTTTTGATTACCTAGTTTTGTTAAAGATTTTTAACTTTTTGTTACATTAAATTCATAAGGAGTCACAAGCATATCAATATGTCTTAAATATTTGTAGAATTTTGGCATGAAAAATAACTTTTTTAGAAATAAATTTAAATAAATAAATTAATGTATTAACAATAGAATTTATAATCAAACTAAACAGAAAATTATTTAAACCCTTGAGTTATCATTTAAGAATATTGAGTAAAATTAATCTTTTAAAATAAAAAATTGATAGATTAATGTTAGAAAGCATTATTCAAACAAAAACTAATTGGTGAATCGTATCAAAATATTCTCAAAAGCAAAGATACTACTAATTAAAAATCATAAAAGGCTTAACATTTGTGATTAAAAATGTTAAATAAAAAAATAAAGATTTATAAGAGATATTCTTACTTAATATTAAAATAATGTTGATACACATATTTTAAATTACTATAATATCAGATAAAACATTATATTTAAACCTTAACTTTTAAAATAGAGGGTGAAAATTTGTAGTTAATAAAATTAGAGGATATTTTGATTTAAGATATCATTTAAAAGAAGATAAAAAAAGAAGACGTAAATAAGAAATTTTATAATTTTTTAAGAATTGTTTATTTTTGACAAAGAAATTATTAGATATTAACAAATAATCATTCAGGAATTATTAAGAAAGAAGATCTTCCAAATTGATAAAAAATTAGTGTTTAATAAGGATTTGATTTTGTATTCTGTGTTTTTTTGGTGGAATACATTGAAAATAAGAAATAGAGTGATTTGGAAATATAAAGTTTAATTTTTAAGAGAAATCTCTGGATATTGGAAAATAAAAAGGATTAAATAAATATTAACGAAAACTAAATTTTTACTATGTTGTAAACAAATAAAAAAAAGACAATAAAGATTTATTGTATAGATTTTACATAAATTGATGGTTTGAATAGAATAGTGTTTTTAAAAAAGCTTAGTAGGAATATAATAATTTATGAGATATAATTAAAATTACATCTATATAAGTTAATTTTTATGTTCTTTAAAGAGAGGGCAAAGTGAATTTGTTGTTGTGAATTAATAAAAAAATATTAAATGTATAATCCTGTAGAATATTATTACTGCAATGATTATTACTTATCATAAATCGCAGATGGTAAAATTAATCGAGTCAATACTTCGAACTCTCCAAAAAAAATTATGATGGGTATAGAAAAAAACGATTACAAAACTTTAATAAAGCTAAAAACCCTTAACTTAGAATCAAAAGAAATTCATCCCCATATTGTAAAACATAAATCTATTAAACAATCATTCATTAAATTGGCAGAATCTATTCTAAATGTCAGTAATTGTTTGGAAAGTGTTACAAATACATCCGCAAAAACTGATAAATTTGTTTAAAAATTAAAAAATAAAATAACCACTCCTTCTCCAACTCTTCCTAAGCCTCATAATCATGAAATACACAGAATTCCAGGTCGGCTTTATAAAGGAGCTTTGTTAAAAAATTTTGATAATTCAATAAATTAATTAGATAAATCATATATTTTAGACTCTAAATAAGAGTTTAGAACCCTATCAATGAGTCCTAAAGTTAGAGTTGTTAATCATGACTAACGTAGATATAATAAAATACAAATGTCTAATGCTATTAATAATACAAATCAATTTAAAGATTTAGAGTAATAATTCAAAGTTAGGAAATCTATCATAAATAATGAAATTTCTGATATTTCTCTTTAGTAGACAACTTCTAAATTAATTGAACAAACTATTGAAGCAATGAATGTAGATTGTTTCTACACAAAAGTAAGTCCTAATAATATTAATCATCTTGTTTTGATATAATTTGAAAATGTTTTGGGTTTTGATGAATCAAGTTTTTTTGGATTACAATCTGATTTCATTTCAAGCAAATAATACGATGAATATATAGTATTAAGAGATCATTATTTTTAAAAAGCTACATAGTCTTAATCTTTCTATATACATAAGAATTACAATCAATTGTTCAATTCTATATCTCGTGTGTATCAAATTGGTTTATTCACAATTCAATACCCTGAAATACTGAAAGAATTTCTCTAAGAAAGAAAAGTAAGAGTTAATTGTGGATTTCATATTTAGAATTATAAATTTGATACTTTTGTAATAGATATAACTTAGGTTTTGTCAAATATTTCAATTTAGAAACCCGAGTTATTAATATTTATTTAACCATTTCAGATACTAAACTAATAAGAATCATACATTAGTACCAATTCTAAAATTCCTTTTTATGAATATCATGGTTAACGGTTCTTTCTACCATTTGCTGAAGATTTTCATCCTAATAATATTAGATTATTGGTTTTGCCTATATTATCAATGGAATCATTGCTAAAATAAGATGAATTAAGTAAAGGGTTTGTTTAAATTAACTATTTTATTGAATAATTTACACTAGCTTTATAAAGCGAAAGTTATTTTTTAAAGTTTCTGAAGAAAAATTAGAATAGAATCAAAATGATAGATTAATTAACTTATTTTAGATAATAAAAATAAAAACTATTACAAAAGTTATTTTTCATAGAAACTTTATAAATCTAAGAATAGAAATAAGAAGGAACAAATATGAAAAAAAAAGAAATGATACAAAAATTAATTCAGAAATATGATAATTAAAAATAAGTTAATAGTTAGATAAATGATTTAGTGGAAAGAAATAAAAAGATTTTTAAGAAAATGAGAAACTACAAATAAGAAAAGGTGAATAAATTGCATAAATTATAATAAGAACTTTCTGTACAGCTAAACAGGTATAACTATTGTGAAATGTTTGTTGATATAACATATTACTTAGCTTATTGATCTATATGTTTTTTATATTGTAAATACTCATTTTTCATTTCTTAAACAATCCATTTCTAATATCTGGCAAGAATTCTTATAAGGAAAGTTCTAATCTATCATCTAAAGTGTTGGAACAAACAATTCTACTATTAGCACAACTCAAGACAACTCCTCCCAAACTAAAAAATGTTTATATCCTAATTTTACATAGGTTTACCAGCTTTCTCTGTTAGATATTAACTCTAATTAATACTTAAGGTTGTTTTAAAATCTTTAGTTGTTTCTCTCTTAATAATTTAAGTGAATTCTGATTAGCATTCTCCCAAAACAGTTCTGATTAGTTATACATCTTATTCTAAACATGTTAATTCAATTCTAGGTTCAAGTAATTTAATCATTCCTTGTATAATTAAGTTTTTAAGTAATTCTTTATAGACACTTTAATCTTAAATCAACTTAGCCATTCTCTAACGAACTTCTTCTTTTAGTCTTTAAATTAATTCAAAGCGTGCTTGCATTTTAGACAATCTTGATTGATTAATTTTTGAAGATCGTTGACTAAACCTATTAAATATTTATACATTCTTTTTTCAATTGTATATGATTCAATCTTTTTTTTATATTCTTCAATAATTTTCTCTTTCTATTAATTTAGAAGTTTGTTCTTTTCAATTCTAAACTATTATGCAGCCATATCCTTGATTTATTCAGACTTTTCAGTAGCCTAATCAAATAAATAATCATCAATATTACCTCAGCTTTTATGGCGTTTACCATTTTCTTAACTCTCTCTTATGGATTAAAATCTGCCATGTTATTTAATTTATGAATAAAATACCAATCAATTAACCCACTAAAGATGACTCAATCAAATATCTCTAAATCATTAGAGAGAAAGAAGAATCTATTTAAGCACTTCATACTATTAATGATTAATTACGTTAAGATATACTTCAACTTTAAACACAAATTGCAGAATCTAATAATACTAAAAATTCCAAATACTAAAAAATAGAAGAATCAAATCAACAATTAAAATTTATGTTAGCAGATACACAAAATCTTGTATTGCAATATCAAAATGATATTGATATTTATCATTAAATTGTAGAATAAATTATCAAATATACTCAACTCTATAGATTCAATTAAAAAACAACAATCCCAGAAATTATAAACTTTTTAAGTCAAGAAATCTTTTCTCAAGAAATTATCAATCTTTGGAATGAATTAAAACCTATTCTCTAGTTATTTATCAATTAAATTTAAGGAAATGTCTCCTCTCCTTAATTAAAACAATTGTTTACAAAATACTATAAAAATTATGAAAATCAATACCATCCACTTTCTACTATGACAATATTAGAAGAAATTATCCATATGTTAAATTAGAAAGTATCTCAATAAATTGAAACATAAGTTATGAATTATTCTAATCAATTTACACATTAAATAAATAAGATCAATCTTTTTCAAACCTCAATCCTTCTTATTAATTTTGAAGAAGATTAAATCAAAAAAAAAATGAAAGCATAATAAAAGGAAATTAGTCAATTAAAAGAAGAATTAGAATCTTAGTCTAAAATTAATAAAAATTTAGAAGAATAAATTTAAAATTTAACCATGAAAAGTTCAGAAAGAAAACCTTTTGTAGAATTGCTAAGTATTAAAGATGCAAGTTCTGATTCAGAAGAAGATGATGCTGAAATTTAAAAATTAAATATTGAATTAGAATAAAAAGATACACTTATATAAAAATTGAAATAAACTATTTCAAATTAAGAAGTAATGTTAGAAAGAATTAAAATTGAAAATTAATATTGGGATTTAATTATTAATTGTGATGAAGATAGTCTATTCCCTTTAATTAATTAAGGTTGGACACTAAATTTCAAACAAGATTATGGCCTATCCAATTATCAAATTTTTTATTCTTTTCTTGGTTTTGATAGTTCATATTTATAATTCATATTGGAGAACTTATTTATTAATGATTTTCATTTCTAAAAATTATCAGATCAAACATATTTATAATTAGCAAATAATTAACTTGTTTATCTAAAATCAATATTTTATAATGAATATAATACTCTTGTGTAAACAAAGGTATTAAGACCATTATTAAATAATTTTTATGAAACAAATGAAGTGTTAGAAGGACAATAAATGTTAAATGAATTTTGGATTTAATTTTCACTATTTAATGGAATATTGATCTTATGTTTAAAAAATTGTAATCAATAAAATCTAACTTTGTTGTAGTTAGCAATAAATATTTAAAATTAAATAGAGAAAACGTCAGCCTTAATTGTAATATTTGAAGAAGAATATACTGAATAGGATTTTGTCATGTAAATAATTTAAGAAAACGAATTTATGGAACCTGATGATGAAATTGATGATTAAATTTAAAAAATTCGTTATGCTATGACAAGTGGAGAAAATTTTGATTTTACTAGTGTAAATAAGATAATTTCAAAATAAAAGGTAGACTATATATAATAATTGAATCATTTTATTAAAAATAATTTAGAGATCTATTTTAAAAAGTCAGAATAATCTAAGTTAGAATTCAATTAGTCATTGTTGTCAGAAAATGTATATGAAATAAAATTGGTACAAAGTTAGGAATCAGATTAAATTAAACTATAGAGTTATAGTTAAATATAAGTAATACAAAATGATGAAATAATGGTTCATAAAATTTCAGAGAGTTAATATGATATATTTTTTTCTGAAAAATTGTAGGAAGTGAGGTTAAAAAATTATTAATTAAATAAAAAAGGTTTGATAATAAAATTAAAATGTACTTTTGACAATGATAATATGACAACTAAGTAGTATATATTAAAATGCACTTATATAAAAGAAGATTAAGGAGAGATATCGCACACAATCTTTGATAATAAACTGATTTTGTAATTATGATTTTGTTATTAAATATTTGGTTTAAAAAAGTTTAGAAATGTGATAAATATATTTAGAAATTCAAGTAAAAGAATAAATAAAAAAAAATCAAGGTTTTTTAAGTGAATGACTAAAGGGGATTTTTTGATTATTTTAAAATATTTGTGAAATCCAAATAAATCTTCATGAAAACAAATCTTAAGACATCTATTATAATATAGGTTTAAGAGAACAATGAGTTTTAAGATCTTGAAAAGTTTGAAGCAGTATGATATGATACTTGGAAAAATAATAAATAAAACTCATTTTAATTGCGATAAAGCTGAAGGAGTGTCTATCAGCATAAGTAGTTTTCTATGAGCAATTCATTTTGAGGTTATTTGAGAAAACTTTCACTATCTTCAAAAGTTTCTGATTCACTTTTGATCAAATTAGAATGAATTAGAGACTGAAATTAAGATATGTTTTCTTTCCATTATTGAATGAATTTATTCTTCGATGAGACTATTTAGATATTTTATAAAGTATTACATATAGATTGCTTGTCTATTAAACTAAGTATAGTTTATTCTTGGTCAGTAGCAGCTATCTACATCTAATTTAGAGTATCATAATGCTTTTGGATTCTAAGAATATTGCTTCTAGTCTTTTTGATTTTTTTAGATGGTTTCAGTTAAAGGAAGCACTCAGATTCATCGTCTTCAATCATTTATTATTTTAATGATTAATATCTCTAAATATATCCAAAAGAATTTAAGTTATGCGATATGCAAATACAATTATATATATATAATACATATTATTAAATTAAAAAGATTTGATAAATATACCTAGAGAATTGAGAGGATTCATTTAATAATATATTATTAAAGATTAAAAAGATACGACAAAAAAGAATGATTAAATATTTATATATTTATGCAAATACTAACATATTCATATGATTGCAATCACTTGAAGAAATATAATTTATCCTAAAATAAATATAGATGATTTGAAATACAAATTTAGCAAACAATTCTTTACTCTAACCAGAATGGGTGGTAGAGTTATAGATAAGATGTAAATAATATCCAATTTCTTCTTTGACTCTTTCTTACCATAATGGATAATCTTTTAATTGATCTAAAAGATTAATATATTTATTAATGGCTTCTTCTAAGTGATGTTCATAAGTTAAAGTTGTATGATCACTTCTAAACCAAGTATTATGAGTTGCTATTTCTTTGGTAAGTTCTAAATAGAGTGATCTATATTCCCATGTTGCTCTATGTAAATCTAGAATGAAAGAGTAAAGGTTTTCAAATTGAACAAACTTTTATCTTGCCAATTCATATTATTCTTTCTCACTTTTTTCAAAATGAATAAATAAATAATTACAATGATTCAAGTCTTGGTGTCCAATTTCTAGCTATATGAGAATAGAATCTGCATTCATAATAACTCATTGGATCTCTCTCTAAGAATCCTTCTTCTGGGTCTTAGAAGCCTGACTTACACATTTCAGTCATTATTCTATCTACTTATACTATAACAATCTATATTAATCTTTTACATGAATAATTTATGACTCTGCTCTTTATGAAATATGAAGCAAATCTTGTTACGATGGACATCCTTTATTATAATTAATATTAAATTAATATAAATTTTAAAGAACAAGAAAACTCTATGTTTCAAAATTATTTCTTATATTGTTTTATTAATTTAAGGATACATTTTTTTTAATGGGTTCAGTCTGCTCTGCTTCAAAGAATCAAACAAAATCCCGCTCTTAAAATGGAGAATTAAAGAATAATAATTAACCATATTTAGAAGCTTCCTCTCTTGTTGCTCAATCATTACCTTTAGAAAACAAACCAGATACTTCTCTTGATTAATATGTTTAGGATTTGTTATAACTTTTTAAGAGATTTTGCATGTTTCTTGATCTTGTTGGTAATTTAGATCAACTTCCACAACATACTCGAGAAAAATTAAATAGTTGCATCATTGTTAAATAAAATATTTCTATTATCATACAAAACAATATAAAAAGAGTTATGAGAGAATAATAGATCATCAAAAGAATTGATGAATCAGATTATTATCTTATTTATAATGATCGTAAGTTTGCTAGTGCGTTCAACCAAATGATGTAAAAACTATCCAATATTATTATAACGGATCTTAAGCCAGATGAAGATTTTCAGTCAGCATTTCCAATATTGGCAGTGTCATTTGAAGAAGAAGCCTAAAAAATTAGTTTGATTGTAGAAAAAATCAAAAACATTTAAACTATGGAGATGAGAAAGGGAAGTTCTTAACATTCTCTTTCTATTAATCAACTATAACCAAAACGAAAATCTTCCTAGTAATGAAATAAATTTATTTATTTCATCATTCAAACTTTTATTGATATTTAATTGCATTCTTTATTTTTTATTAAATTCATTGATTATTAAAATTTGTTGTAAATCTTAAATTATGATAAAACAATCTCTAAAAATTCTTCTTAGATTTATAAAATTTATAATTTAATTTTCAAATTACTAATATATATATTATTAAACTATTTCATTAATGTAAATTTAAGTATCTTTTCTATGCTTTCTTTCGAAATCTTTAGTAATTATTGATAATTACAATCTATAAATATATATTTATTAAATTAACTGTTAATGAATTAGAATGAAAATTATAGCATAACAAGCATAAATGAAAAATAAATAGAAAATAATTTGAAAGACTTGTTGGAAAGAGTCTTATTGAACATTGAAAAATTTATCGAAACTAAAGAAGAATTGAATTAAGTGGAAGCTGAATTAAAAGACTATGAAAGTTTATCTCATTTAGTTGGAATAATTAAAGCTGTTTTTACTAATCTAATGTTGAAAGTAGATAAGAAAATATCGTAAGTACTTAAATAAAATATTAACAAGCAAATTAGAAAAGCAAATAGATCCAAACTATTCAATAAGTAAAAGTATAAGGTCAGATGAAGAATATGAAAAATTAGAGCAAACTTTAATTAAATATGAAGGTGAAATTAGAAATCATATAAGAGTATTAGTTATCAATATTTAGATTGAATAATAACTTAAATTATATGCTGAGTCTATACAAAATAAATTAGATGATAGTGAATCAAGTAGAGGTGAGCTATTAGAAACAACCAAAAAATTAATTAGCGTATTGATTCATAAAAACTATAGAATTTAAAAAGAGAAAATTAAACATATCATGAAACTTAATAGAGATTAAACATAGAAATTGCTAATTTAAAATAAATCATTAATAATTTAGAAAAAGAAAACAGAAGGAAATCTTTAGACTTGAGTTAAAGAGATTACTTGAAAACTAGTACAAAGAAAAACTAATAACCAAACATTTAATAATTATAATTGTAAAGTAAATTATTTCTTATATCCTTTAGACTAAAGAAATTAAAAATCTTATTCTGAACATAAATTAACATCTTAAATCAATCATACATCTAATACATTAGAAAGCAATGAAATACCAATTAAATCATAGTAAACTTTAAAATAAAATTATTACAATATAATCAATTATGGTCATTAAGCTTATAAACCAGATATTTTAAAGGTTATTTAATAAAAAGATTTTAACAAAATCTATGGTTAATAAATAAAAAGTAAAAATAATTCACTTTCTACAATTCATGATCTTGTACAAAGTGTTTCAGTATAAGATAGAAAAAAAGGAATTATAAGCTAGCCAGTTTCAAAAAATAGCTCTTAGGATAATAGTTAAATCTAGAAATTTAAAGGTATCCATTTAAAATATAATAGATATATGTGATTAGAATAGAAGTAAGAGTTCAAGAAGAGCAAACATAGGTAAAAAGCAAATTTTAATAGAATCACAGATAAAATTAACTACCTGAAATATATATATTTTAGGAATTTTTTGTATTTATTAAAATAATATTAACATTCTTTAAAATCATTTTTTTAATTTAATTATGGATTTTCTCAAAAAATTTGCAGATTCTTGAATCTCAGAAATAAGCTTCCATTTTGATAAAGTTGTTTTTATAGGATTTACGATAGTTTACCTTTAATTTTCTTATGAATTAGATTTTCTATTTCTGGATGTTTTATTTTTTCTATTAGCCATTCTAAGATTTAAAGCTATATTTTAATCATTTAGTTATTTTTTAATAGTTTCATCATATTCCTTTGAAATCTTATCATACTCTTATAACATAGTTTGGAGATCAATTTTTTAATCTTAATTTCTATCTTATATCTCCATAAATATTTCCGTCTCTTTAGCTTAATGCTTTTTAAAAACACTAAACCTCATTTGATTGTTTTAATCTAAGTTTTATTAGAGAAAAGGGCGATTAAATCTAGTTTCTTCTTCTAATTTCAACTACTCCAAACCTTTCTCTGTTGTCATATATGTAAATCTATTTTAAATATCAGCTGAACCTTAATTATCTTCCATCATCAATTTGATAGTTTCAGGTCTGCTTAAAAGAAATTGGATTTTTTCTAAAAAGTAATCTTTTAAGCTTTATTAATTTGAGTCAAATTATTCAACAAGATAACAATAGATTTCCAAAATTTTTGTTACATGTTCTAAACAATAAGTTCTTTCATGAAAAATAGCTTCCAATTATAAGAGAAGAGACAATTAAGTTCCATCTATCAATTCCTTTTTACCTTTATTATTTATACTTAACTCTTGTTACTGTGATTGTTATGGAGAACCTCTAATATTTTGCATCAATAAGGTATAAAAAATTACAATATTATTTTATAAATATAATCATTCCAAAAAAAATTTTTCATTATTTTTTCATATTTAAAATTGAAAATCAAGCATCAGAGTTTATTTATTTATAATAATAAGTTACATTATTTTAATTTTGCTTAATATTTTTAGATTTAATGATTTTTTTCCACTATTATTAAATTAATAATGGCAGAAAAAAAAATAGCTTTAGAAATTTTATTAGTTTTTATCTTTTATTATAACGTGTTCAAAAAATATTATTTAATGGTCCTTTTAGTGAAACTAAATCTTAATTCATTTCAAACATAAATGAAGATGAATTATTATAAAGATTAAGGTTCATGATGATTTAATTTTGATTGAGTTCTTTTATGAATAATAACCCATTATTCTAAAAATTTTACCACTTGTTTCTCTATGGGATCAACGTTTTTATTTCTATTACTAATCAGCTAATTATTATTTTTATATAGAAAACTGTATCATAAGCTTTTCTTTCCTTGAAATTGATTTTAGTTAAATATTATTAAAATATAAAACATTTAATTCTTTTTTTTAGTTTTATTATTATCCTTAGTAACTTTTAAAGTTTTTCCTACATAAAGAATAAATTCTGGTGTTTATAAAATTTAGCTCATACGATTGAAATTTAAAATTTTACTTATTTCTTATTTTTAGGATTTTTTCTTGACAATAATGAAGTATATTCTTGAAAATCTTAAAGTTAAATTCGCTTCAAATACATCCACATTTCTCATATAGCTATGCTCTTTTTTTCAAGGTAAGAGTTGAAAAAATTTTATGTTTAAAATATTCATAAAAAATATTCTTACAAAATATATAATTTAGTTAAATAATTAATTTTTATCCAATCAGTAAATTCAAATTTTACATTTTTTGTAAATATCCTTTTGTTTTTTGTTGATTAACTCACTTTAATTTATAATCTAATTTTAAAATTCTTGTATATTTTAAAAATTGATTTTATAAGATAGTAAATAAATTTTAATTTTAATTAAAGTTGATTATATTCTTATCAATCTTAATTTATTCAACAATCTAAACTAATTTAACTATGATTAACAAGATAAATTGATAAATTATTATATTTAACTTTCATATGATATTGAATAGATGTTATAATCACCTGAAATTAAGAATTTTGAAGTTTTTTTTAATTATTGAGTCAGACATAAATTAATGCATCTGAGATATTTCAGAATTTATTCTATTTAACTAAAAATAATAGGATTTATGCTTTGAGAACGAACTTAAATAGAATTGCGCAATATAAATATCAAAATAAAAATATTAATTTTTATGTATTATAATATAATTTTAAGTTTAATATTTTTGTAAATTTACTTATTATTTGATGGCATAATAATAATTGTAAAGGTATGATGCTGATGAAAATTTGTCTAAATTTCTCAATAAAGAATTAGGTAAATCAATAAAATTTAAAAAAAAACATGTAAAAATGAAATTTACAAGTTTAGGAGAAAGAACTTAATAATTTATTGGCTTATCAATAAATAATTTAGGATGAAAAACTAAAGAATGAAAATAAGTTACATTAAATGTTTTATAAGGAGAAATTGATTGAAAATTAAAAAAAACAAAAGGAAGATTTTGTAATAATTCTGATTATGATTAGCTAAAAGAATAAAAAGTAAACAAGGATCATTAATTTTTATATAAATAAAAAGAAAATGATTATATAAATGCTTTGGATGCAAGTTGGTGTTTTTATTAAGATTATTCTCCTTCAAAAGATGTAAAACCACTGAAGGTTGATGCTGAAAGAGAGAAAGTTCTTCGATTCTTATTTAAACAACTATAATCTACTACTGATAATGTAGAAAGAGCCTTAATAAAAAAGAAAATTAATAAATTTCGAGATTCTGAAGTATAAAGCCTTTCATAATTTATAATAGATTTCTAAAAAGAAATTAGAATATATTGATCATAAAATAGAATATGCAAAACAAGTCAGAAGTGAATCTCTCGATAGATCTATTGATAAAATAAGAATGCATGATATGCATATTATTGATGTATAAGAAAAGAATAACCTTATTAATTAAGAGAAACAATCTTATTATAGTGACAAATTAAATTAAATTGAATAGAAAATTAAAATGATAGAAAATTAATAATAGCGTAACAGGCTTAATAGATTAAATTTCGAATAATAAAAGGATGAATATCGTTAAGCAGTTAGATCTAATTCCTAAACTCTCATTTAGCAAAAGGAATTATTGAATTAAAATCATTTTAGTGAAAAGGTTTATAAATTAAACTTTTTGGTCGATCAGAAACAAAAGCTCCTAAAACAAAGATAAGAATTATTGGATGGGTTAAATTAAAAAAGAGTTATAGCTAGACAATCTTTAGATGATGTTAAATATCCCCAATTAAACTCGAATAATTACAAAGCAATATATTTTTGAATTTACATATCTCAAGTAAATCAAATTAAATATAAATTTATTTTATAATTATTATATAATTTATTGTTTTATAATTAAAAATTATCCTTAAATTTTAATAGGTTTATTAATATTATAAGAACATTTTTTATTGTAATCTAAATTTCATTTAAATAGTATAGTTTTTTAATAATATTTAAAGAATCATCAAATTCATTAATTCCTAAACCTCTAGACTAATAGCACTTTTAGAAGTTTGTATCTTAAATATAAAAAGATTAAGCTCTCTTTTTACATTTCTAATACTATTTGATTTTTTATATATTCATAAATCTAGTTTTATTTTTTCCAAATATGAGATTTTGTGAATCGATTCAAATTTTCAATTCAATTATTAATACACCCAAACAAGAAAAATCCATAGAGTTCTAGATAGTTTTTAAATTAATTCTATTTTCAATATTTTTTTTGAAACTTTGGTAAGTAAGCTTATAACATAATATTTTTAATATATGTTAAAAAAATTTAGAGGCCAAACAACATATAATTTATGACTTCTAATTAAAATTGACTGTTTAACTTGGATAGTAATTGATAAAACTGATATAAAATAGATAATTTTATAGAAGAAAAAAAAATATGGGAATAGAAAATTTTTTGAGATTAAAGTAATATAAATTCAAAGCATATATAAACTGAGAATTAATAATATTAAAGGACTCAAAAAATCTTGATAAGTTCTAAAATATAGTGTTTCTGCAAAGAAGATATACTTAGAATATATTTTTAAAGATATTGATTTTAAAATTTTTAAAAAAAGGCTATTATAGAAAATGAAAGTTAAGAGACTGTTAAATTAGAGATGCTTAGCTTTTAAGTTAAGTAAATATAAATGATTATACGTTATTTATATGATGAATGGGTTGATAAGTATATTTTAAATTAATAAAAGTAGAAAATAAAAAGATGTATATATAAAAGTTCACATTTATTTGAGTTAAAATTTATATAATATTTGATTAATATTTTATGGCAGTAAATTAAAGATAAAAAAATAAAAGTTATTATTAGTTATTAAGTATTGGAAAAATAAACTAAGTAGGTTCTACTGTTCAAATACAAAATTTAATTTATATTATGAATTTTTATATAATATAAATTTCTAATTCAAATCAATTGATTGCTTTATAAATAATTTTGAAATCCATCATACATAACTATACACATCTTTAAAATATTATGAACATATTCAGCAAAGTTTGTTGAATTAGTAGCCAAAGATAATCTTTGATAAAAATTAATAATTTTTGTGTTTTTTATTTTTGTTACATACTATAATTTTATTAGAAAATAATGAGGAAAAATTATATTAGATTACAATCCGACTTAGATTTTAAATAAGAAGAAACAAAAACTTTTGATGAAGTTAAATATACGATTTTTAAGACTTATTTTGCCTTATTAGAATCAAAGACATTATCATAAAGTATGGGTATACTAATGATATTAATTTTGAATTTGCAATTAATTTTCATGACTGCAAATGATAAGAATACGGATTTAGAAAGTGGATTCATTTCAAGTAATTATATTGAAATAATTAGGTTTCTTACCAATCAGTAATTATTTTTTACTTTATCCTGTCTTATTATCATCAGATTCAATTTTATTTAATATGCTATTTTTGGTAATAGCCCTTTTAGTATTAATATTTCTAATCACATCAATTCTTTATTTTGCATCTACAAGTAATTATGATAATCCATTGGTTAAATAATTAAGATCAACTTGGGGATTTATTTCAGAATTGACTGATAAAATTTTAGTAGTACCAGTTTTTGGTTTGACAGTAGGTAATATAGCTTGCAATTTTAAAAACAATTAAACAGAATGTTATAGTGGTGTGCATATAGGATTAATAATTATGTCAATTTTATGCTCATTAATGTTACTTTTATTGGAAATATTATATTCATATTTATTTTTTAATTTTACTTTCAAAATCAAGGACTCTGTATCTAGAAACCCATGTATATTATATATATTTATTATAATAGCTGGTATGCCAATCTTTTTTTTTATTTATCGACTTGGAATAACAATCTTTTAATCATTATTTGATTTAGAAGTTCAATAAACTTATACCATTTTAGTTTTATTACATTTAATATTTGGGTTGATTTTACTTTATGATTCATTAAATAATTTTCCATATCATAATAAAAATGTATCTAAGACTTAAGGTATATTTTCTTCAGCATATTTATGGATTAATGCTACTTTTATTGTTTTATAACTTACTTCTATAGAAATGTTACATGAAAATGTTTTAGTGATTGTTGGATTAGGAATGGCCTTTTTCTTAAAATTATTTCTAAACATTAGAAATTATTTTGTAAAAGTATTAATGAATAGTGAATTGGATGAAATTTAAAGTGCTGTTTTATTAGATTTAAAAATTAGAAATTATAATATATTATCTAAATCTGATAATGAAGAAAAAAAGAATGAATTATTGTTAGCATCATTATTAAAGATTCATTCTGATAAATGTAAAAATAGTACTTGTCCATGCAAAAAACGAAATACACTTATTGATCCTAAAAAGAAAATTATTTAAAGTGAAATGAAAGCAGCTTCAATAACTGATGCAAAAATGTTAAAATAACAAAAGAATGATCAAAATACTTAATTACATAAAGATTTAGTATTTGTTAAACATTTTATTGCTAGAATGGCAAAAGATGGTTTAAATAAATTTAAGGATTCAAAATTATTATATCTTGACTATATGTATTATAGATTTGAAGCACTTAGAATGTATTCTTCAATATATTTTGAAATTGGTAAATTTGAATCTAAATATCATAATGATATGAGCTTATCAATTGAATTCTGTTTATATAGATTAAGAGCAAGAATGAAGAAACATCTAATGAATAGAAATTAAAAAAGTGAAATATCTCGAAGATTATAATTAGAAAATGTAAAAGCTTTTGATGAAGGGATTATAAGATAAAAAGAGACTTTAATGGAAGCAAATAAACATCTAAATGATCTATGGGAATCCCTTTGTGAAGAAAAGCCAGATTTGAGTAAATTGTTAGATATAGGTAATAATGCTATTAGAACGATGTAATTAACAAATGATTAATACGAGTTTTTACTTTAACTTAATAATTAATCTTAGGATTTAAAAAATTTAATGACAATATATTCTAATTATTTGGCTTATGATGATTTATTAGCTAAGAAGATTGAAAAAGATATTGATTAAGCAAAAGATATGGAGAATGATAATTCATTTTAATAAGATTTCAATATATTGATAAAAAAATATTAGATTTTTGATAAATAAAGTTGTGTTTTATCAATATCATCATAATTGGAGTCTTTAGGTTAAATAACTTGGTGTAGTAGAAATGTATTTAATGTATTTGGATATGATGAAACTGATTTGAAATCAATGAATATAAATTAGATGATGCCAGAACCATTAGGAAATTGTCATAGTAGAATTTTAAAGAATTATTATGAAAATGCAAGAGAATTATTAACAACAAAAATGACTCATATTTGGGCAATAGATAGAGCAAAAATTTTATTTTCAGCAAATATTTTTATAAAAATTTTACCTTCTTTATAATCTTATGATATTGTAGGATTTATACATAAACTAAATTAAGATGATTATATTATTGCAGATGTAGATGGAATGATTTATGGTGCTGGAAGAAAAGTTTGTTAAGCTTTAGGGTTGCCACCTGAAAAGATTTTGGAAACTAAGGTTAATATATAATTAATAGCTCCTGGATTTTATTCTGTCTTCTCAGATTATTTCTTAGATTTTGATATAACAGCAAATAAATTTAATGATGGAAAAGGAAAACTATCATATGATGAATACAATTCTGCAAATAAATAATTAGAAACTAAAGATATGAAATAAGTTATATTTATTCAAAAAGAATTTGAAAAAAGAATATAAAGTTTTGTTGAATATAGAACAAGGCTATTTAAAAAGTTTAATATAGATCTTTTAACTAAAGAATAATTATCATAAGAATATGGATAATCTGGAAATGATTAGAAAAATATCAAACTTATTAAGTAATGTGCAGAGTTTAAAAAAGAATATGCTGCCTTATTTTACAAATAGAATAAAAAGATTCTTATTGATTCTTTAATTAAAATGATTAAAATTAAAGTTTAAATAAAGAATTTTACTTATTGGAATGGTAGTAAATTATAAAGATTAAAAATTATTAAAGTTAATACATACGAATTTAAAACTACAGAATACATCAAAATAAATAGGAAAAAAATAAAAGAATAAGGAGAAAAAGTATCTTAAGTATATAGAAACTTTTAAGATGCATATAATACTTTTAAATAAAAGAAGATGAAATAAAAAATGTAGGAAGAATAGGATAATGCTGAAGAAATAGAAGCAGGAAGAGCTGAGGGTGGAGAAGATAATTAAGAAGGTTAATAAGCTAAAGGATTTTTGAATATGTTTAAAAAAGCTAATAAGAATAACAGATCTTCGTTATTGTAATTAAATGTAAAAAGATTAGGAGGAAAAGGAAGATAAGTAGAAGATTAAGAATAGTTGAAATAAGGTATTTTAATGACTTTATTTAAACCAAATTCAAAGAAGAATAAGTTTAAGAGAGTATCAAAGTAATAAGGTAGTATGGCATAAGTGTAATATGAATCAAAATAATTCAAAGATGATGATGAAGATGAAAATGAAAAAAAAAAAATAGAAGCTACTCCAGAATAATTGGAAGCTATGAGGGCTTGTCCAGCTGTTAATTTACTTTAAATAGCTCTTATTAAAGCAAATATTTTAGGTCAATCAGATATGAGTGCATTTTTAGAAAAGAAAAAAAAAATGCAACCAGTTGATCCTTTAGCAATTAAATTTAGAAGAATCAGAGAATTTATTGCTACAGAAAAGTTTAAGACATTTGTTTAGGAAGAAAAAAAGAGAGCAGAAATGAGTAATGATACACATTCTACTAATACTGATTAATATGATCAAGAAGATAGATCATAATCTTTTGATGAAGATTAATAAGAAGAGAGAGGATTATTGTAGAATATACTAAATAATTAGGGAGTAAATGAAGAAGAGAAAGCTGCTATGTAATCTGTTAGTAGTTCAAGTAATTATAATTTTAATAATAGCTTAATCATTATAAGCACATAATGCTTAAAGAATGCTTAGAGAATAATTAAAAAATATGTAAGCACCAACAATATTGATAGTTGCTCATTATACTATGGTTGTATTAAGTTTGTTATTATTTTCTTTGATTATTTCATAATACATTTTAGCTAACAATGATTTTAATGGAATTAAAGATGAATTATATATGTTTGAAAGAATGAGTAATTATTCTGATAATTTAATTGAAATTTTGGATGGTTACTTTACCTTATAAATGATAAATGAAGGACCTTTAAAAAATACTTCTATATATGGAACTGAATGGATATAATAATTCAGGAAAATGATTTTACAAAACTAAATTGATACTGTCTCATTCTTTTTAGAAGATTATAGTAATGCAGGTACATAATCAAGAAGCGGAAATGATTTAAGACAGTATCTTTTTATTTAAATGAATGCTAACATGCTTGTAAATAATTAACCGACTGAATTTCTATTTAATTATGAAAACTATGTTAGATTAATTTTAAATGCTGCAAATGCAACTAAGGATTTAAACTTATCCTCTTTTACTCTAAATAGTAGATAAGATTATTTTTATTTTATCTATAATAATTTAAATCAATTCGACAATATTACAGATTATAATTATAATTTAATAACTTAAATATTAATTAGAAGTAAGGATTTGTTAATCGAAAGATTTCATTATTTCTGGTTTAGCTGCTTTGGTATTTTGCTTTTATTATATATTCTTATATACCCTATTATTCTCAAAACAAAATTAAAAATTTAAGAAACTTTAAGAATTTTCACTAAAATTTCATTAGCTGATGTTGAATATTATTCTAATCATTATAAAATGATTTTCTACAATATGAGATAAATTACAGATACTCCATAAGTATTAAAGAAAATAGAAGAAGAAGTAACAAAGGGAACAGAAGAAAAGAAGAAAAAAGATAAAGAAAACAATGCTAAAAATTTAGCTAGATCAAGAAGTCATAAAGGAATTTAAATAAACAAAGTAGTATTTTTTGCTGTAATGACATTTTGGTTGGTAATCTTTGCTGGATTAATTTTTGTTAAAGACTATTTCATTATTATATTTAGTAGTGATTTGGAATAACTATTCTCTTCTTAATAATAACAACATAGATTAAAATATAATTCTGAAAGAGACTTTATTTATTTCAAAAATCTATACTACTAATAATATAGTTCATAATTAAATTCAACTTAATTGATTGAAGTATTAACAGAAATAGACAATGAAGATATATATGGCATTTTTTAAACTATGTATCATCAATTAGAATAATATTCAACAGAGTTTGCAGATTTAATAGACTTTTATAGTACTAATAATACTTGTAGTGTTATTGCTCCATTAATAAATAATTTTGTAAATTCAAGTTAAGCAATATGTGAATAAATATTAGATGGTATGTTAACTGAAGGTTTGTTAAACTTCTATTAAAAACTATAATTAGAAATGTAAAATGGTTTGAATTAATTATAAACTCAAAATAAGAATTTCTCTGAATTAAATAGTTACATATCTTAACAAATGTTTTAAGATTTTCAAATAGGACTTTTATATGCTAAATGGGCGAATTAATTAATGTCTAATCTAGCTAGAAGTGCTCTCTTTACTGGAATTGATAATGTAACTAACTGATATAATTATAATTTTAGGAAATATTATTCAACTCTTATTTTGTTATTGTAATCAACATTTTAATTGTATCATTTTTATTTGTGATTTGGGGAAGTGAGTATTCAAATTTAAAAAGAAATTCAAGATGGGTAAATGGTTTTATTTTATTGATCCCATCTTAATTAAGATCAGAAAATAAACATATAAATAGTTTTTTAAAAAATCAATTGAAAATTTAAGGTTTAATGTATTTGTGATAAGTATAATTTATAAAATAAATATAAAATTTATAATTAAAACTTAATATAAATAGTAATACAATCTAATAATCAAAAAAGGTGTATTCAAAATGCACTTATATTATCTAAAGCTTTGACCTTTTTACCATCTTTCCAAATACCTTCCTTAATTGTTCCATCAGGAAAGATATATTTACCTTTACCATGCTATTTTCCATCTTACCACTAACCTTCATATTTCTTTCCATCAGCCCATGTATATGCACCATAACCATCTTTACGATCTTGTTTATATTCTCCTTCATATTTCCTACCATCCTTCCATGTATAAACTCCTTTACCATGCATACAATTATTCAACCATTAACCAGTATATCCTCTACCATCAGCCCAAAAATATGTACCAAAACCTGTTATTTTATTATCGTACCAATCTCCATCATAAAATGATCCATCTGGCCATTCATATTTACCATTTCCTTATTTCTTACCTTCAAAATATACTCCTGTATATTTTGAACCATCAAACCAACTTTCTACACCATTACCATGTTATAAATCATTTTTCCATTCTCCTTCATACTTAGAACCATTTGCATGTGTATATACTCCATATCCATTTGCTTTATCGTTTTCCCATTAACCATCAAATGTATCTCCATCAACATGATAAAACTTTCCTTTACCATTTGCATGACTTTGTTTCCATTCTCCTTCATATTTTGCTCCATCTGACCAAATCTGTATACCCATTCCTTCTCTATATGTACCTCTCCATTATCCTTCATATACTGCTCCACTTTTAAATTTATAAGCAGGACGATTTTCTAATTCTACATATGAAGAGTTTTTAGGTAGAGTAATTGCCTCAACTTATTCTCTTAAATAATTCTTTTTAGATTCTTTTTTTACAGAACTTTTTAATGTTTTCTTCTTTCTAACTAAATAGCCTCTCCATCTTTTTTAAATCTAAATTGCTGCCTTATTTTGCTTTTATACTTTATTTTAAAGCTCTTCTGTTTCAGTTTCTTTTTTAGCTTCTTTTTATTAAGTTTTAACATATTTTTGTTTTATGCTTTATTTAGAACTTGACTTCTTGCTTTTTAAACTGTTTGGATCTGATTTGGCGATCTAAAATTATAAGTAGGCATACAATAATTTCAGTGGCTACTTATTCTTTTAATTATTATTGGCATTAACACTGAGATGCACACTAATTTCCCATTAAAAAGTAAATTGATAATTTAATATATATAAATTAAAGAATTAGATTAGATTATTATTTTATCTTAATACTTTTTTCTCTTTAAATTCTGTTAATATTTATTTAGTTTGAGTAATTTTCAAATAGATTTTGGAGTATCAAAGAAATTTACCTGAGAATGACTAATATAATGATTAAGTTTCAGGAATTAATAAGATTCTCAATAAATTTATTATATTTTCGATAAAAATTTACAGCATGAATATATCATAAGATTAATTTGAAATATCGACAGGGTGTTGTAAAATAAAATGAAAGAAGCTAAATTATTTTATGGCTATTTAAAGAAAAAAAAATAATTTTATTAAACAATATTTTTTACTATCTGATCAAAATATATTGCTAAATAAAATCATTAAGATATATATTGATATAAAAATCCTTTTTCAAAAAAGTGCTTTTTTTTTTTTAGGAGATTAATTTGATTTTTTTAGGATTTAATTATAAAATACGCGATTTCGTCATTTATTTTATAAATAAATGAGCAAAAATTTAGGGACTCCAATAAAATTAGTTGTCATAGGAGATGGTACAGTTGGCAAAACCTGTGCACTTTTAACGTACTCTAAGATTTATACATAAGTTACACTACTGGTAAATTCCCATCAGACTATATACCTACAATTTTTGAAAATTATAGTGCATTGATCAATATTGATGGTAAAAAGGTTAACTTAGGTCTGTGGGATACTGCAGGTTAAGAAGACTTTAAACAAATTCGTCCTTTGAGTTATCCTAATACAGATGTATTTCTTTTGTTTTTTGCAGTCAATGAATAATCATCATATATAAATGCCTAACAGAAAGTAAATTAATTTAAATAAGCATATAAGTGGTATCCTGAATTGAGAACAGCTTTAAATAATGTTCCTATAATAATCGTTGGAAGTAAAATAGATTTGAGATAAAATGATGAAAAATGTATACAAAGAGAATCTGTATACATATTTATTTTAATTCAAGGCAAAAAAAATGGCAGATTAATTGGGCTGCTTATATTTAGAATGCTCAGCAAAAGAAAAAATAGGGTTGAATGAATTATTTGAAGAAGCTGTTAGAACTGCACTTAGATCAAAGAAGCCGAGCAGAGCATAAGAAGAAAAAAAATAAAATAAAGACAAAAGTTGTCAATTAATCTGAATTTATTAATTTATTATTAAGAATAATATATGTGATGAGTAAATATATAATGTGGAGAAACAATTTGATTTCAATTCAAGTTTATTATAATTTGGAAACAGCTAGTATGAAAAATCAAGTCTATTATGTCATTACAATCATAGAACATATAATTTATAAGATCAAATAAGAAATATTAAATGTAAAATATACCTTGACTGTTGAATCTTATCTAAAATAGTTTAGGTTAATAAAAAAAATATTTTAAATGTAATTATGGGAAATGGTAGGTTTGAGAAAAAGTTATTATAGATGAGCATTAGAAGCTTTAATAATCTTTCAAATTACTAAGTATACATTAAAAAAGTAATTTAGTTCAGTATCTTTTCAAACCATACAAGAATGGATAAAACATGCAAGAGATTTCTCAAAACGTTCCATTTAAATATTTATTAAAGTCTATTTAGAAAAGGAGGGTAATTGTTGTTTTATATTTAGAATTATATCAGTTTTATAATTTGTTAAAAGAACAATGTCAAATATATGGAAATTAATGCAACTACTGGTTAAAAGCCTAATGAAACTTTTATTTAAACAACAATGAGAAATTTAGATATATAAGGAGCAATTGAAGTTAATATGATTAAACCTAATTTTTTAATATAGAAATAATATATTGTTTAAAATATCTATAATCAAAAATAAAATAAAATATGAATAAAATATGTAATTTGTTTAAATATTTTGAAATTTAACATTTAAAAAGTATAAGATTGTGATGTCTCTTCTTATATATAATTATATATATAATATATATATCATAACTGATATCCAACTCAGAGGTTTTCAACATTACCACCTTCATCTTCAAGTTCTGAGGTCCACAATGTTAAATTATCTCTGATGAGTTACATGATGGTTGTGGCATCCTTATATTAATCTTCTTAGATTTATTCAATATCTGCAATGGCATCATCAAAAGCCTAA